TAGTTGGAGATTTCTTTTTTTTCTTGCTGTTGTTTTAAATTATAACAAAAATAGCAAAGCTATTATAAAAATTAGGATAAATGTCCATTGGTGTGCATAGAACAGACAGCTGGAATGTACACAAATATAGGATAGACAGATAAGAAATCTGAAGAAAAATAATCTGATCAGTTGATCAGTACAGCTTACTTTCTATAGCATCTTGCCCTAATATCTTGTTTTGTCTGAAATTTTTATATCTAATGCAATTTTAGTCAGCTATTTAGTATTTGTTAGTTCACCCATTTTTACATCAGTATAACTATGATGTGCTATATCTTGAGATTCTAAATAAATTCTATATTTTGTTTCTTTTTCCCCTTTGGCTTGATGAATTTCATTTATTTATTTATTTATTTATTTGTTCTAATTAGTTATACAATAGTTGGTGATTACTACTGAGTAGTTCCTTGATAGCCATACAGCTGGCTTCTAGACCTCTGATAACAGGCCCCAAATTAATAAGTAGATTATATTATAAATCACTACAAGACTGACATCTCAAAAGTACTTTTGAGTAAAAAGTACTTTTTTATGTACTTTTATGGATATAAAAGACTCTTTTATGTCCAAGATTGATGACAGTAATGCCAAGGTAACTTTAAGTTATACTTAAATATTACCCCTAATGATTTCTTAATCCTCTGATGATTAGATTTCTTTCTTTTTCTTTTCTTTTGGTACTGGGGATTAATCCCAGAGTTTTGCCCATGCCAGGCAAGCATTCTACCACTGAGCTACATGCCCAACTCCTTTTACATTTTATTTTGAGACAAGGTCTAAGTTGCCCAGGGTGGCTTTGAATTTGCCATCCTCCTGCCTCAGCCTTCAGAGTTGCTGGGATTATAGGAATGAGCCACTGTGCCCCTGGGTGAGGGTGAGATTTTTTTACCTATTGCACTTTCTCAAAGGTCTGAACAGAGTCTAGACTCTTTCCCTCTCCAAAATCTTAGGAGAAACAGAAAGAGGTCTGAGCATCATTAAGCACTTTAACATATGGGAGGATTGTATATTGCCCAACTCTAGGGGTACCACTCATTATTTATTTGTAGAAATATTTTTTTTTGTTTGTCTGAGGTGGTGTTTTTACTTTTGCCTATAAATTATCTTGAGGAAATGGAAACTTTTCCTAATTTCCACAAGGTCTTCTTTGGATAAGCTGTAGGGGAGCCTGCAGACTCTTTTATGTCCAAGATTGCTGACAGTAATGACATTTTTTTAAAAAAATAATTTTTTTAGTTGTAGACAGATACAATACCTTCACTTATTTTTATGTGGTACTGAGGATTGAACCCAGAACTTCACATGCTTTAGGCAAGTGCTCTACCACTGAGCCATAACCCCAGCCTAGACATTTTTTTTTTCTAATTTGGGATACTGAGAGGAGGTGGTCTTCTTCTGTCATAAATGGTTATTACATGTGGCAAACATTCAAATAGACCTATGTTACAACCTATATAAATTGTCCTGTGGAAATAGAACATCTAAAGCCTTACTGTATTACGTCATCTCAGTAGCAGTTTTGAAACCTGTTTGTTTATAGAAAACAGAAAAATTATAATACGGTGAGTGGACTGGGCAGGGTGGTATATGCCTGTAATTCCAGCAACCTGGGAGACTGAGGCAGGATGATTCCAAGTTCAAAGCCAGCCTCAGCAACTTAGTGAGGCCCTAAGCAACTTAATGAGACCCTGTCTCTAAACAAGAAATAAGAAGGGCTGGGATATGGCTCAGTGGTTAAGTACCTCTGGATTTACTCCCTGGTATCAAACCAAACCAAACCAAACCAACCAACAAACAAAAAAACCCCAAAATATGGTGAATGGCCAAGAAAGCCATGGCTTGTTTCCAAAGATCTCTGGAATATTGGGATTCTAGTTGTAGATAACTAAATGAAATAGAGAAGGTTGGAAGTACAAATAAAAAAACAGTTCAATTTTGAATGTGGTAATTTGAAGTTCCATGATTATCACGTGGAAATGTCCAAGAGGCAGGTGACTACAAAACCAAATGAAGCTTGGAGGAGAGATATGGGCTGGATAAAATCTCTTTGCAATCCATAGGTGGATGAGATCATGCTAGAAGAGCAAGTAGAGCAAGAAGAGAAGCAGAAAAGTGGGCCAAGTGTAGAACCCTGAGCATCTTCTATATTGAAGAGACATAAGGAGGAAGAAACAGAGGTAGGAGGAGAGCCCAGGGAAGAAGCTGTTAGGAGAGCCAAGGGAGTCAACATTCTAATGTGAGAAAGGAGAAATGTGTAGCATCAAGTGCAGCAGAGGGATCCACTGAGGCTAAGAAAAGGGAGGAATGATGTAATTCATGTACACTTAGAAAAAACCCACAACAATTTGGAGGTTTTGGGTGACCCGAATGAGATCAGTCTCTATGGAATGTTATGGGTAGGGCCAGATGGGTTCTTAAAAAAAAAAAAAAAAAAAAAAAAAAAAAAATATATATATATATATATATATATATATATATATATACACACACACACACACACACACATATATATTTTAGTTATTGATGGATCTTTATTTTATCATTTATTTACATGTGGTGCTGAGACTTGAACGAACCCAGTGCCTCACACATGCTAGGCAAGTGCTGTACCACTGAGCCACAACCCCAGCCTCAGATGGGTTCTTAACCTCCCAAAATGACTCACAAGAATCTATAGAAAACCTGTAATACTAGTTTAGGATAGCCCAGTGACCCCCACTAATCTGTATCTAGAAAAGCTCTGAAGGATCCAAGAGGATGCAAAGTACAAACTAGGCTTAGCAATGCCTTGAGTGAATGGCAGGTGACACAAAGATGAACAGAATTGAGAAACCATTAAGATTACAATAACAGGACTCACATAAACTCCCATTTTAAAGTTTATTTTCAAACAATAAGCTACTCAGATTCAAGACAGGAGAGATTTAGTTTGGCAACAAATGCTTAAGAATGATCCAGAGAATTTAGTTGATTATAAACTTTAAGCGGGCCAAGAGTATGACACATTTTCTCAAAAAGTTAGCACAGATGTGGGCTATAACAGAGAAGAGAAAGTTGAGGCACTAGGGAAGTATTAGTTCCTTTTTCTGGAAATAAGGATGAACAAGAAAGGAGGAATACAAAACAACAATTAAAAGTTTATTAGAGGGGCTGGGGATGTGGCTCAAGTGATAGCGCGCTCGCCTGGCATGCGTGTGGCCCAGGTTCGATCCTCTGCACCACATACAAACAAAGATGTTGTGTCCACCAAAAACTAGAAAAAAAAATATATTAAAAAATTCTCTCTCTCTCTCACTCTCTTTAAAAAAAAGAGCTTAAAAAAGTTTATTAGAAAAAAGTGAGATTTGAATATGTTTATAGGCTAAGGGGAAGGCTTTACTAGGAAAAGGACAAGGTAAAGAATAGGAGAGAGGGGCTGGGGTTGTGACTCAGTGGTAGGGCGCTTGCCTAGCATGCATGAAGCACCAGGTTTGATCCCCAGCACCACCTAAATCAATCAATCAATCAATCAATCAATTAAATAAAGATACTATGTCCATCTACAACTAAAAAAAATATTAAAACAACAACAACAACAAAAGAATACTGGAGAGAAGGGATAATTAATGATACAAGAGTCTGAAGAAGCTGGGAGGAGTTGGTTTTGAACTGGTTTGAGGATGCCTCATTCTTGGAGAGGCTAGAAGGAAGCTGAAAAGATGGGAGTGACCTCAGATATGCTGAAAGTTTGGGAAGGAATTCAGGCACTTGGGAAGAACACAGGCTGATGTTTTTAATTTGTTTGATGAAGTAATACTCCAGAGAGACAGGCTCTGCTGTTTCTGAGACAGGGTGTGGAAAGAGAGAGCAAGTGGGAAGTTGGAGGGAGGTAGAAAGAAGAATGCTAGATAGAAGGGGATTCTTGGTCTGAAGTGGGATCCAGAAATGGGCAGGTTTCTTTTCAGTTTTCCTAAGGCCTACACCATCCACAGCCTCAGAACTCTTTTGACCCTCTACTGGATTTTCTCACCTGGTAAGGACTGTGAGGCCACTGCTGGGGTTTCAGGGCTGTGCTCAGTGACTTGGGAGGCTGAGACAGGAGGATCTTGAGTTCAAAGCCAGTCTCAGCAATGGTGAGGGGCTAAGCAACTCAGTGAGACCCTGTCACTAAATAAAATACAAAATGGGGCTGGGGATGTAGTTCAGTGGTCACGTGCCCCTGAGTTCAATCCCCGGTACTCGCTCCCACTCCCCTCCCCCAAGATCATATGCCTTTTTTTTTTTTTTAAACAACCTGGAGTAGAATTCTCAAATTTATCCAGGGGAAAAAAGTGGGAGACAAGCATTTGAAAAACCTATTCTTATTTTTGCAATGCATAAAACTTCCAGTAAAGATTAATGACTTTGGCAGAATGACTAAGTATATAAAATTTATCCAAAGGTAATATTTGTAAAATATCGAAGTGCAGATAGGTCTCACCAATTAGGTCTTTATCACATAAATGGCTAAAATTAAAGCAAAGTATATTTTAAAATAAAACTTCAAGAATCATAGACCTTTGAGAGAGCTGATGAGAAATTCATTGTCCCACAAAGACGCCCGGAGTCCCCGTGGAAAAGCGGGCAATATACGCAGGGAAAGAGCTTTTTTCCTCTGCCCTCAAGACTTTCCGGAGAAAAGAAGATTACGAAAATCAGGGTCTATAACAGGATATTAAAATCAACGCGAAGAGAGGCGCAAAATACAGACCAGTGATTGAAAAAGCCAAGTCTTCAAGACTTTTAAAGAAACTGGTCGAGAGTCAAAGAATCAATCCAAGAAATTTGCAGAGGTCGCACTCCTACCATGGCTCGGCGCCGCCCGCGGCTCGCGGGGGCTTGTGCGCGCGCACGCCGGGCGCCTCCACCAGTCACCACTAGACGGCGCACTCTCTAGCCTGCCTACGGAAATCCCGCCTCTCATTTCCGGCGGCGAGGGATGGGGCGGAGTTGGAGGCCGCTTCCTGCTCAGGGAGTGTTTCAGCTTCAGCACGTGTGTGATTCCTCCGTGTTGCTGGATTACCTTTATCTCGGGTGAATTTGTGGGGTCCGGACTCCTTTCAGGCCTAAGCATGAAGGCGGTAAGTGTTCCTAAGAGCCGAGTTCTCGCAACTTAAGGGCCACTGTAACTGACAGTCGGTGCCTGGTTTACCTTTTCGGTGGGGGTAAACCCACCGAATAGGGGGCGGTGGCTTAGATCCGCCTCCGAGCTCTATGCACTGTCAGCTTCCCGGGTTCGTCGTCTCCCGCTGTGCGCGTGCAGGGCTTCAGGAATCCCCGACGAGTTAAGCGCTGAATCTGGCATCCATAAGGTGTCAGATTTGGAAGGGTTTTTCTGAACCATGTTAGTCGAACCCTTTAGCTAAAGGTGAGAAGCATGGTCCAGACCTCAGGGAGTGTATGGTCTGAGTTACACTCAGACGAGTCCGTCTCACCCTTAAACGGTAAACAAATAGGAAGTCAGGTGGTTTGCCTTAATTCAGAGATTGAATTACGCTTGGATTTGGATTTCTGAAGGATGGGTCACCTGCAAGAGTGATGGAATGCAAAGACAGTTTTGCCCTCCTCAGTTTAGGGGGGTCTTTTGCAAGTTGCATAACCTCTTTGGGCCTAGGTAAATCTTCATCGGTGATGTGAGGCTAACAGCAATCACTATTTAAGCTGTTGTAGGTAATTTGTTAGAGCAGTTTGCAAATGATAAAACAGCATATAAATATCAGTTTTTATTGTTAAAACAATAACGCGGGCCATTGTATTGCTCTGTGTTAAACAACTGGTATTAAATCTAAGGTCCTGAATAATTGTCTACCATGAGATCAACAATTCTTAATCGTTTTTGGATCTTAGACTCTTGGAGTAACTGTAGTCACAGTTCTGGTTACTGGAGAACCCTTTGGAATAACCAATACTTCAGTGTCATTCTGTAGGATTACTGGCATAGTTTGTTATCAGGCTTTATGTGCAAGATGTATGGCTGTGTGACATTAAAATCATGGGATTGATTTGGTGAAATTTAGCATCAATTCTCTTTAACCTGATATAAAAATAAAATAATTTAAATTTGTCAGTGTATTGTCTTCCTTCTATTATTGTGTTCTAGAGACGAAATAAAAAACAGGTCCCAAGCTTTCGCAAGTTGCTAAAAACTAGTAAAGTCAAACTTGAAAACAAGTTAAAAAACAAGCAACATAAGCAACAAAGCACTCTCAAGAAGTACAGGAAGGAACAGAGAAAATTAAGGCAAGCTGTAAAAGATGCTGTGTCTAAGAAACCCATTCCACTGGAGGACCCAAAGAGAAGACGACCAGGTAATTGTGAAAGCATTTATGAGCCCTAGTTTTCATTGATTATTCTGAAATATTCTTCATGGAATGAACTTTACTTTCTAGTAGCTACTCTTGTACTCAGATCTTCCAAAGAGTAGGTAAGGATAATATAGTTCTGTATATATGATCACAGTCACATTTCAATGCAGTCTTCATTGTGAGAAACAGCTACTTTTTGCTTGCAGTTTGTCTCAAAAGCAGATCTGAATATACAGTACTTGTGAAAACAGGCTCAGAGTAGCTATATAAATAAATGTTGGGCAGTGTGTCAATGCTACCACTTTCCCATTCCCTGAACTTGGCTAAGGTGAAAAGATTGTTTTTCTTTGGCACATTCTGTGTGTGTGTTGCTGGGTTTGAACCAGGGCCTTGTACATTCTAGTCAAGTGCTCTATTTCTGAGCTGTGTCCTCAGTTCACTCTGCATTTTTCAAAGTGTTGCCAAGATACATTTCCTTTTCTAAACTTCTGGCATTTTTTCACTTTTAAACTTGGAGTGAATTTGAGCTCTAATTGTCTGGGTTATTTTCAAGAACTTCATTACTCAAAACAGGAAAAGAATACAGTAATTTTGAGTCAGGCTGTTTCTGCAACTTCACTGGTACTTTTAGGGTATTCAAAAAATATCCTAAACTATTCTCCCCACATCCATCTCATTCTCTTAATCCTGACGTAGTTTGATCCCTTGGCAACACATTAGTGTGTTATGTACAAGGCCATTTGACTGGAAGTCAAGAAACTTGGGCTTTTATCTTGATTTTGTTACTTACAAGCTGTATGGACTTGGTCACTTAATCTCCAAATGCTTTATCTGTAAACAATGAATTGGGTGAGTTAGGTTTAGGTACTTTTAAAGATTTCCTCTAAGTTTTACACTTTAAAAAGCATAATGTCCTAATAGTTTTAATAAATAAAAGCAATGTCTTCATTATTATAGTTCAACATCTAAGCAAAGTCTGTCAGACAGATCTGAGAGTATAAGGAAACGATGAAAGCAAAGGCTGTTGTGGGAAATTGGAGGAATTTTTAGCTTATGACTTCTCATTTCTCATTAAAGTAGGAAATTGGGTCCTCTGATGATTACAAAGTGAGATAGATGATGGGGTTAGAAGTGTGATGGTAAATAGAAAAATCCTCTACAGAAGAGAGAAAGCTGACCAAGAAAATGCACCCATTGCTGCTATGTTTGAGAAATGGAATTTTCATTTACAGTAGATTATAGTGCCACTCTGTGCAGGGTTTACATTTATATGAAAATATTTACCAGTCTTATTGCTATCAGGAAGAATTTTAAGTTCTCTTAAGCATTAAGATTGTCTTGCTTATATTTGAAACACTAGCTCTTACAGTGATCTCTGGTATTTAGTTGGTGTGCTTCCCCCTGCTCTCTTTTTCTTTCTCTCTCATAAAAAAGAGAAAGATGGAAAAAGAGAGCAAAGGACAGAGAAGTTAGAATGATATATAGTTTGGGTTTTGTGAGATGTGAGGATCTTAGTGATTGAGAATATTGGCATGAGAGTGGTTGAAGTGATACCATGTAATCTAGGTAAGGGACTGAAGACGGAACACATGGGTAGAAAGTGGAGTATTTGAAGAATTGAAGGTCTACATTTAGTTAATGAAGAAGTGCATTGGGAGTATCTGAGAGCTGGAACCCTGAAAGTTTGTGTTCAAAGTGGGGTGAGCACCAGGATTTGGGACATGGCACTTGGAGAGATTAGCTGAAGTGGAATGGAAGTGAAAGTCATGGGAGATGAGAAGGAGCTAAGAGAGTGACATTGGTTCTTTTTTTTTTTTTTTTAATATTTTTAGTTGTAATTGAACATATCCTTATTTTATATATTTATTTATTTTATGTGGTGCTGAAAATTGAACCCAGTGCCTCACACATGCTAGGCAAGTGCTCTACCTCTGAGCCACGACCTCAGCCCTGACATTGGTTCTTAACTGCCCTGAGAGACATTTATTTTTTGGTGGTTACTATGACCTGGGAATGCTGTTGACACTGAGATTGAGGAGTCAAGAGATGCTAGCGTTTTTCCTAGCTCAGGGTACCCCAGTACAATAAAGAATTGTCATGTTCAAGATGTCGATGGTGCTCCCGTTAGAAACACTGGGCCAAAGTTTAGAAAAAAATAAGCTTTTCTTGTTGTGAACCTCAAAGTGTAGAGTTTACATCTCTAATAATTGTTTTTTATTTTTTGTATAGTTAAAAGGATTGAGAAAGAAGAGGAGGAAGAAGAGGAAGCACTTCCTTTAGATATGTTGGATGAAGATGACTTACAGTTAATGAAGGATTTAGGACAAAGAGCATCTTTTCTAACAAGAGATCTTTCTTCTAGGTAGTATTTCATTTGGGTTATAGTCATTCACATGTTACAAACTTGGTTCTTAATGTTACATAGGTGGTTACTTCAAAGATATTCACACCTGAGCAGAATCTTTACAAAGAGACAACTCCGGTTTCAGTTTTATTTCCTAAATAAAGAAGTGTATATGAACTACAAGCTGACTTTATTTAATGTACATCTATTTCTTTTGAGTCTGAATTGTGAAGTGTAGTGAATGGAGGAAGAATGCTATTTTTTCCCTGAGGCACTGACAGAATAGTCTTGAGTTTGTGGCCATCGTCTCACTAATCCTTATTATATTGTAAGGTAGGTGTTATGCCCATTTCCAGAGGGAAAACTGCTGCTTCCCCATAATCACAGAGAACGGATCTGGATTAACACTTGATCTTTCAATTCCAAAGTCTGTGTAATGTTCCGAAAGGTTTTGGGGAAAAAAAATAGAGCATAATGTCATTCTTGGCTCTGTGGAATGTTGTTCTTTCACCTTTATTTTGCATCTAAAGGGAAAACTAGTGTAGTTGAGTCTCTGTGGTAAACACTTCATACAGTCTATTTATTCAGTTGATGTTTGAGTGCTTGCTGTGTGCCAGGCATTGGTCTTAGTGCCAGCACCTCTGCTTCTATTGATAGTTACATATGAATAGACTTGCTTATTTTTTTGCATACCTGACCATTGGACAACATGGCTGTGAAGTGCACGGGTCCACTTACATATGTATTTTCTTTTTGAGATTTGTGATGGTTTGAAAAAAACTTGCAGAAGAACCATGAGCCTAGAAATATTGAAAAAATTAAAAAGACATGAGTGCATAAAATATTGAGATAATAGTCTGTTTTGTCATTTACGTTGTAAAATATACACAAACATTATAAAAAGTTTACCAGAATTTCCATAAACACTTGGAGCCCATTCATGGCTTTATTTTTAGTTGACTCAACATTAAATCATAAATGCATAAAATTAACTGAAGTACATACTGTATTACTGTGGTAATTTTGTAGCCACTTTGTGTTATTCTAATGTGTGTTATCAACTTTCTTTTATCAGCAAGCTATTAGTAGTTTATTTTTTTTGGCAGTCAAAAGTTACACTGGGAGTTTGGGATTGGGGATATAGCTCAGTGGTAGAGTGCTTGCCTAGCATGCAAGAGACCCTGGGTTCAATCCCTAGCACTAAAAATAAATACATAAATAAATAAATAAATAAATAAAAATTGGGATTTTTTTTTTTTTTTAAACTAGTTGGGGGGAGGCTGGTATTCCTAACCACTGCATTGTCAAGAGTCAATAATACTTTGATGGGCTGGGGCTCAGTGGTAGAATGCTTACCTCTTGGGTTTGATCCTCAGCACCACAAAAAACAAATAAACAAGATAAAAGATATTGTGTCCATCTATAATTAAAAATAAAAGAGTCCATAGTACTTTGAAAATGATAGGTCTAGGTACATTTTAAAATGCATTAAAACAAAATGATGTTTTTTCCTATAGTGAACCAGTTCACGTCAAGAAACGAAAGCATGAGCATATCATAGACAAATATGAAAAAATACCAAGAACTCTGCAAACTGCACCTGAGAAGGAACTGATTCACTTGCTTCCTATCAAAGATAAAAGTGGCATAATCCCACAGACAAGGGAGAAGCCAGGTGAGTCTAAACAGCTTGTGTTTTAAACTTTTTTTTTTTTTTAGTATTTTAGTTGGACACAACACCTTTATTTATTTATTTTTATGTGGTGCTGAGGATCAGACCCAGCACCTCGCACATGCTAGGTGAGCGCTGTACCGCTGAGTCACAACCCCAGCCCCATGGTGTTTTAAACTTTTAACTCCTCACAAATACCATGACATTTTTTTCATTTACAATTTAATTTTATTTTGGCTTTTATTCATCTACAAAATAAGGTTAGCTTTAGTTAGTCACATAGCAGCCTTGATGATTTGGCCAGAAATACAGGTGGCTATCTCAGGTATCTCTTGTATTGTGAGTACACCTGAAGCTACAAGGTTTGGGTAATTTTCTTTTCAAAGAGTTTGTTTTGCCAAATTTTGTTTAAAAAATGTGAACACATTAACTGTCTTTGATTAGCCTTTTTTTTTTTTTAAATGTATCTTTGTGTGTGTGTGTGTGGAAAAAACATAAGACAGAAATCAAAGATGTGAAGTTTCATGATTTATCACAAAGCACATAGCCATAAAACTACCTTTCAGGAAAGAAATAGACACTACCAGAATCCAGAAACATTTTTTTGTGCTCCCCTCAATCACTAATTGCTCCCTCCCTATAAAAGTAATTACTGTCCTGAGTTTTATGGTAATTATTTCCTTGCTTTTCTTTACATATATTATCACAATTTTAGTATGTATATTTTCCACATAGATACTGATAGTAACAAAGATGAAGAGGATCAAGAAGAAGAGATGGAACTTGAGGAAGGTAATGGAATGCATCTTTACAATTACTAAATTATTAATTAGTCATTACATTTTTTACATAATAAAAATATGAGTTAATTTTAAGTAAAATCTAGAATATACATTTTGAAGTATTGCTCATTTAAAGATCATTTTGAACTTTTCACATTTGCAAAATCTCACCTTGTAGAATTTGACATTTTGTTGTTTTTTTATTATGGAAAAATTTACACAATTATGTATTTGTAGAGTCAAGGTGCACATAAGGAGTTTTGTTAATTATTACTGTTCTCTATTTTAATTGTAACAGAAGAAATTACAAATATTTTTTAATATTTTAGCTTTAAATTGCAAAAATGATTCTGGGATATGAAGTCATTTTTGTTGGTTCTCAGAACAATTATACTTTGTATATGTCTGTTTTAGATTATTGAACTATAGCTATAACAGTTTTAACTAATCAGAGTTAAACTGAAAGTACAGATTTTATTGTTAGAAACTGTACTCATTTAAAATTTGTGTCAGCAAGTTGGTTAAATTTTACTTTGACTTATATCTTATTAATAGTGTAAATGCGATTATACATTAACTTGTTAACTTGTCAAGCTTATCACAAATTATGTTTGTTTAAGTTTATTACATCTAGTTCTTTGAATTTGTTAAATTGGACTGTTTTGTTTAATTCAAAGTACTACATAGAGTTGGAAACAAAGGATAATATTCTGTACTTAAAAAAGACTAAATCAGATTGCCTCCTTTCTTTAGTTAATATAAATTATTGTGGAGTTATTAGCATAGTGGATAAGAATATGAGCTGTAGAATCAAATTGCCAGGGTTTGAATCCCATTTCTGTCAGGTTTATGGAATTAGCTAACTTACTTTTTGTCCCTATGCCTGAATTTTCTTATGTAAAAACGGTCTAATAATACTACCGGTCAACATAATTACTGAGAGGATGCTATATGATAATAAGTACAAAATCCTTTGTTATCATCATTATTAGTATCAGAAATTATTTTATTGAGTTTCTTGGATAGTAAATAAAGGCATACTTAAGAGGGAAAATCAAATCTGTTTCAGAGATCATTGAAGATCCTATTCCAGAGATGACCAGAGAAGAACATTTGATTGAGAGAAAGAAGAAACTACAGGAGAAGAAATTACATATTGCAACTTTGGCATCTGCCATACTGTCAGATCCAGAAAGCAATGTAGGTAGTATTAATTTCTTTAGGCTCTTCATAGTAGATATGGCACAAATATGTGATATATTAAGATTCTCTTGTTGCCTACAAACATGCACGAAAAGGAAAATAAATATCTAAACATAGTACATGGATTAGAAAGAAAGTAGGCAAAATCTTTGCTTGATCCTACTGTTGAACTTAATTTCCTTTGTAATCTTAGAAAAGTCACTTAAACTCTTATTATTTTCCTCAGCTCCAAATGAAGATATTGGACTTGTTGTGGTAACTGTGAAAGTTACACAATTAATTGTATTAGGGAGGAGGAACCTACTTGGAAATTTGCTTGTCTGACCTATAGGGTTTTAATAAGAACATGCTACAGAGAAGACAGTAAATTAGTTCATGAATATTTGTAAGTGGAAAATGTTTAGTGAAGTACAGTCACAGTTGTAATGAGTTTTCACTGGGTGTTATGGATAGTGGTAAAATAATTATAGTTATAACATGTGAACCTAAGAAACCTGGGGTTTAGTGTTGGCCCTGCTAAGTAATATTTGTGAGATTTTGGGTAAGTTATTTTATTCATGACTCACTTTCTTCATCTCTAAAAATAAGATAGTATCTACTTCAAAACTTTGTTGAGTATTAAGAAAATATATATGATGTCATATAAAATGATATTATTATTATTATATTGGAATCTCCAGCATCTTACTAATAGATTATTTACCTTTATGGGTAAAAATTAATTTGGGTATGCTTTGGAGCAGTACTTATCTTTTTCTAATAAAGAGAGGGGAACATCTGGAGGAGAATCAGGAAGGGGGAGTTAGAATATTTCTCACCTATATTACCTGGTTTAATCATTACAAAACCATAGGATAAGATTTGTTTTCTTTTTTTATATTTTTTGTTGTTGATGCACCTTTATTTTGTTCATTTATATGTGGTGCTGAGAATCGAACCCAGTGCCTCACACATGCCAGGCAAGCGCTCTACCACAGAGCCACAGCCACAGCCCAAGATTTGTTGATCTGATTTTATAATTGAAGAGTTGAACCTTAAAAAACTCAGATGATTTTTTTTTTTTTCCCTAGGTTTTAACAGCTACCAGATTAGAATCCAGGTCTTTAACCCATGGAACTGTATGCTCATTTTACACAATTTAAAGATAGCGAATAAGTATTATATTTTCTACTCCCTACTGTAGTAAACATTGTTAACTTTCAAGATATCACTCCTATAGGCGAAAGTAGTTCATTAAAACAAACATATTAATTGAAACCAAGTTTTTGTTTCTTTATTACATCATATAAATTATATTTGTATGCATCTTATTGATATTATGTGGTTAGCTAGATGCATTTAGTTTTCAGTTGTTCATGGACCCTTATTTATTTATTTATTTATTTATATGTGATGCTTAGAATTGAACACAGAGTCTCACACATGCCAGGCAAGTGTTCTACCACTGAGCCACAACCCCAGCCCCCTATGTTTAATTCTTGATTATTATATGTGATTAATATATATTTGATTGGCATATGTAACATTTTAGTGCTCCAAAAAGTTTTCAGGAAAATAGGATACAGGTTTCAAGAAAACTCAAAAAAGAATTTCTAAAATAGGTAAATTAATAAATTGCAGCTATTTTTTGTAATCTCTTTCTTTTTCTAACTGCTTTTATGACAAAAATGTCATTACCTTGTAACTTTAGTGATGTATCTCATCTTGGTAAGGTACACAGTGTCTGAAGTTTGATATGGCTTGGCTTGAGAGTCAACAGGTGAATTCCATTTATTGCGTGAGGCATAAGTCTGTTTTCTTTTTTGTTCAGAATTGTTTTGCTGTGAAATCTCTAGCCTCATGAGTTATTTCTTTAACAGATTAAAAAACTGAAAGAATTACGTTCCATGCTCATGGAACAGGATCCTGATGTGGCTGTTACTGTTCGGAAGCTGGTGGTAGTTTCTCTGATGGAGCTATTTAAGGACATTACTCCTTCATATAAAATTCGGCCCTTAACAGAAGCAGAAAAATCTACCAAGGTAAAGCTAGATATAATTACTGTATAAAATAAGTGAAAATTTGGAGAGTTAGAGATGGGAGAAATAGGAATTATCTTATTTATTTATATCCTCCCACCCCCGGCACTGGGCATATGCAAGGCACTCATTTTATGTGCTAATTTTTGAATTTTAGTATTCTGATTTTAAAAAATAATTGATCCTTTTGGTCTTTTCAGATCCGCAAAGAAACCCAAAAGTTACGAGAATTTGAAGAGGGCCTGGTTAGCCAGTATAAATTTTATTTGGAAAATCTGGAGCAAATGGTTAAAGGTATATTAAATAGATCCTAAAAGTATATAAAATGCATAACCTTGATCATGAAGGTGAACTCTTTGTTCTCTGTTGTGTAGTGAGAGGCAGGTGTATAGTGTATGTTGAAGAGCAGTGTCTAGAGTCAGACTCCTTGGGTTCAGCCTGACTTTACCACTTAGTATCTATTTTTTGAGTAAGTTTTTAATCTTTCTTTGCTTCAATTTTCCTATCTATGAAGTGGAAATAATAATAGAAGTTGCCTTAAAGAATTATTGTGAGAAGTAATAGAATTTATAAATTTATAATGCTTAGAACTATGTCTATCAGTCTAAGTGCTATATTTTATTAGCTACTAGAGTTAATATTATTGCTATGGTCCTTTAGAAATAGTTGTGTATGTTTGTTGAAATTTAAACAGTTGGGGTTTATTCTACCGTTGGTTTTTATTTGGAAACAATAATCAGAGAAGAAAGATATCGTGAAATGGATGTGGATGCCTTATAAGTTGTTGAGGATTTTAAACTATTCTATCAACCCTTCTTTTTTCTCTTCAGGAAAGGAAGGGCATAGGAAAAATTGGGTTTTGAGTAGAGAAGAGATTTACTTGCCTAAATCAGTTGCTTTTATTTGATTTAGTGTTCTTTTTAGTTTTAAGCCTAAAGATCACCCAGCTACTATCAGTTGGAGCAGGATTGCTGAATCCTTTTGGTTTGATGAGGGCATGAAGGTGGTGGAGGATAGTGGAGTGGTTGTGGCTAGCATGGATTTTGCATCATGCTTTGGTGTCCCAACTGGAACTAACTTAACTTTATGTTGACCAGCACTGTACAATAGAAATATAACATGAACTACATGTCATTAAAAAAAAAAGTTAGCCACACTGAATAAATAAATAAAAGGCAATGAAACTAATTTTAGTAGTAAATTATATATGTATCTAAATTATTGTTTTGATATATGAATGATTTTAAAAATTAATGAGATGTTTTACATTCTCATCTTTTTTATCCTAAGTTCAGAATCAAGTATATTTTATATTTACAGCAAATCTGAGCATTTCAAAGGCTCAGTTGCCACATATTAGTACTGTCTGAATTGACAACATGCAGGTGTAGACATTTTCTAAGCAGAATGAAGCACCATGAAGTCTTTTTAGTTTTTTAGACTGTGATCACATATATATATATTTATTGTAAAAGAAATCCAGTTTAAGTTTTGACCAATGAATAAGTAAGTAACTACATTTATCTTTTAATTAGATTGGAAACAAAGGAAGCTAAAGAAAAGTAATGTAGTTTCCTTAAAGGCATATAAAGGACTGGCTGAAGTGGCTGTGAAGAGCTTATGTGAGCTGTTGGTGACACTACCTCATTTTAATTTTCACAATAACATCATTGTATTGATTGTTCCTCTCATGAATGACACGTCAAAATCAGTGAGTTGCTTTAAATGATTTTTGCTATTATTCTTAACAGAACATTATAGTCCGTGAGATTTATTTTCCCCAAAAAATTGTTTTGGAGCAATTATTTATTGTTAAACTAGTATCAATTTTTTAAGTACTATCTCTTTAAGAAAATTATTAGAACTAAGTTTAGTGGAGTGATTCCCAACAGGAGGCAGTTTTGCCCTCTAGGGAACACTAGGCAGTGTCTAGAGATATTCTCAGGACTGTGGTGGTGGGGGAGTATGTATTACTACTGGTAAAGCTTAGGGAGATTTTATAGCTCCAATGTGCAGCATAGTCCTGTCACAACAAAGAAAATACCAGTAGTGCCCAGGTTGAAAACACTGGTTTAGTGTAACATTTTATTTTTCAGATATCTGAAATGTGTTGTGAGGCAGTAAAGAAGCTCTTTAAACAAGATAAATTAGGCCAAGCTTCTCTTGGTGTAGTTAAAGTGATTTCTGGTTTTGTGAAAGGCAGAAATTATGAAGTTAGGCCAGAGGTAAGCCTTTCTTTTCTTACTTTGCATTTTATTTGTTTTTAAATTATACAGTTTATTTTAATTGTTCTGAAGAATATTTATTTTATTTATTTATTAGTGGTGCTGGGGATCTACCATTGTGCTAAACCACTAGCCTAAGGAATTTATATACTTCTATAAAGCATTAAAAGTACTTAAAATAATGTAAGCACTATTAACATCTGGTATGTATGTTGTTCTAGGTAGTTTTCTTTGCAGATATATGCTTGCTTATATTTTAAAATAAAAAGTGAGCTTATACTATGAACAGATTTTAGAGCTATTTTTATTTTGTATATTGTGAATTTATGTGTAAGGCTCTCATGTTTTTGGTAATGATAGCCATAATATTCCATCATATGAATAGTGAGTCCCCTACTTATTTTTTTTTTCGACAACTGAGTTGTGTCTGTATTTTTGCTGTTAAAGCCAGTGTTGAAGAAAATATTTTGACCATATGATTTTTATTTTTCATATCATATGAGAATTCTGTGAATGGAATTTCTGAAGTGTAGATACTGGATCCATCATTCCTCACATTTAAAAAACTTGAGAGAGAATGCCAGATTGTCATATTGTCTTCCAAAACATTTTATCACTTAGGTCCTAACTGTCTGCCCAGTACTGAATGTTACTATTTTTTTTTTTAATATGTTTTAGTTGTCAATGGACTTTTATTTTATTTACTTATATGCAGTGCTGAGAATCGAACCCAGTGCTTCATGCATGCTAGGCAAGCACTCTGTCACTGAGCCACAACCTCAGCCCCTAAATGTTACTATTTAATCTTTGTTAGTAGAGTAGGTGAAAAGTTGTATATATTGCATGTATATTTATTTGTACATTTTTATTACTAAGGCTTTGCTTTCATTTGTACATTTATTACTCATTTGAATTTGTTTGCATGTTTGTATTTGGCAGCTTTTCTCTTCTAGGAGTTATCTTTCTTAATGACTTGTGGTAATTCTTTCAACAGTTATTCATTTCAATAAATACCTGTCATGTGCCAGGCACTAGTCTAGGACCTGAGGATAACAAAAGAAACACAATTGAGTGTGTGTGTAGTCTATGAGTGTAGATATTAAATATTTGTTACATAAGTTACAAAGTTTTCTTGGTTAAGCAGCCTTTTTAGTTTGCTTTTGTGCTTTACATATGAGGCTATGTTTTGTCATGCATAGAACCATCTCAGTCTCAAGATTTATAGATTCTTGCTGGGCATGGTGGTACACACCTTTAATCCCAGTGACTGAAGAGGATGAGGCAGGAAGATCACAAATTTAAAACCAGCCTCAACAACTTACTGGGGCCCTAAGCAACTTAGTGAGACACTCTGACTTATAAAAAGGTCTGGATTCAATCTCTAGTACCTACCCTCCGCCACCACCAAAAAAAAAAAAAAAATTATAGATTCTTTCCTTCCAGGTTTTTAATTTTTTTATATTTTGTGTTTAAATATTTAAGCTATTTGACCTGTTTTTGTGTAGATATAATATTACATTTAATATATATAATAGTATCAGTTTAACATTGATTTGGCCAATTATTCCAACACTATTTTCCTTTTTCTGCTGATTTGAAATGCAGATGATTTATTAGATACTAAATTCCTACACAAAAAAACTTTATTTGTGGGGACTGTGGTTATAGCGCAGTGGTAGAGTGCTTGCCTAGCATGTGGGAGGCACTGGGTTCAATTCCCTGTACTATAGAAGGAAAGCCAGTCTTTTTATTTTGAGATATGGTCTAACTGATTTGCCTATGCTGGCCTTGAACTTGTGATCCTCCTACATCATCCCAAATAGCTGGGATAACAGGTGTGCTTCATTGTGTCAGGCTTTTATGTTGTTAAGTGAAGTTTTATAGTTTTCTTCATTTGGGTCTTAGATACTTTTATTAAATTTCTTTTTAATTATAAAGTTTGATGGTTAAGTAGATATTTTTTACTCATGTGTTTAAGTTCCCTATTTTATAGTTGTCCTTTGCTATCAAATTCCCTTTGTTTCCTTAAAACTAGATTTCTGCTGAACCACCAAAATGATAACTATAAGGTTTAAGTAAAAGAAAATCTTTAGAATTTTTACTCAGAATTATAAAGTGATCAGTTAATAAGGCTTGTACATGAAACTCAGCTATAGAGAAACTATTCATTTCAGTGTTACTAGAATAAAAAACTACATCCTTTTCGTTGTGGTGGTGGTGCTGGTGCTGGTCATTGAAGCTAGGGCCTTTTGCATGTTAGGTAAACATTTTATCACAGATCTAAATTTCTAGCCCCATAAAAACCACAACCTTTAATTTGAAGTTACTTTTGATTGGTGAATGATATTTTATGAGCACCTAGAATACCTACAAAATATTAGAAATTGATCTTTCTAATACCTAGAATGGCCCAGGTTTCCACTTTATGCCTTTAGTAATTGCTTGTTTTCATTCTGAGCTTTTAGCCCCGCTATCTGAAATACTCAGCTTTCTTCTACATGTGCATATTGGAACGTCAAAATAATACAAACCTGTAGTTTTCAAATGTTTGTTCCAGGAATGCTACTGTGACTGAAGGAAGTCAGTAGGATAGTTTCTTCCAGAGAAACAAAATATAGTATTTGAAACCTTTTTGTTTGTTGTGTTTAAATATGAGAATGGTTGCTGTAGCACATAAAACATCAATTTTCAAATTGGTTTCTGGAATTTTGAGTGGCTTAAGATAAAAGTTCTCATTTTGGTCTATGGACCAGCATCAGTTGGAAATTAGAAACATAACTAGGGCTTGACTCCATACCTGCTGAAATAGAAATTCTGGGGATGGGATCCAGCTATTTGTGTTTTAACATGTTGTCTGGGTATTTCTGATACTTGATAAAATTGGGAAACCATTGGTTTAAAGGAAAATTAGTTTTCTTTCAATAATAACAATAGTCTTCATGCTGTTTTTTTTTTTTTTTATTGTGAGAAACACATGAAGACTAACACCATTAACTGCAAAACTGAAGCAACTAGCCAATCCCTAAAAAACAAATGCCAAATGTCTTCTTTGATATAAGGAGAACAACTAAGAACAGAGCAGGGAGGAAGAGCATGAGAAGAAGATTAATATTAAACAGGGACGAGAGGTGGGAGGGAAAGGGAGAGAGAAGGGAAATTGCATGGAAATGGAAGGAGACCCTCATTGTTATACAAAATTACATATAAGAGGAAGTGAGGGGAAAGGGAAAAAAAAAACAAGGGGGAGAAATGAATTACAGTAGATGGGGTAGAGAGAGAAGAGGGGAGGGGAGGGGAGGGGAGGGGAGGGGGGATAGTAGAGGATAGGAAAGGCAACAGAATACATCAGACACTAGTATGGCAATATGTAAAACAGTGGATGTGTAACTGATGTGATTCTGCAATCTGTATACGGGGTAAAAATGGGAGTTCATAACCCACTTGAATCAAATGTATGAAATATGATATGTCAAGAGCTTTGTAATGTTTTGAACAACCAATAATAAAAATTAAAAAAAAAAAAACCCTGAAGCAAGCTTAGTAAATTAAAGCCAGGTTCAAAATATCTTAATTTATATTTCCTCCTTCCATATTGTCCAAACCTTTTTCTATCTTGCTTACTCTTTGTAATCCTATCTACCAATGTAAGTAGTCTATGTCATCGTCATTACAGTAAAGTTTTATGTATTTAGTCAAATATTGTTGTTCACAAATAAGTGAATATGATTAGCAAAAGATAGTAGAACTGTGTGTAAAATGTGATAAAAAATGCTTGAAAGTGGTTTTGCATGATAGGAGGAAATAACATTGTTAAATGCTATTTTTTTCTATATAAATTTTTGAGGGTATAGATATTAAGTTATATATTTGTATTTTTTTCCAATATTAGATGTTAAAAACATTTTTGTGCCTAAGAATCAAGGAAGTAGAAGTAAAAAAAGATACAGAAGACATCAATAAGCCCAAAAAGTTCATGACTTTCAAGGAAAAGAGAAAAACTCTATCAAGAATGCAGAGAAAGGTTTGGTTTATTTCCATTTTTGTTTTATTTAAGTGTTGTTTTATTTGATTTTTTATATTTCAAAATCTGAGAGTGGGGCATGGTAGCACGTGTCACAGCTATTTGGGAGATTGAGGCAGGAGAGTGCTATAGCCCATGAGTTGGAGGCCAGCATGGACAACATATTGAGACCCTGCTCAAAAAAAGAAACAAAACAAAACATTTTGAAACCTAGTATTTATTTTTTATTTGTTTTAGTACTAGAGATTGAACACCGGGGGCACTTTCCTGTTGATGAGCCACATCCCCAGTCCTTGATAAACTTTTTAGAAATTTTGATACAGGATCTTGCTAAATTGCTGAGGGTTTTGCTAAGTTGCTAGACTGGTCTCAGACTTGCAGTCCTACTGTCTCTCGCAAAAATCTAATACTTAGAGAATTTAATTTTTACCAGTTATTTCAAAAAATGTTTTCTTATATCAATTTGAATTGACAATTATTGGCAAAGAACAGTAGGTGGAAAGGTATTTTTGTCATGGGCTTTTATTCTTTTGCTTTTTAGATCAATTTAGAATCATTTGTTTTACACAGATTGTTTTTTTTTTTTTTTTTTTTCTTAAAAGGATACATTTAGGCTGGGCTTATAGCTCAGTGATAGAGCACTTGCCTAGCATGTATGAGGCACTGGGTTTAATTCTCAGCACTGCATATAAATAAGTAAAGGTCCATCAATAACTAAATAAATATAAACACGTATACACACACACACACACACACATATATATATATATATAATAATATGTAAATATTAAATATAAAAGGATGCATCCATGTGAAGATTGGAGCCACACGTGAGCTTGTTAATTGAATCATTTTTGGGGGGTTAGAATTCCCACCCCTTGTTAAACCTGAGTTGAAATTTATCCCATTGTTGTTTACTGAGACTTTAGAAACCTTTGTTTTAAAAAGACAACTAGTATCTTCCTTAGAGAATCATTATACAGTTTAAATGAGATGATGATGTATTATAAACTTAAGAGTTTATAATACTGGATATGCTTTATAAACAGTAGTTGTTACCACCACTAAATTCATTATTTTTATCACTTAAATACAACATTTTTAAACAGTTTGTTAGAGTTATGAAATTACTTGTAAAAACGAAACAAAAAGTAATTTCCAGTGATCTCTATGACTGGTCTTCATACATTTTCAAAACATGACAGAAGTAATAGACTTAATTATAAACAAAGAAAATAAATACATTAAGATGGTATTGTTTAAATACTTAATAAGTTGGATGTCTCTGTGGGGGCCAGAGGGGACAAAGACCAATAAAAACATGGCAACTTTTTAACAGTTTCTTAATGAAGGAATGAAATTTCCTTAGTCAGTTCTCTATGCCTCAGGCAGCTTAGCAGCATTGTTTGCTGCTCTTCCAACATTAGGAAGTGGAAAAAAATTGGATATTTTATTGAATTTTTAAAGTAATATCTGGTTTTATTTATTATGTGAAATGTGATTGGGAGGAATTATTGATGATGGGCTAATAACTCTAGGAGTTATTTTTGTGTTCAGTGAATGTTCTCTTTTTTATGTTTTGAAAAATTTAATTGTAGAAAATTATATCCCATTGTATCTATTGCTCAAAATGAACAAATGTTAAAAGATTTACTTCTGTTTTTTTCTTGAAATGAAAGAAACCATTAGAAGCTGGATGTTGTGGCATACATCTGTAATCCCAATATCACGGGAGGCTGAGCCAGTGAGGATCCAGAGTTCAAAGCCAGCCTACACAGCATAGCAAGACCGTATTGCATAAATAAATGAATAATGACCGTATTGCATGAATGAATGAGTGAATGAATGAATGAATGAATGAGCAAGCAAGCAAGCAAAGAAAGAAATCATTGTTGAGAGGCAGGAGTCTCATTTGTTTCTCTTTCCAGTCTTGTTCTTCTGCTTCCCTCCCAGGAGGCAGTCACCATTATAAATATGGCTTGCATATACATCTGTTCCATGGGTTCTACTTTTGCTTATATTTACCTTCCTAGACAATATGTGTTTTTTTTTTTAAAAAAAATGATTCATTCATTTCTTTTTCCTGTTCAGAATTTTTAACCTGTACATTAGAATTGTACATAATAGGATACATTGTGACATATTTGCACACACACGACACAAGTTTCACTCCCCAGAATCACCCCTTTTTTCCCTCCCTTACCCAGTTCTCTTCCTCTACTGATTTTCCTTCTAATTTCATGAGTCCTCCCTCTAGTATATGGTCAGATATGTGTTTTATAATGTTGACATTTTGCTTGTTTGCTTTTTTTCACTCAATGGTATACTTACTTTCTCCTCCTATTTTCAGTGGAAGAAAGCAGAAGAGAAACTAGAGCGAGAGCTTCGGGAAGCAGAAGCTTCTGAGAGTACGGAGAAAAAACTTAAGCTAGTAGGTAGTTTCATATTCTCTTATGCTTTTCAGAATGTTTTATTATATGATTTTAACCTGAAAATTATTGTTTCAACTTGTAGGTAGATAATTTTGATTTATTTCATGAGGCTTAGATGATTTTTAGGGTGCTCAAGAAACTATTGTGTGGTCAGTGTTAGTTTTATGAATCAAAAAATGTATATTTTCATTCTATTTTGTTAAAGTTCCAAAGATTGACTTATGGGGAGAGATGATAAGGGAAAAAGAAGATTTAACTTTGAAAGTCATAGTTGTGTTAGCTCAAGGAAAGCATACCAGGTTACCCTAAGGTGATTTTGTCTGTTTCCTCTGCCAGCACACGGAGACCCTGAATATGGTATTTGTAACCTACTTCAGAATATTGAAGAAGGCCCAGAGATCACCTCTTCTGCCAGCAGTCCTTGAAGGTCTTGCCAAGTAAGGGCTGTGTAGGTTGAAATCTTTTAGATTCCTTATAAATATAATGTTCTCTGTCCTCATTCGCTTTTTGTCTTTCCTTAAACTGTTTGTAACAAAAGGCTTTTTTGGTTTTGTTATCTCAACGTTTTATTTTTTAAGTCTTCGTTAACTCTTTCCTTCTGTTTTGTACATTGTAGGCGTCCTTAAAGTTCATCTCTCAGTCCTTGGTTCTTTTTTGCACTGTGTAGTCAGTTATCTACCAAATCCCAGCTTGTACATCATTTCTCGAATCCTCTATAATATGTTTCTGTTAAAATACGTCTTTTTGCATATCCTATTAATACTGATTACTTTCTTGAAGAATGGTTGTCCTGATAGCTTTCTATTATTAGTTATGAGATGGTATCCTGTATAATATTGTTAACCAATAAAAATATAAGGTGAACTACATATGCAATTTAGCTATATTATTACAAAGGTGAAAAGATACAAGTGAAATGTATTTTATTAAATTAGATTTATCTAACATTATTTTAACATACAATTTGTATTAAGTATTAATGAGATAGTTGGCATTCTTTTTTTTTCCCCCTCTTCTTTTTAGCATAAAAGAGTAGGATTTATTTAAATGAGAAGAAAAGAAGCAGAGTTTTTACCTGGCAAAGGCGCGTGGTGAGGGGGGTGCGGTGATGGGGGGTCAGGATCTGATAGGTTGCCCTTGGCATCCTTTTTAAAATATGTCTTTGAAAACTAGTATATATTATATACTTACAGTACATCTCAATTTGGATCAGCCACATTTCGAGTTTCTAGTAGTCATATGTAGCTAGTGCCTACCATTATTGGATAACACAGATTTAAAAATAGAAATAGGACTTATGGCTGGAAGATATAGAAAAGGCAAGTTCTGTTCATTATAAGAAATTACTTTCTAATGACTAAAGTTGTTTGGCATTGGGTTGCATTTCTTTATAGGGTAATGTCCTCATCCTTGAGAATTCTCAAAGAAAGGCTAATCAGAGAAGGGATTACTCTTACATTATGTAAAACTTGCTATTTATTTTTTTAATGGCCAATTTCCTTATTTAAGTTTTTTTTTTTAAACCTGCTTATTTTAGAAGCAAATAAAAAGAATCTAAATAATCCAAATAAAAAGAATCTAAACTTTAAAATAAATTCCCTTTCTTGTACATCTATATAAGTCTGCTTGCCTGCCGCCTTTCACAAATGGAATCATGCTTACATATATGTCCTGTAACTAGACATTTTTATTGTATTTTTCCATGTTAGCACATATAGATGACTTAATTTTTTAAGTTCCTAATACTCCATTTTATGGATACGAATATTTGTTTAGCCTTTCCCCTGTGTTACTGCTTGTATATATATCTTCATGCACTTGCATGCATCTATTGCCAGGTCAAAGGGTATGCTCGTCTTCACTTCTGATAAATAATGCCAAATGGCTTCCCACAAAATGGTACTAATAGACATGGACTGTCACTTCTAATGTATTACTTCTTTGGTCTCTCCTTGGTCTAAGATTTATATAGCAAAAATTCTTTATTAATATTTAAAAGGTATCCTGGCTTAAGCCAACTTTAGTGCCTAATAATTTATAGTATACATACAGGGTAGGCTCACATTTAGTAGCTCACATGATTCTCTCTTTTTTTTTTCATATGTTTTTAGTTATACATGGACACGGTATCTTTATTTTGTTTATTTATTTTTAATGTGGTGCTGAGGATTGAACTTAGGGTCTCACACATGAGAGGCGAGTGTTCTACCGCTGAGCCACAATCCCAGCCTCTTATATGATTCTCTTTAACCCTATTGGTAGTCTCAGTTATTTCCAGAAATAGAGGCCCAAGACAGTCAAATTACAGTCTAGGATCATATAGGTAATTAGTAGCAAGAACCTCAACTAAACACCAGTTCCTATAGTCTTCTAATTTTATCTTCAAAGCTGTCATAGGGTCCATATGATCTTTTTTGGGTGCTGGGGATTGAACTTAGGGTCTTGTGCATGCTAAATATGCACTCTATCATTGAGCTGTGCCCCAAGACCTGGGGTCTTATAAATGACAGAATCTTTCTTTCTCTCTTTCTACTACCTGTTTTCCTAGAAGCTGACTCTGCTGGCTCCTTTGTGAGTTTTCATACTGCTAGAAACCTAGTAAACTTTCCCCAGGGAGTATATTTGCTCTTAGCAACTTCTAAGGAAAAAGTGTTTTAAAATATTTTTGATCTGTTTAGTGCTTTATATATTCCTGCTGAGCACAGTGTCTATTAGTGTGAATCATTATTAATATTAATAATCACTATAATATCTGTCATAATTAACATTTTAAAATAAGGAGTATTAAAAATCAAGTTTTAAAGTCAAGTTTAATTTTTACCTACATATTTCTGCTTTTTGATCATCCTTTAACTAAGTTTTGCTTAATTTTAGGTTTGCTCACCTTATAAATGTGGAATTTTTTGATGATTTATTAGTGGTTCTTCACACTCTCATTGAATCTGGTGTAAGTAACTATTAATTAATTACTTTTTAAAAGATATAAATGATAATTATCATTCTTAATAGCTTTTTTCTTTTTAAAGGACCTAAGTTACCAAGAAAGTCTTCACTGTGTTCAGACTGCTTTTCATATTCTTTCTGGGCAAGGTAAGATATTTTCTTAATCAAGTTTGTTTGCTTTGTCTTCAGAAGCTGTACTTACCTAATATATATTTGTTTTCATTTCAAAGGTGATGTTCTAAATATTGATCCAATGAAATTCTATACACATCTCTACAAAACGCTATTCAAATTACATGCAGGTATGTATGTTAAAATAATATTTCCTTAATACATATTTATCTTCTAATTGTATATGACCAGAATTATAGTCAATGAGAAATTGGCATAGGTACCTAATATACTGGCTTGCCAGTGCACACATCTGAATTTAACCTTACGAAAGACTTGAAGAAAGAGTAACTTCCGGGTTTTTTTTGGTACTGGGGATTGAACCTGCGGTGCTTAACTGGGCTCACATCCCCAGTCCTTTTTTATTTTGAGACAGGGTCTTGCTAAGTTGCTTGGGGCCTCACTAAGTTGCTGAGGCTGGTCTCAAACTTAAAATCCTCCTGAACTTTTGGTACTGACTGAAAAAGCCCATTGCATCTCTTAGCAGTACAGTACTTTTTAGTGATTAGGGAAATGATTTGAGACAGGTATAACAATTCAGCTTGTTTGTGTTTTTCTGGAGTTCAGTGAAGTTGCGTAATGAAAAAGTAATGAGAAGAGTTCTGAAGAATATATCTGTTGTTTTAGGTGCTACCAATGATAGTGTTGAGATTGTACTCCAGTGCCTCAATGTCATGCTAACCAAGCGCAGAAAGCAAGTTTCTCAACAGCGAGCCCTTGCCTTCATCAAGCGCCTTTGTACCCTTGCTCTTCAGGTTCTTCCGAATTCAAGCATTGGCATTTTAGCAACTACCAGAATATTAATGCATGTAAGTAGTAATACAAATAAGGAGAACTAGGTTCTTATAATACTGCAGTCACATTTTGTTTGTTTGATCTGTGTCTTTTTCCCTCTTTTATATTGTTATTTTAACCACAAAAGTTATTCACAACTGGGTGTGGTGTCACATGTCTGTAGTCCCAGCTCCTTGGGACATTGAAAAATGGAAGCAAGAGTGTTAACGTTGCTTGAGCCCAAGAGTTTGAGGCTAGTCTGGGCAACACAGTGAGACGCTGTTTTGTTAGAAAAGTCAGATAGGAAAAATAATTCACATTTGTAACAAGATCAGGTGATAGAAGAAGTACAGCATAAAATTACATAAGGAAAGGATTCTGTATCTGCTGACACTTCTCAAATGTAATTATTTTTATCACTTGGTGTGTATCCTTCCTATAGACTTTTTGAAATTCATGTATAAGTACTTGCACCACACACAAAACGAACAATTTTTTTTTTTTTTTGTAATAGAAAGGAGATTAAGGGGATTATGGATACACTGTTTTTTAAAAACACTTAATGGTAGTGAATACAATACAAATATTGCCATTTTATCTCTTTAATAATTAAGGTTTATTTAGTTCTTTATTTAACAAAGACTTGTATAGTTCTTACTATGTATCTGCCACTTTTATAAATGCTTTACAAAGATTAATTCACTTAATTTTTATGACCCTGAGGTAGCTGCACTTATTGTTCCCATGTTACAAATGGTAAAACAGGTCGAAAGAGAAAGTAACTTTCTTACTTTTTTTTTTTGAAAGTAATTTCTTAAGATGACACAAATATTAAGTGTTAGAAGTGGCATTCAAATTTAGGTAGTCTGGCTTTTATACTTCTTTGTAGTTCTCTTGATGGATATAGGTTATTATTGTTACTGCTGTTAACCAATGATGCTGTATTGAATATATGTGTATTGGATGTATTTTTGTAAGAAAGATTCTTTTTTTAAAATATTTTTTAGTTGTTGATGGACCTTTATTTTTTCTTTATTTGTATGTGGTACTGAGAATAGAACCCAGTGTCTCCCACATGCTAGGCAAGCACTCTGCCACTGAACTACAACCCTAGCCCTTGTAAGAAAGAGTCTTAAAAGTGGGATTGGAGAGTGGAAAAAATATTTTGTTTTCTTTTGCAAGAAAGAAAACAGAATATTCTTGTTTTCTTCTCAAACAAGACATTCTTTTGCAATTTTTTTCTTACTATATAAACTTAAATGACTTCTTATTAAAGACCTTGTGCTTGTAGCTTGTATATAACCACAAATTCAAATGAAACACAAGTACAGACCAATGAGATTCTTAAAATTACAATATTAATTTATTAATTCTCCCTTTTAATGTGTTTTTGTAGACTTTCCCCAAAACAGATCTATTGCTTGACAATGAATCTCAGGGAAGTGGGGTTTTCCTCCCTGAGCTGGATGAGCCCGAGTACTGTAATGCTCAGAACACTGCACTGTGGGAATTGCATGCGCTGCGGGTAAGAGTAGCCCTATTTATTTATTTTTCTTCTTTTGTGAGCAATAATTTTTCAGTTTCCTCAAATAGTTATTATTGTCAGAGGACTTACTGTATTTTGTTCTGGGGAATATCTGTTTTACAATTCATATTTTAATATTGCATTTCACTTTGCTTTTGTTATTCTTTAAGCTGTTAAGGTCCATTCTCTAAGACAGTAGAAAACAATGACAATTTTTATATTGATCTTATCCAAAGATACTTCAGTAGGCCACATTTCATGGTTTTACCTAAGTCCTACAACATCCTTGTTCCTGCATATGGATAGCATTAGAGTGAGCCTTGTGAAATATGAGTATCAGGTGAGTTGTTGTAAACTATTTTCACTCAGAAGTAGGAATTACTTTTTAATATTTTTTTAATACTATAAAAGCAAGACTAAACTATGTCACTGGTAACTTGGTCATCAAACAGATTTGTTTTTTAAAAAATATTTATTTAGTTGTAGATGAACACACAGTGTCTTTATTTATTTTTATGTGGTGCTGAGGATCGAACCCAGTGTCTCACAAATGCAAGGCAAGTGCTTCACCACTGAGCCCTAGCCCCAGCCCCCAGATTTGTGTTTTAATCCTGTCAGCAAAAATTATATTCTTTCTGTAGGCATGTGGTTCTGATAAGTTAAATACATATATGTGGGTGTTTTTTTTTTTAAAGCAAGATTTTGTGGTTTTATTAAAGAAAATCTTTGCTCAGCTAGTGTTTTCTAAAGTACTGACCTGTGCACGATGTGGTTTTCCTGTTTCTTCTTCAGAGACATTACCATCCCATTGTGCAGAGATTTGCAGCTCACCTAATGGCTGGAGCACCTTCTGAAGGCTCTGAAGCATTGAAACCAGAATTGAGCCGAAGGTAATATTTAGCATCGCTTTATTCTTTTCCTTTTTTGTTTTCTTTGCAGTGTGAGAGATTGAACCCAGAGCATTGCTTTATTCTAAAACTACAAAATTTAGAGACTTGAAATGAAGATTAGTGGTAGAGCACTTGTCTACTAGTTCATTCAAGGCCCTGGGTTTGATCCCCCGTATTTCAGGAGAAAAATTAGAAAAGAAGACAACTACCAAAATTCAGCTGATAGCTCTTTACTTTGAAAAGTCTAGTACTATGAAGTACTAGATTACAAAATGTTAAGTGCAAGTTGAGGGTCAGGTTTTTGTCTCACTTCATATTCCTGAATTGTTCTATAGATAAAATATGCTGGCTAGTTGAAAGTAGTGATTCCTATAATCCCAGCTACTTGGGAGGCTAAGGCAGGAATATTGCAAGTTCAAGGTCAGCCTGGACAACTTAGTTAGACTTTATCTCAAAAATTAAAAAAATTAAAAAAGGAATGGGAGTATAGCTCCGTGGTAAGAGTTTGCTTAGCATGTGTGAGGCCTGTGTTTAATCCTCAATTCTGCACAAATCAATGAAAAAGTATGCTGGCTGTGATTTTATTTGTTTGGATAATTCCTTAAAACTTAAAAGAAAAAAAAAATCCTGAAAAGTTTCACACATATAGAAAAGTAAAAAGAGTAGTGTAGTGAAAAGTCCAATCAGAGTGAGCTTCCTTGCTCCTTTTTTTTTTTTTTTTTTTTTAAGTGCTGGAGATCCAGCCTAGTAGCTATCACTGAGCTACATGCCAAGCCCTCTTCTTCTTTTTTTAAAAAACAATTCTGCTATGGCAGAAAATGAGGAAAGTGAGGGAAAAAAAAGGGGGTGTTTTGGAATACTGCCACCAGAAAGACAACAGTTTCATTCCTTGGGCCTCCCAAGAATACCTTCCAACCTATAAAAAGGTCAGAAGGGAACTTCCAGCATCCACTGTATGCTTCTAGATGGGAAACGGGTCCTTCTAAAAGAAATTTCTTTTCTTCTAATGTTGTATTTTGGAAATATTCTGAAGTTGGAAAAATAGTAATTAATCTGTATCCCATCAAATTAGTTAGGAAATACTTCAGTTAAATACAGTAGAAGATAAATGGTAGCTATTTTTATCTTAGACCATTTATGCTTCCTTCAGAAAAATATATGACACTCAGTAATATATAAAGAACAGAAATTTATTTTCCCAAGTTCTGCAGATTGGGAAGTCCAAGATAATGGGGCCTTGTTGTATCATTTCTGATACAACAAGGAGTGGAGGAAGGACAAGCTATGCAGAGGCTATGAGAAAGCATCTTTGAGGATCCATTAATCCCTCATGGCCTTATTAGCCCATTTCTTGTACTGTCACATTGGCCATTAAGTTTTGATACCTGAATTTTGAAAGGGACACATTCAAACCATAGTACTTTGTTTGTAACCAGTACCCAGAATTAGCATTTTGCTGTTGCGGTAAATTTTTTTCCCTTGTAAGTGCTCTGTTTTTGTTTTTTTTTTTCTTTCTTTCTTTCCTTTCTTTTTGGTACTGGGGATTGAACCCAGGGATACTTTACCACTAAGCTACATCCCTAGTCCTTTCTACTTTTTTATTTTGAGATAGGGTCGCACTAAGCTTCTTAGGGATTTGCTAAGTGCTGGGGCTGCAAAATTCTCCCACCTCAGCTTTCCAAACTGCTGGGAATACAGGCATGCACCACCATACCCAGCTAGCCTCTGGTTTCTTTAATTCAGATACCACAGGTGACTTGAAGAGTGGGCCAGACTCTTCGGAGTTTGAACAAAAGTTTAAATTAATTGCTGTCTTTTGAATATTGGAAGAATTCACGTAACTTTGACATTTCCAGCTTCTCCTGAGATACTAGACTTGGTGATTTTGGCCTGTATTTTTACATGGCAGTATCAATAGTCAGTTACTGTTCCCTCTAAAAGGGTTGCTTTCTGGCTAGGATAATCTTTTGGCCTTATTAAATAATGGCCATTTACCTTTTTCTTCCTTCTTACTTCCTAACAGTCCCCATCCCCCACCTTCAACCGTATTTTTTTAAAGTGGGGAAAAAGAAAATTGTTTGTCATTCATAGTACCTTCATTTTGTTCATCCATTTTTATGTGCTGCTGAGGATCGAACCCAGTGCCTCACACGTGCCAGGCAAGCACCCTACCAATGAGCCACAACCCCAGCTCCTCTTTTTATTTAATGATCATTTTCTGGTATATTTTCATTAGTGATCCTCAGTATTTTCCTCTTTAATGCCAGTTTTTCTTTTCTGGAGGAAGATGAAGATTGCGTTTATCCTGAAGGCTTGCAAAGGGAGATACATATGTGTTGCTTTTCTGACAGAGATTGGGTGTAAGCTTAATCATAGACCTTACAGGTCATTTCCTGTCTCCTTTGGGGAAAGTGAACTAACCTTAAATTATTAAGGTTTCACGTACATGATGTGGATATAGACATGTTTTCTGTCCTGAGTGTCCTTTCCTTGTTTTTCATCCGGTTCAGCTGTATTTTGAAGTCCCTGGGGGATAACTTCATGCTTCCAATGACTAAGTTAGATTTAACTGCTTCTGGTTCACATAACTGATTGAGTTGGGATTTGATTACACTGAGCTAGAAGTCTTCTGCTTGACTTTTCCTCTGTGTTTTGTTCCTGCATTTCTTTCTTTCTTTCTTTCTTTCTTTCTTTCTTTCTTTCTTTCTTTCTTTCTTTCTTTCTTTCTTTCTTTCTTTCTTTCAATATTTACTTTTTAGTTGGACACAATATCTTTATTTACTTATTTTTTTTATGTGGTGCTGCGGATCGAACCCAGAGCCTCGCACATGCCAGGCGAGCACTCTACCTCAGAGCCACAACCCCAGCCCATTGTTCCTGCATTTCTAAATGTATTCTACACTTCTCTGCGATAGATTAGTTGGATAATGTTGACATCTGGGAATTTAGGATTCATTTTAAGCTAGCGAGTTTGGGTACAATCTATTTTCAAGTTCTAACTATGACAGTATCTATATTTCTTACATTTGTTTTTATAGATCTGCAGTTGAACTTTTTGAGACTTACAGCATGGCAGCAATGACTTTCAATCCTCCTGTTGAATCATCAAACCCCAAAAAGAAGGTATGTGATACTTTTCATTCAAAAAAAACAAAAACAAAAACTTGCATGTCTTTAATTATTTTAACCTTTAGCTTGCTTAATTGTTTGTGGTTTTTGTTTATGTTTTAAGAGTTGATAGTAGGATAGATGTTTAGATTTGGAATTTTATAGAGATGGTCAGTGAGACTGCTTCACTCAATATAGGATACATCTTTGACCTGACCAAACATCTTTCATTATTAAATTTTATTTGTTGCTATCAGCTGTTGCTATTTATAGCTTTGCTCACAGCTTGGGTTTTACTTAAGAACATAAGTAACTTTTTAACTCATATTTTTAATTTTTTTTTCCAGGATAAATTTTTACAAGGAGATTCATTTTTGAATGAAGATTTAAATGAACTAGTCAAAAGACATTGTAGTGAAGTTGCTATAGAGTCACCTCTGGATTTCACCAAATATTTGAAAACATCACTATGGTAGCACAAAAATGAAGAGTCAGTGGACTTCCTTGTATATTTGTATGTGGTAAAGATAAATTGTTGACTTAGAAATATTTCTTCTTCTACAAGGAAAACTTCCTAAGAATGATTAGGAAGAGAAATAATTACCCTTTGCATGATATAAAGCTATGCCCCAATTAAGAAAATGTTATTTCATTAAAAAAGGAAAATTGAAAACCTTCTTTTTCTCCCGATATTTGGAAGTTTCCTTCTTAATGATGCTGCCTTTTAAAAACTTAATACATATTTAGTTAGTTTTTTTTTTTTTTTTGTACCAGTGATCGCATCCACTGGTGCTTAACCACTGAGTTATGTCCCCAGCCCTTTTTAAAATTTTTTTATTTAGAGACATGATTTCAGTAAGTTGTTGAGGGCCTAAGTTGCTGAGGCTAGCTTTGAACTTGTGATTCTCCTGTTTTAGCCTCCCAAGCTGCTGGGGCCACTGGCCCCAGCTTAAGTTACAGTTTTTAAAATAATCTTTGGGTGTGATAATGTAGCTCAGTGGTAGAATGTGTGCCTCGCCTACAGGAGGCCTTGGGTTCAATCCCTAGCACCACACACATATACAAAATCTCTGAGTTAGATATTATTGAAATTTAGTTGCCATATTAAAATTAGGGCATAAAACATAGGACATTTAAGATTGAGAGTGTTTTTATCATTTAGCCACTTCCTAAAACTAAATATTTAAAAAACTAAATAAATATTATTGTTCTTGTAATACTATAGATGGAAATAAAAAACATTCTAAATTTGAGTGAGTATACATTGTATGCAGATTTTTGAGGAAAGGGAAAAAAATAGCTTGAAATTGGACTTAGGTTCATTGGCTCACTTCAAGAAGTCACCTAATTTGGTCTTTTATAAAAAGGATGAGTGTTTATTATGGCTACTTTCAAAAGAAGTTTGAATGTGATTCTAGTATCTTTGAAGTTCTGTGTGTTTCCTGACATGCCCTGGAGGCTGTTAGGGGAAGAACTGCTCTAAGAGGGAAGAACCCAGCCCAAGAATTTCCATCTTGTTTTAGGGACAAAGGGAATCCAGCAAAAGGCCTTCCTAATTTTTTTAAAAAAATACAGGTAAAATATGTATATATATATATATATATATATATATATATATATACATAAGTATTTTTTAGTTGTAGGTAGACACAGTCACCTTTATTTCATTTTTATGTGGTGCCGAGGATCAAACTCAGTGTTTCACACATGCTAGGCAAGTGCTCTACTGCTGAGCTGCAACCCCAGGCCAAAATGTATATTCTTAATGAATATAACTATAAAACAGTATTTTATGTAACAGCAATTGTTAGTTATTGTCTTATTCTAACAACAGTTTATGAAATATGTTTCAATGGCCAGGGAAATATTTTCTACTGTTAATAGTTGAATACATAGCTGCTTTCTCTGTTTCCTGTTTTTGATGTGAGAATTTTTTTAAAAAAGGATACTAGTCTAACTAAGTAGATCTCTCATTGCTTCATAACCATATTCAGAACCATAAAAACTAGTTACTTTGGTTTCTTATGAAATAAATAAAAATTGAAAAATTCCCTTGTCATTCCAGCAGTGGGAGTGTGGATATCAGTTTAACTGTGCACGTCAGTCTTCCCCACCAATCCCACCCACCCCAGGATGGGGATTGAGCCCAGCGCCTCAAACATGCTAGGCAAGTGCCCTACCACTGAGCCACAACCCCAGCCCCCATGTCCAGCCCTTTTAAAATTTTATTTTGTGCTAGGGTCTCATTAATTTGGTAGGCTGGGCTTGAACTTGTAGTCCTCCTATCTCAGCCTCATGAATAACTGGGATCAGATGTGGGCCACCACACCCTGTTTTGTTTTCAAATAAGTCTTTTCTTTATATGTGATTTGAAAAGTATTTCTTTTTTTTTTAAATGTTTTAGTTGTAGTCGGACACAATACCTATATTTCACTTATTTATTTTTGTGTGGTGCTGAGGATCGAACCCAGGGTTTTGCACGTGCGAGGTGAAAGGTCTCCCACTGAGCCACAACCCCAACCCTTGAAAGGTATTTCTGAGGTCACATTTCAAAGGCTTGATTGTTAAGGATAAAAAAGGTATGTTTTAGCATATAAATATTTACTTATAACCTCCATTTAGATATAAATGAATAACAAAGAATATTATAAATATTTCTGTGACTAAACAGGGTTTCTGTCCTTATCAGAGCACAAGTGACCAATACACATCAAACTATTTTCCAAACATATACAAATATAGGGGCTAGGGTTGTGGCTCAGTGGTAGCACACTCGTCTGGCATGTATGAGGCACTGGGTTGGATTCTCAGAACCATATATAAATAAATGAATGAATGGATGAATAAAGTTAAAAAATGTCAAATACATTTATGTTTGACTTTGGCAGCAAAAACTGTAATTTAGGTGAAAAATCAGTTTTAGAGCAGGAATTCAATGGCTTTTTCAAGCTTGCATTATGCTTTTAACTTTTTTTGTTTGTGTATTTATATAGTGAGTCACAGATCATTGTATATCTAGTATTTAAATATCTTGTATGAATATGGGTATGAAATATATTTGTGCATAAATTTGTCAGTGAGTTTCATTTTTTGAAGATAAGTGTCGTAGTCAGTAGTCATACACTCACCTAAGCTACCACCTTTTTTTTTTTTTTAATAAAACCGAGCGCTTACTGTGTGCTTAGTATTATACTAGATGTTAAGAAATAAGGTGAGCTAATAATAGGCACAAGACAGACTCATTCTTCTATTACTTTTCATGCTGAGTCAAGTCATTTGCATAATACTTTTTAAAAAATGCAGCATTACCCAATTCTGTGTCAAAATAAGTTATTTAATACCTGTGTCATTTGAAGTAAGAATGGTCTCAGAGCTGTTTGATGGCAGGCTTGAGCATAGTATGTTTGTATTCCAAGAGACTTAAGAATGTTTTAATAATCATGGAGATTCAGGGTGTTTTTCAAAACTATTTCAGGTGTTCATAGGTCAAAATCCTTAGCCATCTGCCAAAGTTTGTTTTTAAGTAGTTGATACATAAAGATAGCAGAGAACACATAAATTTTCTATGGATCATGGAGATGTTGGCCTAAGTCTGAACTTTGTCCAAGAAGTAGTCTCCCTTTTCTCTCTCTCTCTCTCTTTTTTTTTTTTTTGAGTACTGGGGATTGAACTCAGGCACTCAACTACTGAGCCTCATCCCTAAGCCCTATTTTGTATTTAAATATTTAGAAAAGACAGGGTCTCACTGAATTGCTTACGGCCTCGCAAACTTGCTGAGGCTGGCTTTGAACTTGCAATCCTTCTGCCTCAGCCTCACGAGCTGTTGAGATTACAGGCATATGCCACCACACCTGGCCCTTTTCTCTTTGATAACTTTTTTTGGGCTCTTGTCCTTAGTGCTGATGCAAAAAAAGCAACCCAAAAGGGGTAGAGACTGCCACCTTGAGAGCACTTTTCCAGTAGGTTGCCTTACTCTGCCAAGACAAATACCAGCCAGGAAAATTGTACTCTTCATTGGTTTGGGAACATAATTGTGGAGCTTTGTGTTTTAGAGTTAATGAACCAGTAAGCAAGTCCTGATTCCTTTTAAGCATTAAGCAAGGCCTGTGGTATCTGAGCAGAAGAAAGGTCTATAGAGATATTAGAAAGAGTAGAGAACAGTGGAGGAGGAAGATATAGTTACAAAAGGGAAACTGGTATATATCAAAAGAGGTCCACTTTCACTCATGACCCTACAGTGTCTTCAGAGCATCAAGATGGGAACTCTTTATGAAATCAAGCCTTGATTAAAAACAAGGCACTTGTAACTGCACTTTTGTTTACTCCGGACTCCATATTTATCCCTAACTGGAGAAAGAATTTGTAAATAGCTTACATATGTGCTATGGATGACATGTGAAGAGGCTTTTGCTCAAAAGGACACTTTATGCCCAGATAGTATTTCTACTCCCTGCAAATTTATTCCCTACTCTCCCTAATTCCTTAACACCCTCTAGGAATCTTACATTTTCTTACAAAATAACCAGTTCCAAATGAATAGGTGACTAAGAAGAAGATTATCTCACTTGTAGCATCATAGGGCACACTACATTCTTTCTTAAATCCTTTATTACCAACTTTTTTTAATATTTATTTTTTAGTTATAGGTGGACACAAATCTTGATTTTATTTTTATGTGGTATTGAGGATCAAACCCAGGGCCTCATGCGTACTAGGCAAGCACTGTACCTCTGAGCTACAATCCCAGCCCCAATTACCAATTTTTTTAAGTTGGCACCTAACAGTGACAGAATTCTTTTCACTTTTAGTGAAGTTTTTAAAAATATTGTAATAAACCCAGCTTTCATATCTATATTCCTTTCCATATCAACCTTACTGATAAGAGTTTGCTACCCAGACTTCTTGTAGCCTAAGTATAAAATTGTAGTGGGTATAGTTCTAGTGGTGATTTTAGATGCATTCTGAATAATGTGATAATTTATTTCATTTAGTATACTGATATAGTTGTATAATTCACACACGCCTTTTTTCTTTCTTTTTTTTAATGTGATACAGATTGAACCCAGGGCCTTATGTATGCTCTACAAGTGCTTTACCACTGAGCTGCATCCCTAACCCTAGCTGTATAATTCAGATAAGATTTAAATAAAAATTGCATATTTCTGACAAATATCAGGTTGTACTAGTCCATTATAATGCAGTTATATACCTCATATAGACATTTTGGTCAGTGATGGACCATTGTGTGGGTGTTATGTGATATGATAGTGGTTCCATAAGGTTATAGTGGACTTAAAAATTCCTATTTCCTAGTGCCATCTTAGTTTGTATAAGTACACTCTGATGTTTGCACAATGATGAAATCACCTAACAATGCATTTCTTGGAATTTAACCCCATTGTTAAGCGACACATGACTGTAGTAGAGTAGGCCCTTTACATTTTAAGCAGTGTGTCCTTTATAAAGTTCCAGAGACTCAAATTATAAGACAATATGTACCTTAACCTCAAGATGGAATACCCAACCAGGTTGGGATGCAGCACAGAGAATAGACTGGATTTTCTACTTGCTAGATAACTCAGTCTCTAATTGAGTCTTAGGGTTAAGTTTCAGATTTGCTGTAACCAAATCCACAATTATGCTAAAGGCCATTTGGGGTGGGAATGGGGGTGAGCAGAGTGTTGAGAGCCACAGCCGAAAGGGCCCCAGCAAACTTCCAGCTGCCAGCTGATGATTGGCTCACAGCAGCCCCAGCAACTTCTAGCTGCCAACTGATGGGCTTCTCTGCGGTGATGCTCATTGGGCTGTTTCCCTGCCCTTTTAGACCACGGAGCTGCTCATTGGGGGACTTTTTTGGCTCCGCCCATGTGACCCAGCCAATCGGCCTCAAGAGCAGGAGGAGTGGAGGAGGTGGAGAGGCTTGTGGGAAGCTGGTGGTGGCAGTTGGGCTCTGAAGGTTTTCCTGAGCAGCTGTTTTGTTTGGCGTGTGTGGTTCTAAAAATAAAGTTCATTTCTTTTGACAAGTGGCTCCTGAATTGTGCCCAGCCAGACTGCAGCATTTGGTGGGCCGCACGGGGAACGACTGAGGGTAAGTGATAAGGTAAACTGCTCGCCCCTGCGGGCAGGGCGAGAGGATGGGTAGCCATTTTAAGATTCCTCTTTTGTTTTGCTAAACTTTTGTTTTAAGTTGCCTGTCCCTGGAGATGTGTAAGATGGAAGAAAAACCGCTCACATCTGAGGAACAGATAGGGAGAAAGGATGGATGGACATTTCAGGAGGATAGAAAGGCTATTATAATGATTTTTTGTTGTTTCACTTTTGTTTCATTCTGGTTCAGTTTTGTTTGGCGTTATCTTCTTGGGTTGTATTATAGTTATAGTAGAAATATTCAAGTAAAAGAGAAGGTCTCTTGAGCTAGTCAGATAAGAGAAAAAAATTCAAGTAAAAAAGGCCTCTCGAGCTAGTCAGACAGAGGAAAAAATTCAATTAAAAGAGAAGGTCTCTCGAGCTAGTCATACAGAGGAAAAAATTCAATTAAAAGAGAAGGTCTCTGGAACTAGTCAGAGGAAAAAATTCAAGTAAAAGAGAAGGCCTCTCAAGCTAGTCAGACAGAGAAAGAAAGTGTAAAGCAGAAAAAGCCATCAGGGGGAAAGTTACAACAGGAGACTGCTACTAACACCTTTCTATCACCAGAGGGTGTAAGTGTCCAACTAACAAGGCCACCTCCATATGCTGGGAGGCCTCCAACCCCCACAGTTGATAGTTGGGATCCTGAGACAAGATCTCAAATATTAACATGCCCTGTATTTGAGGCAGGAGGGCAGCGAATTCACCATGCTTTAAATTTCAAAACAGTGAAGCAGCTAAAAGAGGCTGTAACAACCTATGGTCCTCAAGCACCCTTCACTGTAAGCATGGTCGAATCCATTAACAACTTGAACATGATGCCAACAGATTGGGCTGATATGTGTAAAGCTGTGCTAAATGGAAGACAATACCTGTTATGGAAGGTTGCCAATGAGGAATTTTGCAAGGAGACGGCTAGGCGAAATGCAGTAGCTGGTTATCCTCAGAGAAATCTAGATATGTTGTTAGGAAAGGGACCTTATGAGGATCAGCAGCAACAAATTGCATATGATCCTGGTGTATATGCACAAATTGCTGTAGATGCAGTTAAGGCATGGAAGACTTTACAAGGACATGGAGGTTTACAAGGTCAATTATCTAAGGTAATACAAGGAGCTAATGAACCTTATGCTGAATTTGTAGATAGGCTTATTCAAACAACTACCAGCGTTTTGGGGAATACAGAACAAGCAATATCATTACTAAAACAACTGGCTTATGAGCAAGCGAATCGTTGGTGCAGAGAAGTCATTAGACCATGGAAACATGAAGATTTAAACACATATATTAAATTATGTAGAGACATTAATGAACAAGAGCAAGTCGTGGCAGCTGCAGTAAAACAGGCTTTAGAACAAGGGCAAGTCGTGGCAGCTGCAGTAAAACAGGCTTTAGATGCCAGGCCAAGAACATGCTACAATTGTGAACAAACAGGACATTTTAAAAGGAATTGCCCCATAGGAGGAGGGTTTAACAAAACTAGGTATCAAAGGAGTAGAATACCGGGTATTTGCCCACGATGCCGTAGAGGGAGACATTGGGCTAATGAATGCCGTTCTCAAACCACCATAGAGGGTACTCTATTATCAAAAAACGAACAAGGACCAGGTGTTTATCCACGATATCATGGACAAAGGCATCGGGCTCTGTTGCCAAAAAATGGACAGGGGGGCCCAATGCTCCGGGGCCCAAAACCACTAATAGACGGAGCACTGGAGGAACCCAGCAACCCCATCAGGGTAGTGCCCAGGACACATTGTCCATCAGATCCCTCATCAGACAAACCAGAGGGAGCGCAGGATTGGACATCTGCGCCTCCGCCAGAGCAGTACTAACTCCAGAGATGGGAGTTCAAATCATTCCCTCAGGGGTAAAAGGACCTCTTCCCAAAGGAACAGTAGGCTTATTATTGGGACACAGCTCTTCTATTCTAAAAGGACTTATGATAAGTCCTGGGGTAATTGATCCCGATTATGAAGGTGAAATAAAAATTATAGCCAGTTCTCCAAAGGGTATATCAGTAATTTCACCAGGAGATAGAATAGCACAGTTACTAATAATACCCAGCCTACATGATAAATTTTCCAGTCGTGCTGTAGAAAGAGGTTCCAAGGGATTAGGCTCCACAGGTGTAGATTGGGCTATGCTTTCTTTAAATTTAGAATCTCGCCCCATGCTAAAACTAAATATTCAAGGACATGAATTTAATGGGCTACTGGATACAGGCGCAGACCTTAGCATCATCTCTCGTCAAGAATGGCCAAAACATTGGCCATTACAATAAGCCACTCAAACGCTTCGAGGCCTAGGAGTGGTGACTAATCCCCATAGAAGTGCAATGGTATTAGATTGGAAGGATCCTGAAGGACGTGAAGGAACTATACAGCCATATGTATTGGATCATCTTCCTGTAAATTTATGGGGACGAGATGTCCTAGATCAATTAGGTTTGACATTAACAAATAACATCAATCAAAATGCACCCACTATTATGGCTAGACAAGGTTTTAGGAAAGGAAAAAGATTAGAAAAACAAGAACAAGGTATAGCAGCACCAATACAAATAGATCAAGGAACAGACAGACATGGGTTGGATTTTCAGAAAGGGCCACTGAGACAATAAAAATTACTTGGAAATCAGAAAGATCAGTGTGGGTTCCTCAGTGGCCCCTGACTAAAGAAAAGATACAAGCAGCCCATGACCTGGTCAAACAACAATTAGCGGAAGGACATATACAACCTTCTGTATCTCCCCATAATACTCCTATTTTTGTCATCAAAAAGAAATCTGGTAAATGGAGATTACTGCAAGATTTAAGAGCCATTAATAATGAAATGGTTATTATGGGACCTGCTCAATCGGGGATTCCTCAATTGTCTGCTTTGCCAAAAACCTGGTATGTTTTAGTTATAGATATTAAAGATTGTTTTTTTTTTTTCAATTCCAATTCATCCTGAGGATAGTCCACGTTTTGCATTTACTATCCCTGCACTGAATCATGAGGTCCTGAGATATGAGTGGAAAGTACTCCCTCAAGGGATGGCTAACAGCCCAACTATGTGTCAAATTTATGTTAACAAAGTAATCCAGCCACTTAGAAATCAAAATCCTGAACTACAAATATTTCACTATATGGATGATGTATTATTAGCACACAAAGATAAAAACCCATTGCTAGAATGTTATGCCACACTTACAAACTTATTAAAAAATTATAATCTAGAGATAGCAATAGATAAAGTACAATTAAATTTTCCAATTAATTATTTAGGAGTTCTATTATCATCAACCATGGTCCGTCCACCAAAAATTCAAATACGAGTAGATCAACTCAAATCACTTAATGACTTTCAAAAGTTATTAGGAGACATAAATTGGATAAGGCCTTATCTAGGTATACCAACAGGAGAGTTGGGACCTTTATTTGATATCCTAAAAGGTCCATCAGATCCAAATTCACCCCGAATGTTAATGCCTGAAGCAAGAAAGGCGTTAAAAATCATTGAAACATATATGGAAAATATGTGTTTGGATAGAATTGATATAAGTTTGCCTTTATTATTTATTGTACTACCAACAAAAAATATTCCTACAGGAGTATTTTGGCAAGAAGGTCCATTATTATGGATACATTTATCTTATTCTCCTAACACTATTCTTACTAGGTATCCTGAGGCTGTAGGACAATTAATACTCAAAGGAATAAAAGCAGCAAAGGGAGTGTTTGGAATTTCTCCCAATAAAATTATTACTCCATATACTATGAATCAAATTGATGAGTTAGCTAATGAGTTAAATACTTGGGCAATAATCATGTGCAAATCTAATGTTTCATTTGATAACCACTTACCATCTAATCCTTTATTGTCTTTGTGGTCATTGCATCCTGTAATTTTTCCAAAAATGACAAGAAAAACCCCTATCATGAATGCTCCAAATATATTCACTGATGGGTCAAATAATGGTACAGCAGCAATAGTTACACCTGATCAAACTTTTACATTTTTAGTATCCAATTTATGTCTCCTAATCAGCTCAAAAGGTAGAGCTTAGTGCAGTATTACAAGCTTTTGTGATGTTTAAAGATTCTGTATTTAATTTATTTTCCGATAGTCAGTATATAGTTAATGCTATAGTATCCCTTGAAGATGCTGGTAGGATTTCCCCTTCCTCTACTGTTTTCTCTTTGCTTTCCACTATACAAAGTCTAATCTGGGACAGAAAAGATCCATTCTTTATAGGACATATCAGGGCACATACAGGATTGCCTGGAGCCCTTAGTTTGGGCAATGATTTAGCAGATAAAACTACACATGACATACATATTTTCTCTACACTAGAAGAAGCTACAAATTTTCATAAAAAGTTCCATGTCAATGCTAATACTTTACAAAAGTGTTTTAAAATAACTAAGGAACAAGTTAGACAAATAATAAAACAATGTCAAAATTGTGTGACCTTTTTACCACAAGTTAATCTTGGAGTCAATCCTAGAGGATTGATACCTAACCATATTTGGCAGAGACGTCACACACTTGCCAGAATTTGGAAAATTAAAATATTTGCATGTTACAATTGATACTTCTTCTGGATTTTTGATGGGCTCCCTTCATGCCGGAGCCCAGCTTCATGCTTATAAAATTTTGCCACTGTGGGCGTTCCAAAACAGTTAAAAACAGATAATGCCCCTGGTTATACTTCTACCTCTTTTAAACAATTTTGCTCAACATTTGGCATTACTCATATAACAGGAATCCCATACAATCCACAGGGACAAGGCATAGTTGAAAGAGCTCATCAAACTATTAAAATGTACTTATTAAAGCAAAAAGAAGGAATTGGGAAGGGGTATATATTCCCCAAAGATAAACTTAAAATAACCCTTTTTACTCTAAACTTTTAAATTTGGATTCATCAGGACTTAGTGCTGTGGAAAGGCATATGTGTCCAAAAAAAGTACATAAGCCCAAAGTACTTTGGAAGGATATTCTAACAGGACAATGGAAAGGGGGTGAGCGGAGTTTAGCAAGAATCAAAGCAAAATGAAAAACCTAGAGAGGCCAGTCTTGCTTTCTATCTCAGTCTCATTATTCTGCAGTTTTCATTTTGGTTCTAGCCAGTTAGACTAGTAATTCAATTTTCAACCAATGGTAAGCCAAACCACACAAGTCTTGATAAAATGCTTCCAGGATATTTTAAAAAATGGGACACTACTATGCATTTGTTATAGACTGGTTATTTGACTTAAAAAGAAACCTGTAGCACTATGCAAACCATATCAAACTGTAGTAGCCTAAATTCTGTTGGCAAGAGAATGGCGGGTCAGTAAGAACTTAAAATGACATGAAAGCTGTATAGTGTATTTTTGACACTTATGTTTTTAAAGTATGCAAAAAATCATGGGGATTATTTTATTCATTTTTTAAATTAGTAAAAAAAGAAGTCTCAAAGCAAAGTTTAGGATTTTTCTTGTGTTTATAATTTGAAAAAACTCTTAAAATTGAATGAAACCAATGGAAAGGTAAAGTTTGGATTTTACTTTAGAGAAACACATTTCATTTTTAAAAGCCATAGTTTGCTTCATACCAAGAATGAAAAAATTTCATTACACTTAGCTGATAGTTTTGTACAGCAAGGTTTAAAAATAATTTACATTAAATGGCAAGTATGAGTTGGATCGATAGCTCTTAATCAGAAACGAAGCTATTTTTCTTGGTAGTCTAGCCTATCTCAGATGTTCATAGCATACATTTTCTTTTTAGGAAGTTTGTCTTCAAATAGTGAATTAAAACCACTAATGCCTCTAAGTCATAGCCACATCAAGAAAGCTATGTCTAATAAATATATAAGTACAGTGTCAATACAAACCTTGCAAAATAAATAAATCTACCTCAAACACTAACTCAGTCTGCTTTTGCTTTTAGAAAATGGTTAGCTTTCTTGTTAAGACACAATGACTCAGTAGATATTAAAATTATATATCATCCTAAATTCATTTTGTGAAAACCAAAAATGGAATAATCTGTGAGTATATGAGCAATAACCTTTAAAAAAATATTTCTACATGTATAGAGAAATCTTGAAGAAGAGTGCACTATAGCACAACAACATAGGAACTAAGCTGAGTTACTTTTAATGAATCTTATGTTATAGGACATATTTACATTTGCAATGCCCCAAAGCTTCAACTTCTCGGTCATAAAACGCATGGCTATACTAGGTTTCTTGCTTTCAGACCTCTGTGCCTCCTGTTCCCAGTTCTCTAACTTGGGTTGGCACACTCTGGCCCTTGGGCCAAAGCCAGCCTGCCACCTTTTTTTGTATGGCCCTTGAGCTAAGAATAGTTTTTAATTTGTATAAATGGTTGAAAAAAATCAAAAGAATATTTGTGATATATGAAAATTATATGAAATTCCAATTTCAATGTTCATAAATAAAGTTTTATTGGAATGCAGCCATGCTTATTCATGTACTTATTTGTCCGTGGCTGCTTTTACACTACAGTGACAGAACAGAGGCCATGTAACCCTCAACCCTTAAAATATTTATTATGTGGCCCTTACTGACAGTTTTCTGGCCCTTGCTCAATTATTGCAAGCCTAATAATGGTTTTCCCAACTGCCAACATTTCTAAAAGAGCAATTCCCTGGGCTTCTTTGCTTCATTCGTCAGTAAATTGGTTTGTAGCTTCCAGCCCCGTGCCATCTTGTCCTCATCATGGACCTCACATCATGTGTGAAGAAGGCTGCAGTTCATAAATCATCAATTTCCAGTTTTAAGTTTAATGAAAATAAATTATATTTCTTCCACCATGTTCATTCTTGGCTTTGACTTCTTGCTGAGAGATCTTCACCTGTAATGAGGTATACATGGGTTTATTAGCATATTGAAAATGAAGATGCAAAAACATAACCTAACAAGTATTCATAGTTGTTTAGCCAATAGAAACCTACAGCTCTGGTGGCTGAGTTTGGGGGAGAGTCTGTTTCCTATGAACTCAAATGATTGGGGGAAAGTGAGGGACTGGGGATTGACTCAGGGGTGCTTTACCATTGAGCTATATCCCTAGTCCTTTTATTTTTAATTTTTAAAATTTTTGAGACAGGGTCTTGGTAAATTCTAAAGCTGTCCTTAAACTTGCAATCCTCCCACCTCTGCCTTCCTAGTTATTGGGATTAAAGGCATGTACCACAAGCTCAGCTGAACTTATAAGTGTCTGAACATGATGTTCCTAGGAAGCAAAACATTAGGCATTTGTGGCCTGGAACACCATGTTCTTTAGGGGAAAAAAACAAAACTTTTTAACTCACATTGTTCAACTTTTAAGGAAAGGTAGAATTCTTTCAATTGTGTGTCTGTTATTTGAGAGGAGTAAGATGAATATACTTCTTTTGAAGTTCTTAAATGATGGTTATTGAAACTTTAGATGTGATTGTTTAGAACAAATGACATGAAATATGTGACTCAGAAAGTGGCAGAAACACCAAACATTTTCTTATGAGCCTATATACAGAAAGAGCCCCACCATTTTTTTTTTTTTTTACAAGTAGTCTTTCCTGGGAACATCATAAAGGAGGTCTATGGGATGTAAATTCTCATTGTTGCACCTATTTCTGTTTATAAAGATAGCTTCCCCAACTTTAAGCAAAGCTATGAAGTCAACTAAATGATTCTAAATGTCTGCTTCCTGCCAGAAAATTGGATCCAGAGGCAGTCATCTAAATCACTATCACTCTCTTCCCCTCTCCTAGAATATAAACAGTTATGTTCATGTGGTGTGCAAATTTCTAGTAGTTGTATTCTAATGTACATGGTGCAGTCTTAGAGTACACAGAGGGCTTCTTAAGTGTAATAGTACATTTATGACAGATTTACCAGCCTTGGTGTAATTTCACTGTCATGGGAATTAGATGTATGTGACATTATCACTTCTGTACTTTACTAATGTTGATAGAAACAACATTTTGAATTTTGATTACTGCCCTTATGGTAGGCTCACAGACTCACTACTATGGTTAGTCATTTCTAAAAGTTTGAGAGACTCAACATTGGTGCCTAGTCCTAAATTCACTTGGCCCTTGGGGGAGGGACTAATTGCTTCAGCAACATTGGGGCATAAAAGAAAGTGAATCTGGAACTTTAAAATTTGAGATACCAGATATTTTTCAAGAGAAAAAGTACTGAACCTCAGAGATTATCTGATACTGTGATGTGAATTTGCTGCCATAGTTGTGGGATTTCTGAGTGTTTATATACAAACCTCAACAACCCAGATCTCTTGGAATAGATGGATATGCAGATATTTTGGTGGGGGCCATATCCTGTATTTAGCCTTGCTTATTATTATTTTTTTTGGTATTGGGAATTGAACGCAAGGGCACTTAACCACTGAGCCATATCCCTAGCCCTATTTTGTATTATATTTAGAGACAGGGTCTCACTGAGTTGCTTAGTGCCTCACTAAGTAGCTGAGGCTGGCTCTGAACTAGCGATCCTACTGTCTCAGCCTCACGAGCCACTGGGATTACAGGTATGTGCCACCATGCCTGGCTATCCTTGCTTATTATTTTGAAAGAGCCTTACAAGTGTAGTCTGGGGCACCAGTTATTTTGAAAGATGCTCCTCAAATATAGAAACAGGATCTTAATGCATTGGGTTTTCTTTTGAGCTGTTATGAATCCAGTATGGTTCTATCAGAATATATCAGTGAATTCTTTAAAGTGTGAGCAATTTTACAGTTTGATGTGAGAAATTTGGGAGTGTGGTAAAAACAGTGAAGCTCTATAGTATAAGCATTAATGTCTTCATGATGCTGTTGGTCTCCTGTGAATTTTAAGTCTTAGAACTAAACAGATGTAATGATCCCTTGAGTTCATGAAGAAACTAAGTGAAGCTGGGTGGGTGGTGTGTGCCTATAATCTCAGTTACTCAGGAGGATGAGGCAGAAACATCACTTGAGCCTAGGAATTTGAGGTAAGCCTGGGCAACATAGACCAGTCTCAAGAAAAGCCCTATGTGAAAGAAAGAAACTTATGTTTGTTTTCCTCACATGGTTTCATTCAGGGTTGATGTGAATGATCTACCTTAAGACAGAATGAGATTTACTTTGTATATGAATACTAAGCAGTGGGCTGGCAACTGACACTCTAAATTTGTTGCATCTTAAAAATGGAGGCTGTTAGGTTATTTTGCTTTCTTTTTAATCATTACATCCTGGATATGAGGGATTTTTTTTGTTGTTTGTTTGTTTGGTTGGTTTTTGTTTCTTTAATTGAGGCAGAAAGAGATGAAGTTATTGAGGCTAAAACAAAGCGAAATTAGAGAAACATAAAATGCAGAACCAAAGGAATAAAAAGCTGAATGATCCAAAAAGCCCTTGGAGAATGTTCATGTGAGTTTTTAATTATCAAGAGACTTCTATGATGAAATAAGTCCACTGTGGCATTTGGGGCAAGTTGATTGCCTTCTTGGGGCCTCTGCTTAGTTATCTACAAAATAAGGAGGCCTAAAAGTTTAAAAGCTCAAGTGTTACTTATGTCTTCAGAGCTCTTGCCTTATCTTTTTTTTTCATATATATATATATATATATATATATATATATATATATAAAATTTTTTTAAAGTTGTAGTTTTATTTTATTAAAATAAAATAGGTGAGCACTTTACCGCTGAGCTACAACCTAGCCCGCCCTTGCCTTATCTTAAGGCACCATTCTACCTGTCTTTGGGGGACATTGTCTGGGAAAAGACAGCTACCCTACTAACTATGCTTCACCAAGTAGCTTCAGTGGAGCCAGTTTCAGAGTGGTGTGATGACAGTGTACCTGGGTAAAACATGCTGCCCTCCATCACTGTCGATAATCCATTGTATCACTGGAGAACAAGCCACCCACAGGTTTCTCCTCCTTGTTTTGGACATTTTCTGAGACTGTGAGCTGAGGAGGTGATAGGAGTCCTCGGGGCTGCTTAGTTGACTTGGTGAGCTTCTTAAGTTCACTTGCAAAAGAGATGCCCTTTCTTTTGTCTTCTCTGGATGCCTGTTGGGGGGGGGGGAAGAATTTGCTTAGATGTTAGGTTAAACCCGGGGTCCTCAGTCATGGCACTAGGTCAGAGTTCTTTTCACTTCCATCTCTAGTAAGTAGAGGTTGGAAGAAGGGCCGAGGAACTCACCTCTCAGGCCTTCTTTGCCACACAGGGAGTACATTTTTTCCTACACAGTGTAAACAAAGCCCAACAATTTTTTCCCACCTAAACTCTGACTCAGGAAGTTTGAGATTTTACTAGTTCCCAAATCTGGTTACTACGTGATTATGAATATCAAATGATTTATGAAGAGGGCAAATTAAATTTAAACTTTACCTGTACCTGCTCCTTTAGCTTAAGGATGAATTTCCCTGCACCTTTCCACTTGCTTTGGGCTTGAAACACACACTCCTGATCCAAAAGGACTCGCTGTGAAGACTTTGGGGTAGAGGACTTCTTGTTGGGCATGTCTTTGACCACCTCTTCCAAAAGCACATAGTCCCCTGGGTTGGGGTTGCTCAGGATGCTGTAGGAATATTTGGCTTTGCATAATGTCTGAAAGAAAAGTTATCATCAACTGAATGAAGTATCTCCAACATTTGCATTCATCCTAAATGAAACTGTAAGGTAGAAAAGTGGCATAGACTTTGAGAGATAGAGGGAATCTTCCAGATCATGTTGACCAGTGCCTTATTGTGCAGCTGTGTAGCTGTACAACACACTGTCTCAGGTTACTTCGTTTAGCTTTCTAATGGTCTATAATTTAGATGAGGAAGCTTAGACTTATAAAAGTTAAGCAGATTCCAGAGTAAACACAGCTAGTAAGCAACAGAATAAAGACTGGAACCGAATTTTCCGTATAGGCCAAAGCTCATAGATAGGAAGGTTACTCAGCTAGTGAGGAACAGAATCCTGCCTCCCAGAAACCCTCATCCCACAAGGCTGCCTCTTTTAAGCAGTCTTGGATGTTGAAGGGATTTTAGAAGTCACAAAGTCAGCCTTTATTTGTACAAGAATATCTTTCATTTATGCATTTATTCATTCTGAGGACCTACTCTGTCCCAGATATTCTACTTGGAGGAGGCAAAGATGAGCAAAAGAACCACAATCTGGAATACAAAGTCATAATTAAGGTGACTAGCATTAACCCAAATGGTCATACAAAGGAATAGCAACACACACACACACACACACACACAGACGTCAGTAGTATTTACCACCTGCCAGGCATTGTGCTAACAGCAACCTGTGAGGAAAGTATTATTTATGCTATCTCCATGCTGTCTATGCAGTGTCTTACCACACAGGGTGTGCTGGAGCTAAGTGGAGAAAAGGGTTAGTGAAGGCTGACAAGGTAAGTATTTACACTACCTTATTAACAGGAATAAATAGGGTTTTTGTTTTTTTTCACCCCAAAGAACTATTTTACCAGCACCCAGTAGCTGAGGCACAGATCTGAGATCTTCCTCAGGACCTCAGAGTTAGTAAAGTAGTATAGCTGGGTTTGGAGCTAGAGCAACTGATCAAGGTCTGTGCTCTTAATGATTGTGCCCTATCCCTTCTCAGGTGCTTAATGAATGCAAACTATGAGGAGGCAATAGTTGGGAAGGAAACAGTTCTCTGAAACCATGCAAAGAAGCTTGAGATAGAGGAAGGGAGAGGGTCAGAGTAAGCCTCCTGCTTGTCTTCTGTAGGATCCGTGAGAGGTGGTCATTAGGTATTGGCTCAGACATTTCTGGGACAATGAAATGACCATTCCGCAGAGCTTCCTTCTAAATCCACTACTGTCAATGCTTCACAGAGTCCCAGGCTCACTGTGCACACTAGCTGAATATCTATTGAAGGAATGCACTAATATTTCCTAGCCTTCAGAGGCACACTCTTCCTTTTCGGGTCCCCATTGTTGAAGAATTTCATTCTAGAACAATGAAACAACTGAACTGTCAATGCACAGACGTTTAATTTGTCCCTATAACTTATACTGACAAAAGGAATGAGGTGAGGAAGGGAGTAAGTTATTTTTCTTGCAGTGCTGGGGATGGAACCCAGGGCTTTATGCACGGCAAGTGTTCTACCAACAAGCTACACCCCCCTCCCCCAAAGAGCAGTTTTTACCTGCTGAATGACATCCTGTGCAGTGCTGACACGGGGTGCTTTGATTACTGTTCGAGGTTGCTCTGGAGAAACATCATGCACTTGGACAAAGAAACTCTCCTCCTCTGAGCTCAAGATCACCTCTTTGTCATCTTGAATAATGTTTTTCTCTTCTATGGTCTAGGTTAGAAAATGAAAACAGTAATTGGTAAGGTGATGCAGAATAAAAAAAAATTAGCAAGACTTTGAGCTGTATCTTGGTAATGCAGAAACAAGTTCTTAGTTTTATGTTTCATACATTAGTTAATATTTCATGAACTATTCTAAAAGGATATACCTGTCTTTTGAGAGGAAGAAAGTATTGTATTTCTGCTAATTGACACACTGAGAAGGTCTGGCCTAGAATAAGCCAGTTCATCTGCTCCTATTAGCTATGGATTTTGAGAGTCCAAATCAACTGTAGATAAATTTGTAGAAAGAAAATTCACCATTTTTTCAATTACCAAAAGCCAAATAAGAACACAGTAAATTACATTTAGAGAAACCCACCATTTCCACACAGACTTTGAGCATTTAGGAAATCGTTAGACATCTGAAATGTGAGACATGAAATTGACATTCTGACAAGCTGGGTGAACAAAACTTACAGTGAAAAGGCTGACATGATACAATGGCTGAAGGTAAACCACACTGAAATGAATATCAGCAAAATTATTTTTTAATTTAATTTTTTAAATATCAATAATTATGAAAATGGGTTATCGCATTAGCTTTAGATAAACTGGCTTTTGGTGAATTTTGTATATGTAAATTTATATAAATAAATAAATATATATATATACATATATATATATATCTTTATATATAGTATAAGGATATATGCATCTTATTTAAAAAATTCGAAAGTATAGAAGTAATTCAATAAAAAAGCAAACTTTTCTTATTCTCATGCTTTTTTTCTTTTCCCCACCTCATTCTCCACACACACACACACACAACAAATAAAGAACACCTCACTGTTGTTAGGTTTTATATCCTTCTAAACATTTGTTATGGATACCCAGATATATTTTGCTTATTTGAATACATGCACACAACAAAACTGGCATTATGTGATTTAGCTATAATGTGATTATAAGATGGTTCCTGTCTTTTGTCATCCCCCAGTCTCAAATGAGAGCAGCTTTAATTATCTTCTGCAGGAGAGGAGGGAAGACAGGGAAGGCTAGTAAAGAATAGCCAACCCGCCTCAGGGATGAGGACTTGGCAGGACAATCCTCCTATTCCCAGAGCCATCTCCAGTCCAGGCTATGAAATGGTGCTAACTAAGCAGAAGGATCCAAGAATTACTGCCACCATCCTGGAAGTTCCACCCAGCCACATGACTCAGAATTGTCCCCACTGATATTAAAGTAAGGATGGAAAAATGCCACCAGGTGGTGCCAAACTGTAACCAAGACCCGAAAGGACTGGTCCTGGAGCTTGTCAGACAGCTGCACCCACCTGCCCTAATCAATCATTTCATTACCTGTGCAATCATAGCCCTACAATTTACACAACTGAATTTTTTGAACCAATTCAAGGTATACTGGTATGGGTAGGTAGGGGACAAGAGTTATTATCCATTTTATTATATAAAATGAGATTTGTACCCTCTAAAACTTGAGTCATCACTTAAAAGACTGTACTCATCATTTCATGTCCATTCCAAGAGATCTTCCTGCATAATAATGATGTGGCTGCCATTGCACTGATCATGTGGCTTTGAACTTGCAATGCTCCTGCCTTAGTCTCCCAAGCCGCTGGGATTACAGGGGTGTAATCGCCTGGCATGAATCTTCTCTTTGTTCAGCGTATCTGTAATGGACTACCTGCTCCTTAGTCAGCTGCTCAATCTTGGTTATCAGGTCAGCTGTCATGGTGTCATAGTGCATGTATATAAGGTTGGGTTCTATTGAGGTTTCAGGCATCCATCGGAGGGCCTGAATCATATACCCTGTGAATAGGAAAGGGGTACTACTATAATGTGATCTTCACAACATCTTTTCATTGTTGATTGCTTGAGTTTTAGCCAGAGTTTTGCTAAGTTGCCTAGGCTGGCCTCGAACTTGGGATCCTCCTACCTCAGCCTCCCAGGTAACTGGGATTACAGGTGTATACCTCAGTGCCCAAATACAACAATGTCTTTTCATATACAAATAAAATACTGGACTCACAGCTGATAACATGCACAGGGATCCTTTAAGTTCTTGCTTTATAAAAGATGTTTTTTTAGACTGAATTTCTGCAGGTTAGAGATAACTTTCTTTTTTTTTAACACATATTTTTTAGTTTTAGGTGGACACAATATCTTTTATTTTCATTTTTATGTTGTGTTAAGGATCGAATCCAGTGCTCATGCATGCTAGGCAAGCACTCTACCACTGAGTCACAACCCTAGTCCAAGATATGTATGGAAAAATAAAATCATTTCACCATATTTACTTAAGAAGAACAATATACACCAAGTTGCAACGAAAGAAGCTCAGGATTTGAGGGAGGTGGTGAGTGGTGAGAAGGCTAACCACTGAGCTATAACTGTGTTGGCTGTTCCCAGAATACACTTACTTCCTGCTGGGTTTTTAAGACAATCCTGCCCACGTAGCCTTCTTCTGGAAACCAGCTGCTTAAAATCTGCATGATCTCTTCCTCTGGACCAATGGCTCTCTGGAACGGTTGTTTCCTGCATTCATTCTTTTCTTTAGATATAAAATATTTTTCTTCCATCAGAAAATAGTCTGTGATGATAGGTTTGGTGTCTTGTTCAGTTGTCAGAATCTAAAGAAAAAAACAATGGCAAAATTGGGCTCACTTCTAAGGAGTGTAGCACGAGCTTAAATTCAAAACAAATCTTCACGATGTTCAGATAGGTTTGATGTGAAATTTATAAGCAAAACCTCCTCTGGAGTGTTGCATCATTCTTTTTGGAAGATCTAAGAATTCTTGTATGTCCAGAAAGGATTGTTTATGTCCATTCTGGGCAATGGTACAATTTCTCCACAATCCCCAGACAGCATAGCTATTTTCCCACTGCTGGAATGAGAGTTCCTACTAAATTAAAAACTTTAGGTTTTTCACTCCATGAATTTAGCCCTTTGTAATCTTGTAAACAGAACAGAGGGCAAAGAACCTCATCCAGCTTTTACTAAAATAATCTCGTCTTCTCACATTGGAAATACTCAATCATCTTCTCATGGAAGGTTCCACAAGGCTAAATTCTCATCTGATCTAAGTTGCTGGGAATTCTCCTTTCGGTAAACTCCTGACAGTGTGCCTTAAAAACCCAGCAGGAAGTATTTTCTTTGTTGGCTACTGACCCTGTGCAGTTTACATGGCGTGGTTGTGACAAGGATCTGGAGCCAGTCAAACCTGGACCTGAGATTTCACTTGTAAGACTTCCTGTCTATGAAGTGTTGGGCAAGACACTTAATCCCTCGGAAATTCAGTTCTCCCATCTAAAAACTAAGAACAGCCATTAGCAACATTCTCTTAATTTCAGTTTGTTTTATGATTGAGGCATAAAGTGTAACACTACGAGAACATTATGAGAATAAAGTGTAAAGTATGAAAACTCAATAAATACTAGCCACCACTGTAGATACCTTTACTGATGTGTTCTTTCTCACTCGTGAGCAGATTACTAACAAAAGGTGGATCTCAAAGGGAGTAAATGTCAGCCATGATGAAGAAACCCCCCTGTGTCACCTCCCCGTAAAAGTGGCTGGGTGATGAGAGAAAGCTGCTGCCACCTGGCCTGGATTAAGCAAGTCCCCTTCTCCCCAGGCCTGTGTCAACCATGCAGTGACCAGAGTCAACATTTTCTCACTTGGAAAGAAAGCAGAATGTAATGTGCTGAGGTTGGTGGAGCAGAAGAGTCTCAGAAGATTCTGATCCCTCCACCTCGGCCCTTGGTCTAAAACAGACCCCGTGTTGTTGATTCTGTGGGGGTCAAGTCAATCAGGTTGCCTGAAGCTCAGAACTACCAGTTCAGGGATAATTCAGCGTATGAAGACACCATGAGAGGGTCAGTGTCTGCCTTCTTCTGTTCTGAGGACTTCTTTGCAGATATGACAATAAGAGGCTGCTTTTCGTGGATGGCCTATTAGAAGTTGTCTTTATCTTACAAAACCTTGGCAGTGCTTTATGATTGTGAACGCTGAAGTTCATGGATTGATTGGTTAAAAAAAAGAAAGAAAAGAAAAACAAAAACACAACACACACACGCATACACACATTTGACAGAAACTTCTTTTTGATCATCTGTAAAATATGATACCTAATGGTTTTCTATGATCCACCTAATTATAGCATGTTGGCTAAATTGTTGGCGTATCTATAGACATGTACCTTCAAAGGACAGAGACACTTATTAATACTTGGTATGGTTGTTCAGTTGGTTTTTAATTTCCCCACACATTATCTGATTCCAGCTACATTTCATCATATACCCTAATTTCCGAGGGAGTTCCAGGGTCACTCCCTTGGTCCTTGCTCCACTTGGCCTATCCTCAAGGAGGAGGAGGAGTTCTGAAGTGGGTTAAGAATAAAAGAATCTACAAGGATAATCAGCCACTGTGTCAAGCAGGGGTAGAGCTTCTAGTGTGCAGAGAAAGAGAGTTACACATGGGCTCTGCTTTGCCCTGTGGGGAGCTGTCCTTTCTCTTCTGGATGCTGCTCTTTGTTCCTGGTCTCCCCCTCTTAGAAGTCCTGCCATAGACCGTGATTCTGCCTGCAGAAGGCCTCAAGATTGCTAAAGGGATCTAGAGCAGAAGTGTCCTGGCGTGAAGGGGCTTAGGCCTGCTTGCTCAGGGGTAACAGGCTTTGGGATAAGAGACTCATGTTCTCTTGTTCAGGCTTTCATTGCATCTTTACATCACCAGATGTAAAGGAAAAGCCTTCAAGCGCTGGAGATGTGTCCTTGGCCCATGTGGTCCACCCTGATGCTCTAGGAATCTGATTCAACTTCTAGGTTGGCAGACAGACTTCATTCAGCTCCTGTGTAAATTCTGAATGATTAGTAAGTGCTGCGTTATGAAGGAAGATGAGGCCTGTGTCTAGATTTAGAGGGAAAAATTTTATATGGTTGGAAGGCCATTTGTTCTGGTTTTTAAGTTTCTAGAGTCCGGTGTTTTACGTGGTTGAAGAATTGTTAAAAATTTCTCTGTGGTTAAGGTAGCTTGTCTAGTAGTACCAAGATTCCTCAGGCCATTCTTATTTTTATATTTATTTTTTAATTTGTTCTTATTAGTTATACATGATAGTAGAATGTATTTTGACATATTATATGTATATGGTGTGTAGCCTCGCATTCTTCTGGTTGTACATTATGTAGATTTACATTGGTCATGTAGTCAATATATGCACATAAAAACATAAAGTCTGGTTCATTCTACTATCTTTCCTATTCTCATTCCTCCTCTCTTGCCTTCATTCCCCTTGGCTTAATCCAAAGTACTTCTGTTCTTCCCTACCTACCCACCCGCCCTTTTTGTAGTTAGTATCTGCACATCAGAGAAAACATCTGGCCTCTAGTTTTTGGAATTGGCTTATTTCACTCCTTGGCATATCCCCAAAGGACTGAAAATCAACATAATATATATTGACATGGCCACCTTAATGTTTATAGCAGCTCAATTCACAATAGCTAAGCTATGGAATCAATCTAGGTGCCCTTCAACAGATGAATGGATAAAGAAAATGTGGTATATATACACAATGGAATATTACTGAGCCATAAAGAAGAATGAAATCATGGCATTTGCCTATTAACAGATGGAACTGGAGATTATCTTCAGGTCATTCTTAAAGTTGATCTCATTCACAAATATTCAAAAGGTATATAATTAACACAGACATTTGTGCATTGATGTCCACATGTGTATGCTTACACACATACTTAAACACACATACATCTATATACATTAGATTTGTATTCTCCTAACCATAGGTCCAGTAGACTTGCCTGTTGGAGAAGCTGCTTGGCTTTGGTGCCTCCATTTATAGTAAAGACAGCAAAGGGCTCTGGACCTGGGACCCCATGCACTGTGACTCTGTGAGTCTGTGAACATTTTCTTTCTTCTGTATTAAACATCTGTGAAGGAAGATCACATGATTTTCATTCATTCTAAAAATATATTTCTAGATCTATTCCATACAGAGGTGATGTACTTAGAAATATATAGAGGGACATGTAAATGCAAAATATGAGAATTTATAACCATTTATAACCTGATATGAATGGGGTAGGAGAGAAAATGAACATCTTCCTTAATAGATTAGGGAGATTACTTAACAGCACACCAAAGAATTGACTTATTTTCAATCAGTGTCTCTTTCTATCATAATTAGGGACTTATGTTATCTGAAATAAATGTTAGTTCTTATTTATGAACTGACATTCTACACTATCTATTACATTCCATCTCTCTTGGGGGATTGGGCTAGAATTTTGAATAGTAAGATGATAAATAAAATGTCTTCCCTTAGCTCACTGCCAGGCACACAAATAATCACAATAGAGAAAGTATGTCCATTAGGAAGAACTTAGTGGGTGTGTAACTCAACTCTTTGAGCATTTTGCATATTAAGATATATTGATCATTCAAAATATGAAATCATTTATGGAGTGCCTAGCCCTGGAGATTCAGGGACAAATGAGATATTATTCCTGCATTCAAGGGCTCCAAGTAGAATGAGAAGCTAGAGGAGAAAGTGGGCCATTGTAAGAAGCATGATAAGTTGCTTGGGAACCCACAGGAAGTTTGGAGGAAACCTGGGAGAGGGGGGGCTTCCTTAAAATGGTCTCATATAAATCTTGAAGGACCCAGTGTGATCTAGCAGATGAAGAGTGGAACAAGGGGCTCCCAAATTGATCCCAAATTGAAGCAGCACCTGTGCAGAGATTTAGCAGGGACCTAGGTCAGGTCATTCTGGGCACCTCAGCAAGGTCAGTGGCTCATGTGCGGGAGGGAGAAAGCCTGAGCCTTGGCAGTGCACATTCCTGCAGTTCCTTCATGGAACTGGCTAAACTTTGGACTGGAACTGGCAAAATGGCAACTTGAGGGCTGAAGTGTTTTAACATGAACTTTATTTTTATTTAGGGTGGAGAGAAGAGGTTGGCTATTTTGCTGTGCTTCCACAATGTGTTTTCATTTAATCAGTTTTATTGAGGTATTATTTGCATACCATAAAACACACATACTTTAATTGCATGGGTTAACCTCTACTATGTTTTTTAAAAGGTAAAAATGTTACCAACATTAATAAAAATACAGATGTCCTGGTTCTCCTGCAAAACCAAAAGATCTGGTGATACTGCATGGCGACAAGCAGCTGGAGCTGAGAGCTGGGTAACAGCTGCTCCTCTAAGCTGCTCCTCCAAGAACTCTCTGCTTTCCTGGAGTCTCTGCCCAGCCCATGTATGTACATTCACCTCATCCTCCTAGCATCCTCCTGCATTGGATTTTTGTTACCCTGGTATAAACTTTACCCTGAAAGCAATGGAAAACCAAAGAAAGATTTCTGTGAGGAATGACATTGATCAGATTAGATAGATCTGCCTGGGAGATTCTAAAGGAAGGCAGAGAGGACAACCCCGGTGAAAAAGAGACCTCTTAGGAACCCACCGTCATAGCCAGATGAGAATGAATCAGGACCATGGCAGAAGGATGGACAGAGATGACTGTATTTGAAAAATACTAGGTCTTAACTGGGGGGGCATAAGAGAGAGGGAGAAATCTAGGAAAATGTCCAGTTATTGGCTTTAGCACTGAAGGGTGGTGTCTGCTATGGCTGAAGAATGTGTACCTACCAGGCATAGAAGCTGCTGCCTGAGAACCCCAAGGATGGCATGGTGTGGTATAAAAAATAAATAGATATGTGGTCTTTGTCCCTAGCTGGCTTGTCAGAAGTCCCAGTGACAATCTGACAATCTGGGACTGGTGATTGGCATCTGAAGCAGGGGAAGTCTTATGAGACTAAACCATTAATTTGTGGGCTCTGCCACTAACTCCAGGTGAAAAGTGTCAGAATCAAATTTAAATGCAAGATCCCAAATTGGTGCTGGAGAGAAGGAGCAGTGGTGTGGAGAAGACAACATGCATTTTGGTGTCAGAAGTGTGAGTGAAGACAGCGAATTTGTAGCATTGGCGCAGCCTTCAGCTCTAACAGATATGGAAGCAACCAACCCAGAGCTGGGTAACAAACCTATTTTGCCTCTCTGAAAGCACCTGATCCCTGCTCTCTGGGACCAGGAAGTGAGGTCTGTTCCCGCCTGTCAATCTTCTGCGCAAGGTGGAGCTCATACCTTCCTCCACCCTGACCAAAGGGTTGTTCTCAGCCTTGGTCACACACTGGAATCACCTAGGGATCTTTCAAAAGACAGATGCCTGGGCCCCCAGTCCTAGATTCTGACTTAATTGGTGTAGAGTGTGGCTTGGGCACAAGGATATTTTAAAAGCTCTACAGATTTGTCCAGTTAAGACTGATGTGGAGTGCTGAAAATAAAAGGAGAAAAACCCAAGGAGATAAGGTCAAGGACAGAGAGAGAAGAGACCGACAGAAGTGAGGAAAAGAGAAGGCCAGAGAAGAAGGCAGGGCTGTTTATAGATGGTGGCAGAAGTGGTCCCAGCCAGTGCCATTATTGTGAGCACAGGTGCCTTTCCAAAACTCCTTACTCCTATGCTGCATCGTCAGATTGATACAATAGCGATCAGATGATTAGACATGTAGACAAGGTAATCAATGGACATACTTTCAAATATATTTTTAATTTAAAGAGGAAGCAGAATGAAATTAACCAGTTTATTAAAGCTATGTTTACTGTTCAAATAAACTACCCTAGATTAGTGGACTGAACTCTGCTCCAGTGGTCCTCAGACTTCTGTGGGCATGGGTCTCATGTAGGGAACTTGTGAGGTGGTGTATGTGTAGAGTGCTTTGTCAAGAGCCAAGTTTCAGCTGTTATTACTTCCACGGCCACCCAATTCATGACTCTCACAGACCACTTTGCTATAGCAAAAGAAAGCCCACCTCCAGTGTAGCAATCCCCTCAAACATGCTGATTGAAATAGAACTTAATTACCAAAGAGGCTGGCAAGGTACTGCCAGAGGAATTTTCTTCCATTCTTCTGCTGTTTATAAACAAACTAGAGATTTCCAAGACTTCATTGTGGAGGTTTCGCAGCTGAAGATGTCGATATCCTGAAATATTGTAGAAATTGGGAAAAGCCTATTAACCCAAGTACTATAGAGCTCTGTAAAGAAGATACTCCAAGGAAATTAACAAATGATAGGTAGAAATATCACCTTAAAATGGGCAATAGATGATGACAGGCATGTGACTAGTAGGCACCTTTTCACTGGGAGGGTGCTGTCCAGTACTGTTCCTAACTTAGACTCAAACAGATACTCTAAATTCAAACAAAAATGGGCAGGAAAGGGCTGGGGTGGTAGCTCAGTGATACAGCACTTGCCTAGCACATGTGAAGCCCTGGGTTTGATCCTCAGCACCACATAAAAAAATAAATAACTAAAATAAAAGTATTATGTTCATCTACAACTAAAAAATATTAAAAAAAAAAATGAGGGGCTGGGGTTGTGCTCAGTGGTAGAGCACTTGCCTAGCATGTGTGAGACATGGGGTTCGATTCTCAGCACCACATATAAATAAATGAATAAAATAAAGGCCCATCAATATCTAAAAATATATATTTAAAAAAATAAAAAACCAAATGAATAAAATAAAGTATAAAAAAAGTAACCTCATTTAAAAAAAATTAGCAGGAAAACCTGATCATTTTGACATCAAGGCATGTGCAGCCAATAAAAGTAGTAAAAAAAAAAAAAAGTGGTTAAAAAAAGAGTGGTAATGTTAATGTACAGGTAACATGAAAAGTTGCTCATCATATACATTAGAGAGTGAAAACTAGTAACTTGCAAAATACTAAGATTAGTAGGGAGCCTATTGTTTAAAAACATATCTCGTGTCATATGCATGGGCAGAGAAATGAAATCTGTAAAAGACGTTCACCTAAAGTGATTATATTGGGGAGAAGAAATGATGGATAATTTAAAAAAAAGTTTTTGCTATTCTTTTCTTTCTCACATTTCCATAATAATCTTATGGGCTGAATTGTGCTCCTCATTCATATGTTGAAACCTGAACCTCTAGTACCTCAGAATGTGACTCTATTTGGAGATAGGTCCTTTAATGAGGTAAGTATGTGAAAATGGGGGTCATAAGGGTGGGCTCTAATCCAATATGACCAGTGTCCTTAGAGGAAGAGGCTATTAGGACACAGACATGTGCACACAGACTAAGATCATCGGAGGACACTTCAAGAAGCTTGGCATCTGCAAGCGAGGAAGAGAGGCCTCTGAAGAGATCAGACCTGCTGACACCTTGAATCAGGCTTCTAGCACCCTTAGAACTGCGGGAAAACAAATTTCTGTTGTGTGTGTTTTTTTTTTTTTTGTACCAGGGATAGAACTCAGGGGCACTTGACCACTAAGCCACATCCCCAACCCTATTTTTTTATTTATTTAGAGATAGGTTCTCACTGAGTTGCTTAGAACCTTGCTTTTGCTGAGGCTGGCTTTGAACTCATGATTCTTCTGTCTCAGCCTCCCGAGTTGCTTGTTGTGGTATTTTCTTATTAATACCCCAGCAAACAAATATAATAATAAGGGGATATTTGCACAATGGAGAAGAAAAATAGGAAATAATTAAGAAGTAGGAAATTGCAAGGTGTCTGTGGAGCTCAGAGAATGGCAGTTTGAGTGTGGCTAGAGAGGTGGGGGGGGGAAGATGTAGAACCTGATACTTAGTGTACTTCAGCAGAATCACCACCTTTGGAAGCTTGTTAGAAAGGCAGAATGTTGGGGCTGAGGTTGTGGCTCAATGGTAGAGCACTTGCCTAGCACATGTGAGGCACTGGGTTCAATCCTCAGAACCACATAAATAAATACATAAAGGTCTAAAAAAGAAGAAAGAAGGAAAGAAAGAAAGAAAGAAGGAAGGAAGGAAGGAGAAAGAAACAAGGAAGGAAGGAAGGAAGGAAGGAAAGAAAGAAAGAATCTCAAGCCCTGACCCAGACCTATGTAACTGGGATTTGCATGTTATTACCAAAGTGATTCCTGTGCACATCAGTTTGAGAAGCAATGCATGAGCCAGGTGCAAGAAGCCAAAATTCCTCAGAGCGCCACACTAAAGCCAACCCACAAGCCAAAAGCCCTGGCCTTTGCTCAAAAATTCTCTTTCCCCTGCTTTCTGTCTAATACCACCCTGGCTTCCAATACTGGATGTCTTCCAGGCACCACCTCCGACCATGGCTCACTTTTGCAACCCCCCACAACTCTCCCTTCTTTTCTTTCCTTACTTCATGCCTTCCTTTAAAAAATGCTAGGGGTACCATGGGTGCTGCTTGGGATTTTCATTCTACCTCGTTTTAAAGCCTTGAGTGGAATGATCCTCTGAGCAGTTACCGCTGAACTGTTATTTTCCACAACTGCAAAACGAAGAAATACAAGATCTTCAAAGTGAACCCGGAACAGAAACTGTTCATTCCACATGGGGTTCAGAGTGTTCCGATGGATGGGCTTCGTACGGAAATGACAGCTATCCAGGGGCATGCCCAGGACGTCCACTTCTATGCACGGGCTTCCTGTGCTGTTACTAGGGCACACATTTTGGCCAGAGACAATCTGAAGGGGGAGAAAAAAAGGATCAAGGTCACAGAAGATGAAAGACAAGGGAAGACAACTTCTGGGTTTCACCACTTCCATCCACAAAGAATGACTTCATGGACAAGGTAAATGGACAAGGTCAGGTACTCATACTACTGAAATCATATAAAAACTGTTTTGTCAACAGTATTCACTTAACTGTAACCTTTCAACTCAAACAGAGTGTGTTGTCAAAAATTAACTCCTAACCTTCTGTAAACAGATAAAACGACACTCAACTCTAGCTAAAATGGTCAAAGAGAAAAGGAGCTGCTGCCCTCCTGTCTTAGGGAGAGAAAGAAAAAACAGGATAGTCAGAAAAATCTTTGAAGAGAAATCTGGTGTGTCATAAGCAGACTTCCTTTGCAGAGAGGGAGACAAGATCAAAAGATGGAGAGATGACCTTGTCTCCCTCTTTCGTAACTCCCACCCAGATTTGTTGTTGTTGTTGTTGTTGTTAAACTAAGAGAGAAAAAAAGAATAGGAAAATAGAAGCTGGGCATGGTAGTGCACACCTGTAATCCCAGCAGCTGGGGAAGCTGAGGCAGGAGGATTATGAGTTCTAAGCCAGCTCAGCAACTTAGCGAGGCCCTCAGCAACACAGTGAGACCCTGTCTCTAAATAAAATATAAAAAAGGGCTGGGGATGTGGCTCAGCGGTTAAGCACCCCTGTGTTTAATCCCTGGTACCAAAATCAAACAAAAAACAGGGAAATCTGTTTTTAAGGGGAGTCTGTGGAGTTTTGACAGTAAGTTATTTAAGCAATGAAAGATATAAGAAAAAGCCTAGGAAGGATAAAAGGTAAACTAGAAGCAGGAAAGATGCTTCACTCTGTTTATATATTGATGCAGGTTTTTCTTATCTTAGAGCTCATTGGAGCTAAAGATGAGCTGATCTAACAAGGAGATCAGCTTTTTTTTTTGGTTCTGGGGATTAACTCAAGAGTGCTCTACCACTGAGCTACATCCTCCAGACCTTTTTGTTTATTTTTTTTTCAAAAATAAATATAAAAAGGTTTTGTTAAGTTGCTGAGGGTCTTGCTAAATTGCTGAGGCTGGCCTTCAACTTGAGATCCTCCTGCCTCAGCTTCATGAATCACTGCAATGATAGGCATGTACCATGGTGCTTGGATGAAGCCCAACTTTTATGGGGTCTACTCATAGTTATGATTCTGTGGGCCTGGAAGACAGACTGACCATCATTAGTACATCAGATAAAGCAGGGATTTTTCTGGCTGCACCTACATGGCTCTGGCAAATTCGGTGCCTGATGACTGCAGCCCTAACCTAACTAGAGCCACTACTCTGAGAGATAAAAACATTGTGGGAACTAAATCTGCCCCCCCCCCGCCCCCGTGATTTGTGACACGTCAGTTTTGCAATGCCATGAATCCAAAACCGGTTTATATTCAGGAAGTCTTCAATGCTTCACAACAGTGGCCCTACTTACAGTCAAAGAATAGATGGCAGGCTCCATGTTGTCTAGATCTCTTTCCAGTGGAGAAAACTTCTGATACATGGGGCAGTTCTTGTCCCACAGAACTGGGGGTTTCAATACATAACCACAGCCACCATTTGCCTCAAACATGGCGGCATTTAAATGTAAAGGAAGATCTGCAAAATAAGAAAAAAAACCTGATATTGCTCATCCACTTTGTTGCTTCAGAGTCAGAAATTTAAAGTTCAAAAGAAATTTGCATCATTTTTTTTGGAAACTCAAGCATGAAGTGAGATAATTATCCACTCATGGTATCAGTCAGCAAATACCCAGTGTGTGCTAGGTTGTTAGGCACTGTAGATACAGCAGGTAACAAGACATGAAAATCTCTGTCACCATGAAATATACAGTTTATAGAAATGCCCAGTGTTTTTACTCCAAACCAGGTTCTGCCTCATAAAAAACTCCCTTTACAAATAGGAATCAATCACATACATCTGCACAATCTTGCAATCTTGCAAAATATCTCATTTTATACTGAGTTTTGGAAAGGGATAGCAGTGTTTTCTTATCCCCAAATAGCGAATCATGTATGGCCAAGTCTTGCTATTTCAAAGACAAGATAAAATCTTAATAATAATAATAAAAACAGCTGAAGAAACAGCTTTTCCTTAAAAAATTTCAATTTCAACTCATAAATTACTTTTACCTCTTTTTTAAATTGTAGTTAAATACAAAACAATCATCATCACATTTGATTCACATCATGTCCACAATCCCCTCAATCATAATCTTTAAGAACTTCACAAAGGCTTTGAATCTTTTGTGGTCAAAATTTTCTTTGGCACAGTGCTTTGATGAACAACTGGATTCCTGTACTGTTTCTGGACTCTTCCACACTCACACGCTCATCCGATGGCTGATGGCTCAAGTCTGTATAAAAGTTGCCCAAGTGAGCAAAAGGTTTATGAGACACACCTGACAAATCTTCCCCCTGATAGATTCCTTCCATGTGCAGAATGAACTTTGCTCTGTGGACCAACATCAAGGAAAAGTGTGGTAATCACCTTGGAACCACAGGAAATTGGCCCCTACCCTTGTGTCTTGTGTGTAAAAATTTTCCATGTATCTGGGGTTGGCCAAGATAATGTGCAGGAATTCCTGGGATAAGGATGTCTTAGACATAGGAAAGCTCCTGGGGCCTCAGTCTCCTTTTCTGTTGAATTAGTGTATTCAAATTAGTGAATTGCTCTGGATCTGCCAGGCCCCTTCCAGTGCTGACTGACTGATTTCATGGAGGGCATGCTGTCTTACTTGCAGGAGGAGAAAATTCTCTTCCCTGGCCATTCTGTGTTAGAGAAAACAGACGTGGCTAGGATGGCTTAGACAGTGAAACAAACTAGCTCACACAGGATAGCAAATATGAAATAGACATATGCAGGTTGAGCATACCTAATATAAAAATTTAAAATTTGAAATTCTTGGAAATATGAAAATGAGCACTGACAAATTTCACCTGATGGGTGAGCACTAAACATATTGTATAAAATCCTTCAGGCTATGTGTGTAAGGTGTATATGAAACACAAATGAATCCTGTATTTAGACTCAGGTTCCATCCTCAGGATGTCTCTCATTATATGTATATGAAAATATTTCAAAATCTGAAAAAATCCAAATCCGGAACTCTTCTAGTCCCAAGCATTTTGGATAAGGGATACTCAACTTGTATTACTAACAATAGTAAGAGCTGCTCACACTTAACTGATTATAATGTCAACTCCATTGAGATTTGAAGTCTGATCGCATTAGTGTGGTATCTATCCTAATAGTTTTCCAAAACTTTCAAGCACTTTTTCTTGACTAAGGTATCTCATGGTGACCCAATGTGTAAAACAGACCCTTGTGGTAGTGCTCAGTTTGAAATGAAGGTGAGATCCGAACTCTAGCCCTCTTACTGTTTCCTAGGAGTGGTCCCAGAACTTCATCAGTGACTACAGTTTGAAAACCCCTGTTCTAATCAAGTAAAAAAATGTGCATGAATCAGTGTAACCCTACTTACCCTTCTGAATCAATCCATATGATAAATTGAGCATAGCATTGCCCTAATAGTCTTCTATTCATTTAGAAATCTTGTATTAAGTAGACACCATTCTCATAATATTTGTCCTTATATTTGGGGTCCAGAAAAATCACTAAAAGTGCAACTATCATGTAATAAAGCATAATGAGTGCTTTTTAAAAAGAGGTTTTTCTTCTGACTGGAGTTGCATATTTACACACCTGTAGGTCCTGTATACAAGGGAGGAATCTGTTCTGTACCCATGTGGGAAGATTTTTGATGGTCTGTTGCCAGCAAAAATCAGGGATTTCCCTACCAGCCTTGGGTCAGTTTCCTGCAAGACTTCTTGTTACAGAGCACTTCTGACCTTCTTGGAGTTAACAGAGCCAGTAGAAAACTGGAGAAGAGAAGGCCCTATGTTCATAGACAACCCTTTGGAGTACTAGGTCTTCTGAGATCCAGGAAATGGCAAGTCAGATGATTCTGGAGACATATTGGGAGGCTAAAGGCAAAATGCGAGGGATCACAGATGAAAAAGCACTTTCTAATCTAAGAATTTTTGACTCTTATCTATTTGAAATTGCAATACACAGAGAAGTAAACACTTGGAAGAGATCTGGACCAAATATCAAGAACTACAGGTTCTGGTTGCAGTGGGGTTGATAGAGATAGTCTGCTCCAACTCAGGGCAGCCTGCCGAGTGCAAGATATTGAACCAGGCTCCGCCCCCAGTTTGCAGAAATGAAGACCATTTTTATAGACAAACACGCTAACACTGCATGTGGCTTTTGCCTTGTTCAACAAGGGGGATGCTTAATCAATGCTTGCTTCACTGAATCATGGGAGGTTAGTTGGCAACGCTCTCTTCTGGGATGAAAGAATGGAAAGGACCTTGAGGATGAATCATGTAACGAGTCATCTGCTTCCCCTGAGTGGGCAGTTTGATGTGTCCTGGCTTCCTTTGGGGACATGAAGAGTGTTTAGTGGTGAGTGGAGGACAAGTTTTAGCTTCAGTGTATGCTACTGGACTGCAGGAGTGGCAACTCTTTGTGGTCCCCTTGAGCCGGGGCTCCCTTTGCCATCAATGGAGCCAGACTGTCTGCATCAGTCTTGGCACTTTAGGAGAAAGGACACATCCAAGACCAAACATACTTCTATTTCTTTGCGAAAATCATTTTGCCAGTTGTTTCAGTGCACTTAAAATATTTCGGTATCATAATAACAAAGGGCGCCAGTAGACATAGGGGTTCAGACAGGGCTAGGGATGTGAACCCACAAGCTACTCAGGAAAGATTGAAAAGAAATGGAAAATAAAACTTTTTACAACTCTGAAAGTATTTCACCATTATTTCCATTGGTGAGTCCAAATCAAACTTTTTTTTTTTTTTTTAAATAACTTATCAAATGCACTTAAGGATAGTTAACATCTGTGGAATGCTTTCCATGTGCCAAGCCAGGCGCTGGGCTAAGTATGGTACTTCACCTGCATCAGCTTACTTAATTTGAATTGAGAAAAGGAAACAGAACAAGGGGAAAAATACCGTGACTGATATCTCTAACCACATGTCTTTGGGGTCAGCCACAAGAGGGTACTGTTGGTTGGCACCAGAGGCAGGAAGCTAACTGGTCCCAGACCTACAGCTGTGGGCTGACCTCAGCTGGAGAGAGGGTTGTGCTGTGGTTATGGTTCAGCACAGTTAGTTACAATCCGACTCAGTTCACATGAGCTAAATGATAAAGGCTGCTTTTCTATCCAAAGCAAAGACTATGTTATTTTGAAGAGATTCTAGGAAACATTCCTCCTCAACTCTTTCCTCACCTTCTGTAGCTCTGCTTCTTTCCTAACCAAGTGGAAACAAAACACTGAATTTATCACTGCAAGTCATCCGGTAACCATGAACAAATTAACTATTTTGCCTTGGTTTGCTTCTCTGAGAAATGAGGATCATTTCTTAGGGTTGTTGTAAAGATTAAATGAAATAATAGGAATTGAGAATTTAGCATAGTGCCTCGTATATATTAAGCATGCAATAAATGAAAACTTACTCTGAAGTTTTTAGATCTCACTTGAGTCTCATCAACAGTGGAGGAACATGAACGCTACTTTATCTGTTCATGCAATTCATATGCTTGTTCTCTTTTAATTTGCAACACTTACAGCACTGACCAGTGCCCTCCACCTCAATTACAAAGGGCTGGAAAAAAGCTAAAAATGGTTGTAATTTGCACAATGTTTGGAATGACACTGCCTTATTTATTTATTTATTTTATTTTATTTTATTTTATTTTGGTACTGGGTATTAAACTCAGGGGCTTTCAACCACTGAGCCACATCCCCAGACCTATTCTGTATTTTATTTAGAGACAGGGTCTCATTGAATTACTTAGTGCCTCGCTTTTGCTGAGGCTGGCTTTGAACTCTCTATCCTCCTGCCCCAGCCTCCCAAGCTGCTGGGATTACAGATGTGCACCACCGTGCCTGGTAAGTGACACTACTTTTTGACTGCAAGAACAGTTGTGTAGTGAGACAGATAAACCAAGAGATGTTAAGAAATCCCTGCCCCACAGCCAGGCATGGTGGCATTCACTTATAGTCCCTGCTACATGGAAGCTGAGGCAGAAAGATCACTTGAGCCCAGAAGTTCGAGGCCAGCCTGGGCAACATAGCCAGACCCTAGCTCAAAAAAGAAAAGAAAAGAAAAGAAAAGAAAAAAGAAAAGATCCCTGTCCCAGAAGAACCTTAAAAACAAAGTGGGGCTTGGTGGGTGTGACCCATGGTAGAGGGAAGGATAGTATGTGTGAGGCTCTAGGTTCACCCCTGCGCCAGCCACAAACAAAACTGAACACAGCTCTGTCAAGAGAAGTCTTGTGTTTAAAAAGTGCTTTTAAAAAAGGGGTGGAGCCTCTTCCCTCCAAGTTTTTTTCCCCCGCCTATCATCTTAACTCTGAAACATCAGGGGCATAATTCAGTATTAAATCACATAATGGTGTGGACTCTTGCCCCTTGGCCAAAATATTATTAGCAGAACCCCAACTGGCATACAGAAGCAAAGGAGAGAGGCGCAGATGCAGGCGCGTTACCATCTGTCTGGTAGTTAAGTGCCACGAGCTGGATCCCATGGAGCCAGAAGAGGAGGGGATTGGGGTTGGACGAGTCGATGCGGGTGGCGGCCGGGTAGGTCCTCAGCAGTTGACAGGCGGTGTGCTGGATCAGTTTCTGAGAATACCTGCGACACAGACGTTTGGCGGCATTTTCATTCAGCGATGAGATATGATAGCATTTGGGAGTTCTAATGATAGCGCTGAGGGATGTGGTTGGGTTCAGAGGGGAAGAAGATTCCTCCCAGGTCTGTCGAATTCCTTCATAGGAACCTAAACTCCCCAAAAGATTAGTCTCAGATTAGTGTCGAAACCTTAAACATTTTAGAAAGATAAACCTGAACGACACCCCCACAAACAGCCATAGCACATGAATACATCAGAATAGATCTCGAATTTTACTGGAGAGTTAGTTTACCACTTCGAAACAACATGATGTCTACTGAGTTTTAAAAAGAGGATAGTGGACTGGGGGGCATAGCTCAGAAGTAAGGGCCTGGGTTTGAGCCCCAGCATCCAAATAAATAAATAAATAAATGAGGGTAGCAACACCCAAATAAATAAACAAATAAATGAGGGTAGCAACACCCAAATAAATAAATAAATAAATAAATAAATAAATAAATAAATGAATAAGGGTAACAACACCCAAATGAATAAATAAATAGATAAATAAATGAGGGTAGTGACACTGATATTTACTTATTTAGGTACTAGGGATTGAACCCAGGGGCAGTATACCACAGAGCAACATCCCAGGCCCTTTTTATTTAAAAAAATATATATATATGTATATTTTATACTTGGTGCATATTTATAATATATATATATATATATATATATTTTTTTTTTTTTAAGATTTTAAGACAGGGTCTCCTTAAGGTGCTTGGGGTCTTGCTAAATTGCTGGGGTTGGCCTTTAATTTGTGATCCTCCTGTCTCTTCCTCCCTAGTCATGGGAACATAGGCACGTGGCAGCACACTTGGCTGCAACATAGATTTAAATTTGAATCCTGGAAGTCCTTTGCCTCTATACCTCATCTGCTCTGTTGCACAAGTACACAACAATATATGTACAAGCTTATAAAACCCACAGAAAATGAAAACAGGAAGCATCCTAAAGTTATCAGTGATGAAGTGGTTTAATGACAGTATATCCACACAATGAATTATTAAAGAGAATAAGATATATGTACAGAAGGTTATGTAAACTTTACAGCAGGTGTAAAAGATACACAAGTTTGTTCAGTTACATCCCACTTGGATTATCTTTAAAAGGATCTTATTTTTTTGAACAAAACACAATAAACTTAAGAGTGGTTACCTCTGGGAAGTAGCAGGAGGACACTGAGAGTGGAAAGGAATTTTAATAATACTCTGTATTGTTTGAACTTTAACTATGAGAATTTATTACCTTCATAATAAAAAGTAATTAGAAATAAAATGGATATATCTTCTGGGTAAAGAGTACAGTTCCAAGAACCACTAGAATGTTCCAAGGTGCTTCCAGTTTTTACTTTTGAGGCAAAGGACATTAGACTATCTCCAGTGAAATGTTATTTTTAATGAGTTAAAAGCATAAATTAAAAATATTTATGCCATTAGATAATGTGGACATTCATGAAAATATAAAAGAATTTCAAAATTCAAGGGAAGTGCTTAGACAGCAAATACATGAATCATTCAGCATGCAGGATCAAGCAAAGATATTGTAAGAAGGTGATTTTACTTTTTCCAGATGTTTTGTTAAATGTTGCTGTCTCCCCTGGGCTCATTCTGCCCGGATTGTTGCCAAAAATGGACTTCCTGCTTTTCCTTTCTTTTCCTCTGCTAGAGCCAGATGCATTTAGAGTTGACAGGCCTGTTCCCATAAAATGAAAATAAATAAGCCAAAAACTTACAGGCAACATTTTCCATCCCTGTTAATGTTTATTTTGAAGTCTTACTACTCCCCATAACAGAAGACCTGCTAGCATTTTTAGCATGGTTAATAATAGTATTGTAGGCAATTATATTGAAGTTTTTATCTCTATAGGCACATGCAACAAGAAGTGTATGCTTCCTGCAGAATAATCACAAGCCCTGTCTCTCTCTTATCCACACCTTACTAGTTGGCAGTGCACCTGAAAGATTTTTTTTTTTTAAGAGAGAGAGAGGAGAGAGAGAGAGAGATAATTTTTTAAAAATATTTATTATTTTTTAGTTTTTGGTGGACACAACATCTTGTTTGTATGTGGTGCTGAGAATCGAACCCAGCACCCCATGTATGCCAGGTGAGCGCATTACCGCTAGAGCCACATCCCCAGCCCCCTGAAAGATTTTTAAAAGTTGTATGGAAAAAAAGTGCTGTAGTCAAGATTTAATTAGTATTTAATTCATATTAATTACTCAATTTTGTGAGATAAGAGAATGTTTTCAAGTCTGAACTTTAACATCCTATTGTTCAGGTTCAATTCCTTCTGGTCTGAGCCTTGACTTGACACACTCTAACTTCCTTAATTCCCTTCTTTACAAAATGGGTATGATAAGAGAAATGCACTCATAGGATTAGTTTGAGAATTAAATGGGAAATACAGTGTGATAATAATGAAATTTCATGGCTTCTCTTTCTCCCTCCTGGTCCAACCACTCCCTGGATCCTTCACGCCTGGCAGAGTGCCTGGTGCATAGCAGGAACTTGGTGCATATTTGTTGAGTGAGAAAATGAATGCACACCACACAGACCTGGCTCTAAGAGTGACTTAAAGGCTCCAATGAAGCCACAGTTGCCTCCAAATCATTCCCAAGGTCCATAATTGTACCAGTAGGAGAGCAATTCCTTAAGCTGAAGCAGCATCAGGAGCCCTTTTTTTTCCGAAACAGAAATATACCTTCAAGAACATCCTCAGAGACAGAATAATGTTTAAAAGCATAGACTTTGGGGTGAAAAAACAGTCTCAGAAAGGCGATTTGCCTTTGCCAAAGTCAGGTAGCCAAGGTCCCAGATCGGGTAGCAAGGTCCCAGATCTCTGAGCAATGATATTGTCCAGTGATGTTTTCACTATCCAATATTTCTCTTGGCTGTTTTTTTTTTTCTTTTCTTTCTTTCTTTCTTTCTTTCTTTTTTTTTTTTAATTTATTGGTTTGGCTGTACTCTTCACTGCAGAACAAGTAAAGACCAAGGAGGTGGCCAAATATGTACCTATAAATGCAAGGAGCTCCCCAGAAGGAGGCAGTGTGATGGGTTGAAGTGTCTCGGGCCTTGCAGCTTGGACAGTGTCAAAGGGAGAAGGAAGGATAGGCCAGGTTGAGTACACTGTGGGAGCAAAAGCCTGGCAGCAGGAAAGACCATGGTGTGTGTATATGCTTGATGAGATCTGGGAAGTATCCAGAAACTATGGAGTGGGGTAATATGATAAATGGAATAATGAGATCAAATACCATGCCCTTCTTTTTCTTTTTTCCTATTAGAAAAAAGAAAAAATAGAGAGAGATATAAGATGTAACTGAGAAACAAATCCTCTAAGATAGAAGATAGAAACAAAAACAGCAAATCAGCTACTTCCTTGGTCCTAAGAAAGCTAAGGCAGTGTGGTGAAAAGAACGCAGCCCTGGGAATTGAGACACCGAGTTCTGGTCTTGCCTGACACTGCCCAGGTTCATGATTGTGGGAAACTCACTTTACTTCTGTGGGTGTCAGACCATATGGTCTTGGTGTGCCTTACCAGGTATTTTTGGGTGAAAGGTGAGATATATTGAAAATGATAATGTAACTTATCAATTAAACTGACATTTTCCTCATGTACATCCAAACAAATATGAAAACAACAAATGTTTAGAAGGTATTGTAGCAATGATTTCAGCAACCTAGTTTAGTTACTTTGAGAAAGGAAATAGAATTGGGGTGAGAAAAAGGTCAGAAACTTTAATTAATAAATCAATTAAAAATACCTATTAAAGGATATGTACTATATATACAGTATATTTAATATGCCATCCATATGCTTAGTGTGTGCCTCAAGTCAGAGCAAATAATCTCTTGGCCCCTCTATGGTTCTCTGTTGGTACAAAAAGTTCATCTTTTACACTGACTACAAATATCTATGAGAATTTGTGCACCTTCATTATTCAGTGCTTTAGAGAGAAATGACAAAGGCAGTGGAATGGATTGGGTGTACCCAGTATCACCTGTATTGATGAAGAATAAGAGATGCACTGAGTGTGATTTTTGAACAGGGTGGCCCTCACACTTGATCACACAATTGACTGACAGGTAAAGAATTTTCCTCCATCATAAAAATAATTTCATGAGGTGCATGTATGATCATAACCTATTTAGGTCATGTAAAGTCTCACTCTGTGAAATGAAAATGTTAGCTTCTTGTATTCCTTTGAAGTATCTGTTTGCTACTTTTTCACTCATATTCTTTTCAACAGAATTTGCTAGCAGATGAGCATTAGCAGCTGCCAAAGGTTTACAAACAGTTACTGGAGGAAAACTTAAAATTAAGGAATCTCTGGCTCCCCACCCCCACCATGTGTAAAAAAGCCACTATTGCCAAATATTTTTAAAAGCCCAACACCTTTGTTCCATTTGCCAGGTACAGTGTGAGAAATGCTGCTTAAGCTCTGATGAGTTCAGCCCATCTTGAGAAGATGAGGTTTGGCATTTTAACGCCCCTCTCTAGGCCAAGTTTATATACTCTGTTACTAGCATTTAGACTAGTCCTCCAATCCCAGCTGTTTCCTGTCCTCAGAAATCTTGTGCAAGGGGATTCTTTTTCTTAGTATAAGAAGATGAATTTTTCTGACGGCCATGTATTTGTGGACTTTCCCATCTGTTGGTGCCCCATTTGTGGGACACATAACTGGGTGAATTAAGCTCATTGGTAACATCCCTATCAAGAGGGGCAGAGTATAATATGCTTCAGGGCATGACTTTGGAGACAAGCTTCAGAATCATAAATCTACGATTTGCTAACTTAAATGAACACTTTTTTGAAGAAATGGTTCATCAACATAAATTCATTGTACTTTTAGAAATGGCCATTTGGAGAAACTCCCTCCCCTTGCAGTTTAGGTAGAGCCTCACTATGCAGCTCAGGGATAAAGTGTGTCATTTGCCTAAATGCCTCCAGACTATCAGAGCATGGCATCTTCCTGGCCACAGTGATTGGTTAAGGTTTGGGCAAAAAAACCCAGTGAGAAATTTCTGCTGGAAGCTCTGAAGAAGCACTTGCACTAAAGCCAAGTCTGGAAGTGTGAAGTGCTAGCCTGCTATGGCTACCTTACAACCACAAAGGGAAGAAGGCCAAAAGAGTGGAGGAAAATTGACAAACGGGGAGAGAGAAAGCATGTGCTCTGGATCAGGCTGCACCTGAAACTCATACATCTTTATTGATTTCTGCATCTTTAAGACAAGAATCTTAACTGATACCCCCTGAAAACTTGGGCAAATTACATTATCTCTTTAAAAAATTATTTGTTTTATTTAAAAATGGAGATAATACCACTGACCTCATAGAATTATTATGAATAGTCAAAGAGAGGATTTATATAAAATATTAGGCACAAATCCTGGTGCTTAAGTGTTTAATAAATTTTAATTGTTGGATCTTATAGATGTTATTATCAATTATTCACTGTTATGAAAAGACATTGTGTAGTTTGGAAAAATGAATATTTTATGGTATTTTTCTTCATGTGCATCAAAGCAAATAATAATAATAACAACAATAATAAATATTTAGAAGATATTATAACCATTAATTTGGCCACACAGTTTATTTTGGAGCATTCACAATGTCTAGTTAGATAAATAGGATACTTTCTTCCTTTGGTGTCTTTGTTATAGATGGCATTGCCTACATTTTACCTGGAAATTTTACTGCTTGGCAATAGATGACAAGGTCAGAAAGCTCCGGTGCAATCTGTCTGCTTTCTTTTTTATTCTGAGGAAGATAAAATTCTTCTCCCAGTTCCATGTCATAAACCTATCAAGAGAAAATGAGACCGTTTTCCATGGAAGGTAGAAGTCACTCGCCTGTGCATTCCCAACGCTCTTTATCTGTACTTTACCTGGAGGGTCATCAGTGTCCTCTCCTGGCTCAGTACATATCTGCACTGGGGTCCTAACACCTCACCTGGAGTGAAAACTTTCTGAGGGCAAGAATGAGACTCATTCATCCTTCAAGTGCCTTGGGGCATAACCCACTGACTTACACAGGGAACAGCCCTAGAGAACTGACTATGTTTCTATGGTGGCTCAATTTCTTTACCTATTCTATGACTCTGTCATCCAACAATGTCACTCATAACAACTCCTTCTGTAGACCCGCTCAGCCTACATGCTGTGAGGCCCTTGAGGGTAGGGTCTGGGGATCCCATTTATCTTCCTATTCTTGGTGTTATTCCTCTTTAACACTTTACAAGCTGCCCCCTTTTATTTTCTTGTTGTTATAAATGCATTTAAGACATCATGAAATTCCCTGAACAACCAGGCTGCTCTCTTGGCCTGAATGCCCTGATTCTGTCTGTTTGGCCAAATCTTCCTTCTCATATGTCACCTTCCCTGAGGGCCTGTCCTTGATGCTCTGATAACACAGGGCAACTGCTATTCTTTGCACATGTCCACAGGTCTGTCTCCATCACTGACCCACCTCCTGTGCCGCTTTGGTGTCTGCCATACGTACACCTTTGGTAGGTATTGGTGGGATAAATCAACACCAACTTTCAATGGCAGGTGGGTGTCTCATGTTATCACTTTGGCATCCGTGGGTCAGTGAGGGCAAAGGTGAAGGGAAAGGTAGGAAGGAATTGAGTACCAAAATACTATTTAACAGAAACCATCCACCCACCTTTCCTTTGTTGTAAGCAGAGTTATCTGCCTTCTTTATCCGCTTGGGAATTTCTTCATTGTACTCAAACTGAAGCTTGTCAGTACATGATTTATTTTCAGGTCTGTCTTCCAGAATGTTGTCTGAAAATGCATTAGCAGGCTTTAGTAACGAACAACCAAATGTGATACTTAAGGGCAACATGTACTTCATTGTGAGGGCAGGCAGACAATTGTCCTTGTCTTCGAGACCGAGGCTCTGTCTACATGATACCAAAATAATGGCTTGAACTATAATTTTAGAAATTGGGTCGACATATTTAATTTCAATTTAACTTACGAATTTACCAGTTATTTTGGTACCATATAGACACAATTTAAACGAGAATGATCATTTTCAAACAGATGGTTAGAACTCTGCAAATGCTGTGGAAAATATTCTGCATCAAGAAGCTGACGGCACAAGTCTGGGAAGGATTTAGTGGTTGAAGCACTTCTAGACAGTACATATATGATTTAATCACCCTCACCTTGAAATGAAGCTATTGGCTTCTTTTACTTTGAGAAATGTCAAAACCAGTGTGTGGCAGGAATAGGGGACACTTGTTGTTCTATGCAACATGAAATTTTTATAATTACAATTTATTGGAAAACAAAGTCTTCACAATTTTAATTATTAGGTGAAAATCTTAAGAACAGGAATTCAAACTTGTAAATATATCTAAGGGTGACAGATAATTTTTTGTTCTGCTCTTTTTTTAGCATTTCTAATCAGAATGACTGTAAAAGTGTGAGTTATCATGATTATCCTCTTTTTTTTTTTGGTACTGGGGATTGAACTCAGGGGCACTCAACCACTGAGCCACATCCCCAGCCCTATTTTTAAATTTTATTTTATTTAGAGACAGGGTCTCACTGAGTTACTTAGCCTTGCTGTTGCTGAGGCTGGCTTTGAACTTACGATCCTCCTGCCTCAGATTCCCAGGCCACTGGGATTTCAGGCATGCGCCAATGCGCCCGGCATGATTACACTCTTTTAACATAAAAAAACAAAAAAGCGAATTTCTCACTCATCAGACTACAAATGCTTAGACCAAAATATCCTTATAGCAAATAAGGGCCATGCAGGCTGCCAAGAAGTAAACAAGACCAATCATTTCATTTACATTTGTATTCATAAAAGTGTCACAACTTCATGCTCATCAGGCCCAAGAGATCAGAAACATAATGTTGATACCCATGCAGTTAAAATGCCCGTATAGATGATGTTTACCTTCCTGACTGTTAGGAGCAGGGGAAGCAGTAAGGACATCTGCTACAGAAAAACAGAGTCAGACAGGGTATACAAGTAAGGAGAACTGAGATGAAAAGCCAGATAAATTAAACTAAGGCATGAAGCAAAGCATAAATAACAGCTTAGATCACAAGATAAATGAAACAAGAAATGTTTGGTAGATTTACTATTTTGACTATATAGGTATGCAAGAGCTAGCAATAAATATATGCAAACATTATTAATGTTAATCATGCTCTCAGTAGCCACATTCATATTACATATTTTCAGTTACGGACTGTTGTGATACTCCCAGTATAAGTTTAGTTCAATGAACAGAAATCAGTTAATTTGTTAAAATCTTGCAGTTGTTGTCATAAAATATGCATATATTAAGTGGTAAATTCAAACTTGTGCTCCAGTGTATGTTCAAAACTAGTTGAAGTAAACAGTAACACTGGAGTGAAAATTAAATGAAAGAAAAATCCATTAAGAATTTATTATCCAAAAGGCAGAGTAGCAATTAGTAGCAACCTCAAATACATGACTTTGTGACTTCCTTAGGGTTTTCTTGAAATAATTCTGTGACTAAGGATCATCTCACTTTTATAGCCAAAAGTGGCTTTAGATTCATTCCTTTATCTTGTGGGTATGAAAACTGAGGACTAGAGCTGTCATAGAGACACACTGGGGACCCTGACTGTAAAGAGATGGGTTTCCTCTGTGGCCCTCAGGAGGTTGATGAAACTCCTACAAATGTGTACAGAATTTTGAGAGCACATTTATTTCTCAGAGTCAACTGGTCACAGCTTCTAGTTTCTCAAAGGGACTTATCATTATAAAAAGCATGGAAAATTTCAAGATTCCCCCTAAGAGGCAGCCTCTACAGTGGGCAGAATTCTAGTTTTTTTCATCCCAATTGGAAAAAGTGGAGATGGTAGAGGAAAGTAGAGATGAGCACAGTGCTAGGATCACCATTGGAAAACTACACCAGATAAGGCAATTAATAGTCACATATGGAAGCCTTCATAGGACAAGCTTCAACAAGGCACAGCACACCTGCAAGGCCTATTTGGGAATCAGCTAGTCAGTGGGATCTTCAATGAAGTAGGAAATAATCACGTGTTGGGAGTGGATAGAAGTTATTATAGATCATAGTATTAGTGCTAGCACTTGAGTGTTTGGGGGAGAAAATTACCAAACACTTCACGGAAACTTTTTATTATATATCAGTGGTACCTAAACCAAGAAGGTGAGAGGACACTGTCCAAAGTCTCACAGAGTCTGATGGGGTCCTCTTTTTCACTGATTAAAAAAATAAATACAGGACTGAGGCTGTGGCTTAGTGGCAGAGCACTTGCCTAGTACGTATGAGGCACTGGGTTTGATCCTTAGCACTGCGTACAAAAACAAATAAAATAAAGGCATCCTGCCTGTCTACAACTACAAAATTTTTTTTTAAAAAAGATGTTAACTATAAAAAATACATGCAACTATCTTAGAAATTTAGTGGGGTAGGATTAAATTTTACTCTAACTGAAAAAAAAAAGATCCTTCTTCCACCTGTTCATTTTGTTATTTGCAAATAAAAAATGCCTATAATAATAATGATTATAAAAAGCCTTCTTCTTTCCTGTTCTCAAAAGTACAGAAAGTTCACAGGAGTCATTTATGATGGAGAGTGAATTTGTTTTCCCCTAGACTAGTTTCTTCCAGGGTTAAATGACATCTGCATTGATTGATTTCTTCAGTGTGGTTTTCATTTCATATCTGTATCAATTTTTCTTCTATGGGACATTACCACAACTGTAATAAAAGTCCATGGGGAAGAATAAGTCCTACATAAAAATGTTCACATTTCCATCACTTTTCAGGAATAGGCTATAAATAAATTGCCTTTGACTCCTTTCAATTTTCTCCCTTTTTATATCTGGTTAGTTGTGACCCTCTTATTATCTTATGGAGTTTTGGGTCAAGTAAATTGGCTTCTAGTTGATGTTAGGAAACAAACAACTATTATGAAGAACAAATATTAAATGGTTGCAGCCTGATATTATATTTTGGGTCGGAAAAAAGACAGGACTGTCATCAGTGATAGAGGCTCATGGAACTGAAACATGAATTGGAGACAATCTGAGTGTGAGGAGCAGATATTGAGAAAAGAGTGGCTGAGTCGTCATGCCAGTAGTAAGTGGACAGTAGTCTGGGGCTACCTATATGCTTAGCAAAACAATTAGTCAATGGAGAAACAACATATGCTACATATATAATGTTTATATAAGTAGGAACCTTGGCATTTTCTCATTACTGTATTGCTTTCTTTCAGAAGACACCAAACAAAACAGTTATATATCAGCAAAGGCGTCCGAGAAAACATTTTGCCATCTCTAGCAAATAGTATTAATTTAGAACAAATGAAACACTTGAAACTTAATTCTTACATGAATAAAGTCCTTTACTGGTAACCTGTGGGTAACATCATTCATTTGACTTTTTTGGTATTGTGTCATGTCCCCCCCTCCCTGCCCCGACCTTTGGTGGGGCCAGAAGGAAATGTCTTGTTGGCTTAGTAATCTGAGAACCAGGGAGGGAAGGGGAATGAGGCGCCTTTATTTCTATCCTTCTAGAAAGAGTTGAAATGAGAGAGACAGCATGGAGTGGTGATGCTGCCCCCTATTGGCAGTGGAGGAGAAAGAAAGGATTCAGCCACAGTTTAAAACTGCCCAGAGCCTCAGCCACATCAGAAACCAAGAGGGTGGAAGTGAACTTCTCTGCTATAATTCTCTTTCTCTAGGAATGTGCTCCCTGCACAACTCTTCTCTGGGTTGTGGTCATGCTAGCTGACAGAATAAATCATTTTCCTTCCTTGCTCCTCACTAGGTGCCTGGATTCAGAAACTTTCAGACAATATTATAAAAATCTGTATTCTTGATTCACAGAGTTTCAGACTTATTTTGGGATGGGAGTGTGAGAGAGAAAGAAAAAATCATTTAAGTTTTCCTTTACACACAGCATTGGACCCTTGTTTCGCTTACCATCAGAAAGGGATTCATAGTCATAATCATATTCATCCTCTTCATCTTCCTCTTCCTCATTATTGGCAGGTGGGGGATTGGCATTCCCACCATTATAAGCCTGTGCTTGCATGGATGCTAACTGATGAGCCTGTAAGAAAGCAATAATTAAATATTAAACATGCCAACCAACTGAACTTTCACTTAGAACTGTCAAAACTACCACCTAAGGCTTCCTACAGTAATTAAAAGTGGATTACCCTATTTTGATTCATTTGAGAGAGGAATAAAACCTCTAGATTCATTTGAAATGCAATGTCAAAACTTGGACAAATGTCAACATTCCTGCAGGAAGACTCCTGGAGCTTTTAGAAAGGATCACAAAGAACCTGCGTGTAGTGCCCAGCTCCCTAGGCTCCTGGGGCAAATCCTCTGAGAGAAAACTTTGGTACCTTGAAAACCCAGGATCCATCCTTAATGACTGAAGATGTGAAACAACCCATCAATTTTGGAACAGTAAGTCTGGGCTAAAAACCATCTCCCCCACTTTTTTTTTCCTTCTTAAAATAATATGAAGAGTCCTCTGATCTTAAGAACAATATTAGGATCTCTATGGACAAAGATCAAAAGAAGAGTTGCCAGTTTGAAGAAAGCTCTTTTTCAACAGACTTTATCTGAAATGCAAATCAGATTAAAAAAACAGGCTTAGAAACTTTGGGAAATTTGATGTGTGTGGGGAGGGAGGTCATTTATTGAATAAAGAACACAGAATTTTGTGTATATTGTATTTATACATATATACATATATTTATACTTGCATAATTGTATGTATTCATATAATTATATAATTTTGTACTTGTTCTATATATGTACAAAGTGTAATATATACAAAGATATTAGTAAAAGAAAAGATGGTATATGTTAACACAGCAGGGGTTCTTGATCCATTTGTGTGTCACAAATCCTTCTGGCAGTCTGGTGAGGTAGAATCCCTTCTCAGAATGATGTTTTAGATGCAGAAAATGAAATGATTACAAAGGAATTAAATAGTGTTGAATATCGGGGCTCTGGGCTGCTTTCCCTTCTTGAGTGGGCACGGAGCCCCAGCATGCTGGTTCAATAAATCCCCCCTTCTGCCAAAAAAATAAAAAAATAAAAAAATAAATAGTGTTGAATAGAGTCGTCAAAGGGTTGAAAAACAAATTTTGTGCTGTGAGGATAAATGCGCTTTTTTTTCCCTTCTTATTTACTTATTTATTTTTTTGCAGTGCCGGGGATGAAAACAGGGCCTCATGTGTGCTAGGCAAGTGTTCTATCACTGAGCTCCACATGCAGCCTCTATCCTTTTTTGTGAGAGGGAGTCTTGCTACAATACCCAGTCTGGCCTTAAATTCCTGGGCTCAAGTGATCCTTCTGCCTCAGTTTCCCTGAGGAGCTAGGACTACAGTTGTATGCCGTGGTGCCCACTTGTTTCTTCATTAACACAGTAAAAAACATATAGAGGTAGGTGAAGTGATGTTTTTGAAAATATGATGAGCATAAATAATTCTTGGTGATATTAGTGATGACCGTGAAGTTACCTGAAAAAAAAAAATCTGTCCTCTCTACTGCTGACAAAGACAGAGTGCTGCCAACACTGCGGTGGTTTGTTTCTATGTGTATAATCAGAGGAAATGCTAAATTTCAGCTAGAGGTTAGTAAAATTAAAGATGTAATTTGCTTCCACTTGCATCCAGAGGCCCCTGAGTTCTAGCTGTGGATATTACCAAGGTTAAGAATTCCTGTAGTAGAGGTTATATTGGGCCCTGGAATTATGTATGTTTTCAAATGATTCTCTACATTTTATAAAATATGGTGATATTATTTTATCGTAAAAACATATACTGAAGGAAGATAGACTGTGGCCTATTGTCTACATCCAGATATAATGTTTTTTCGATGCAGTCCATGCCAGATAATTGGATATTGTCTAGGCCAGGATTTCTCAAAATGGGTTTTATAGAGTTCTGTGGATGTTAATAGCTGATACAGAAAAACTGACAATTCAGTTACCACAAAACACAGTGAAAGTTTGGAAATGGTAGCTTAACCAAATCAAAACACGTCCCCCCTCCAGGGCTTCCCATAGCCTTTATTTAATATGCTAAAGGACATCGTGATTCTTCCAAGATTTCCAGAGCAGCAGTTCTCATGCTTATTTAACCCAGGAATCAATCTTCTTTCTTCCTCCCTCTCTTTCCCTGTATCCTTCCCTCCCTCCTTTGCTTTCATCCTTTCTTTCTTTTTCTCAGAGTGTCTAATAGGACCAGTGCTCTTCAGAACTTAGGGAATTCTGTTCTAGGCACAAGTGAGCCACAAGAGCAAGAGTGTGTATCACTGATAAGAGAAAAGGCCGGACTCGATGCACTTGGCTAAGGCCAAGTTCTGGGTGGGAATGATGATGCACAGGGCCTGGCAGACCCTCCTGCAAAAAAGTGTCAGAACCATGTGGAGGAAGGATGCTATCCAAGGACTACAAACAGCAGTGTCAGGAAGCTGTGAGCCAAGGCCCTTAAATGCTTGAATACTTCCAGGGGGCAGGAAGCATGGAAGAGGTGGCTGACCAGCTAGCCAAGAGCAGATGCCCTCCTCCTTTGCAATAGCCTACTTATTCTGAGGCAGAAAAAGAAAGCCAGAATCCTTGCATAAAAGCAGCTCAGATATAGGTTAGAGGATTCGAGCTTGGGCTCAGATGAGGAGACTGCTCCTATGGGGTCAGGCAGGAGCCATGTCTCACTCTTTTCTGTCCTGGCACCTGGCACAGAGCCAGCCATCAATAAAGCTGAACTTTTGAATTTAGGGAACTGGAGTGTAGGACACATGGTAAGACTCCTAGAGAATTCTGTAGGGTGTGGTCAGGAGGTCTCAGGAACAGCCTCAGCATAAACCTGAGGCAGAAGCTGGGATCTAGAAATCCTGCCCGGAGTCAGTTCATTGTCACTGTTGGGTGAGTTCTTTGCATGGAAATGACCCACATCTTCTAATTGAAAGGTTAGGTCCCAGCTTGCTGGAGCTGTCGACTTCACCTGGCCTCACGTGTGGTCAGTGCATCTGGTCTAGACTCACGACATGCCAGGTAATGAAAAAAAGGGTCTGAGGGTGTGACTGTGGAATCCTGGTCAGTACTTGCTGGGAGATCATGGTGATGGCTGTGAATCCTAGACAATTGGGATGGGATAACATCATCTCATTTCCAAAGTGAGGAAGAGGTGAGTTGAGGAAATCATACTGTGGGCAGTGTCAAGGTGACACTTGACAATGTTCCAGAATAGATTACTAATTAGTTGGTTTGTGAGAACTTAGAAAATAAAGAGGGGTTTGGAAAGAGTGGACCCGTGCTTCCAAGAAAAAGTCTCCTGCATAGTGACTGCCTTAGCCTTTTAGACAAGGTAACTCACTCCGAAGGAAACAGCAGGTAAGTAGTGTTTCTCAAACTTCCAAGAGATAAGAATTCTTTTTCTTTTCTTTTGGTACCAGGAATTGGACCCAGGGGCACTTAACCATTGAGCCACATCCCCAGCCCTTTTTATTTTTTATTTTGAGACAGAGTCTTACTAAGTTGCTTAGGCCCTCAGTAAGTTGCTGAGGCTGGTTTTGAACTTGTGATCCTCCTGCCTCAGCCTCCAAGCTGCTGGGATTATAGATGTGTGCCATCGTGTCTGGCAAGAATTATTTTTCAATAAATAGATGGCTTGGGCTTTCTTCCCAAAATTCATATTTTTGCGGGTGAAATTTGGGACCTTCAAATTTGCTTTTTAAAGTGCCCCAGTGAATCCTATCATTGCATCCTAACGTCTGTATTACCTTTGAAAAGTCCTGTCTGAAGACCCAAGTCTGAGTCCTAGCTCTGCCATTACAACTGGGTGGCTTTGAGAAAGTCACACAAATGGCCAGGCTTCAGTTTTCCATTCTATAAATAAAGAAGCTGAATCACAATCTGGAGCAACTTGGGCTGTAAGAGAGGAGAGCATCAGACACCCTGAATTCAGGTGGCTCTTTTGGAAGGACCTGGGGCTGTGGGCCAAAGGGCACTTGAGATGAAGACAGTTTAGAAATCTGCTAATAAATACACCAGATGACAGAAACAAAACTCAAAAGAACTTTGTAGGCTGCAATAACATACCAAAGCAGGAATAGCCAATTTTATGGAGGTAAATATTTGATTCTCCTCTACAAGAGGTTAAAATTTATTATAAACCTGGAAATATTGAGGTATCAGGCACAAGAATAACCTGTGTGAAAAAAAAAGGAACTGCTTTTCTTTTGCACAAACTCAACATGAACACCGTGTGCAATGAAGAACTTAAAAATCAAGAATAGTCTAAGGTTGTAGTAACTGTGGTTTAAAATTCAAAATAAGGGAGGTCACTGTTCTCATGCCATCAGACTCCCATCTTGAGTTTTGGAAATCCCATTTTAAGATTGGTAAATTCAAGAATATCCATAAATTTAACAATATCCCAAATGTTCTTACTCAAAGAGTCTTAGCAGCCACATCCTGTATAAAGCAGTTGACACAGACATTTAGCTTGGAGAAGAGAAAAGCTCGTAGGAAAATACCCGATGGCTTCCTAAATATGAAATTACTCTGTACAGGTGCCAGGAGACGAGGTAGGGTCAATGAGAAGGAGAAACAGGAAGGAAGATTTGGGCTCAACATGAAGAACACTTCCATAACAACATGACTTATCATTAGTGGGATGGAAGCCTGAGGTAGCTGCAAATGACTGTGTGAAGATGGGAAAGGCAAGGGCATCCAAATACATCTGGAAGACAGTGGCCTGCATGTCTCACACAGCCAGGGCAGCTCCACCTGTTCTCCAGGCTGCAGTCTTCAGAGAATAGCCTGGGGGAATGGTGCTCAGAAAGAAACAGCACCTACTGCTAGGTGGCGCTTGGAGGAAGGGTGGTTGAGTACATTTTACTTCAGTGACTTTATAACCAGGCTTTTTGGTGCAGGTCTTGTAAGGTCTGGAACCCAACCAAATGCCACGTCTCCTGCAGCAGTTTTGAGAGTGCAGGTCTGGATGAAAGTGCCCCTGTAGGAGGTCTCAAACTGGTGGTTCTTGGGCCAACTTCCCCTCCAGACCAGGCTCTGCTGCAACAACTTGTTTTCTTATTTTTTAAGAGAAAGGATTTCACTATGTTGCCAGGCTGGCCTTAACTCAAGGGATCCTCCTGCTTCAGCACCCCAAGGAAATGGGACCACTGGCTCACACTATCATGTCCAGAGGGTACAGCATTTAAAATGCATGTATTTATTTATGTAGTGCTGAAAATTGAACCCAGGGCTTCACATAGGCTAAGCAAGTGTTCTACAATTGCTCTATACCCTCAGCTCAAAAAGACTTAAAAATCAATTGAATTAGAGCTGTTCATTTTGGGGGACTTGCACACTGCATGCCTGCCTCACCACCTCCAGTGGTTACATATTCAGCTGGCTCCTCACACTGATATTTCCTGCTTGGGCACCAGAAGGTGACTGGTTGTGTAACTTTTGGTCTAGGGTTGTATGTGGACTTCGGTTGGGAAATGTGCACTTCTAGAGCACACCAAGACTTCTAGGGATATGCGAGTCCAGATATTTTTAAAGGAGTAAGTTTCTGGACCTTCACTATATATGTGTATGTGCCCTTTTAAAAATAGGCCTGCCTAACTAGGTGCAGGGGTGCATGCCTGTAATGCCTGCAACTCCAGAGTCTGAGGTGAGAGGATGGCAAGTTCAAGGTCAGTTTCAGTAACTTAGTGAGACCGTGTCCTGAAATAAAATAAGGACTGAAAGTGTGGCTCAGTATTACAGTGCACCTGGGTTCAATCCTCTGTTAAAATCTTGCCACAAAATAAGCAGATAGTTGACTGTTCTCTCTTCCCACCTCTGTTTCTCACCACTGATCTTTTTCTGTCTTACATGAAACAGGCTGAACTCTCACCCCACAACTATCGCAGTGTAATGCCCGAGGTGAAATAAAAGGGGCACCCGAGAATGTAGCGCTCCCGAGAGAAAGTTCTGAGATGCTAATGTGTTGGGAGGACCTCATTTCATCAGGGCAATGAACATGATTAAGACTCCACATCCCTCCTTTGTACCCTCCCTCCCTTCCTCTTCTCTTCTCAGAATCAAAATTCAAGGTCAAGATGGTCATCATGGAGATGATATTACAATGTGTATTTGAATTTAAAAGCAAATTCAGATATTTTTTCTGACAGAAAATAAATCTGTCTGATAAGATCCATTGATTCAACTATGAGGACTATTTTGTATATCATATTTGTAAAAGTGTTTATGTAAAAATATGTGTGTATATGATAGTATTAAGACATAAATGTTTTGTAACTGTTTAAACTTGTGATAAAAATATGTAATATCATAAAGCACATGAAAGGAAAGAAAAATTATTGAGAGAAATACATAGTTTGTAACACTTGATACTTAAGCAAAAGAGTTTGAAGGCCACAGGCCCAGAGGATCCATGATAATTTTAAGTCACTCCAATTAGGGAAAACCTGATCAGCAGTGATCTGTTAGGATGGATTGGTTGAGGCCCTTTCTGGACACATTCACTTTTGTACCCAGGAGTGTGGGGTTTTTTTGGGGGGTGGGAGGTGTTACTAGAGGATAGACCTGGGGGTGCTTAATCACTGAGCTACATCCCCTGCCCTTTTTATTTAATTTTTTTTAAGTTGTCAATAGACCTTTATTTTACTTACTTATATGTGGTGCTGAGAATCTAACCCAGTGCCTCCCACATGCTACGCAAGCGCTGTACCACTAAGCCACAACCCCAGACCCTTATTTTTCATTTTGAGTCAGGGTATTGCTAAGTTGCTTAGGATCTCACTAAGTTGCTGAGGCTGGTTTTGAACTTATAATCCTCCTGCCTCAGCCTCCTGAGCCATTGGAACTACAGTCATGTGCCAGCTCCGAGGGGTAGGTTTAAAGATGATGCTTCCTCTGGCTTCACTTTTTCCTTTCTCACTGTGAAGCCATCTAAAACCATAAGGGCTTCTTGAAGTCAGAGGTAATATAACACAAATCTCCCGCTCAGCCTGGACTTTGGGCTACCTGGACTCTCAGTGGGTAAGTGGAACGATCTGGGAGCTCCTTGGGGTTTATTAGGACAGCAAGTAACAGGATGCTCCAGGGACCACTCAGAGAAGCACTAATGTTCCAGAATGGTAAGAAACCCTGGAAATGGAGACTGAAACATGGGATAATAAGATGCTCAAAAAATGGTCTCCAATTCTGACAGGGGTCTTACAGTTTGCCTTGGGAAAGATTCTATGGGAATTTAGTGCCAGAAGGGTCCTTTAAGGCCAGTTACCATAAGATTCCCATTTTACAGATGAAGAAATTGAGGCACAGAAAGATTAACTGGCCCATGGTCACATGGCTGATTTGTGACACAGTCAGTGACTAGAACCCTGTATTTTAGCTTACCACTTAGTATTTTCTTCCTGCAATATCATGTTGCGTATCATTCAGGCTTTAAACTCAGACCTTGTTTGTAAGGTCTACAAATTAAGGCTTTGAGAAGGGGTGATAATTATGCCAAGGTGACTATTTAACTAAATCCGACTAGACACTTGACTCCCTTTGACTTGACACTTCGTATTAATGGATGAGGAGAAGTTTCCAAATTCATTGTCCTGAATTCTCTGTTTTCTGGAAACCACCAAAGCAGGACTGGAATTGGGCTGGGAGGCTTGGAGGTGGTGGCACAGAGAAAAATCAAAACTTTAGGCTACACTCTAGATTGGGCTCTGAATGTCCTGCCTCCTGGGTTGTAGCCGTGCGGCTCTTGTGTGGGGCTGATTTACATGGCAATTCTTGGTTGCTGTAAGTTTCAAAAGTAATGTTTTAGGGCCAACAGCGCCCTCTCAAACAGAACAAGTACTTTTTGGCAGTTGTTACTCTGAGGGACAAATGGGTGCAGCTTGGCTTATGAATCCAGTGTCCTGAACTTGAACTTCTACACAGATGCACAGGCTGGGGTGTGGGACTTTGGCCCAGATCTCTGTGGGTGAGGCAGGAGTAGAAGTCAACATGCCACCATGATACACTGGGATCACAGGGCTATGAGGCTTCCACTACAGACCCCAAGCCCCAGAGCTCTCCCTAAAGAGGGCTCTCTCTAAATAGGGACTATGGCAATCCCTGGGACTGACAGCTCTGAACCCACTCAGAATAAATTAAAGCACAGTGTTACATTCTATGTGGGAACAATTCCACAAGAAAAATTTCAGGTAAGTGGGATGAGAGAATTTATTGGAAATGGAAAGGCAAAAAGCAAATACAACATTTAAGGGAACTCAGTGTTCAAAAACTGATTACCCAGCAGGTCCTCAGAAAGGTTCAAATGACAATTTCTTTGTTCTGAGCATACAGCACATTCATATCCTGCTTAAGAGGGTACCTTTTGTTTTAAGATGTCCACGGGCGTCTGATGGGCCTTTAGCTTCTTGTTTTTAAGAAGTACTTTCCTCCTAAGTTGGTCGGGTGAGGGAAGCATTGGATCATCTGAGAAATCAGTCTCAAATAAGAATCTAGCCACCAGCTTTTCTCCAAACACAGTCTAAAAGGAACAAAGGAAAACATACCAGGTCTTTGGTCTCCACTGGCTAAATATGTCTAGATTTCCTAAATGTACTAGATAATTCAGCCTGGCCGAATTGTTTTAAAAATCCCCGGAAGAGGAAGGAGGAAAGGAGTTGTTTATTTTCCCTCCACAGTGTCTTACTGAAGGAAGGGAGGTGTTTAGGACAGGGCGAGATCTAGGTCACTGTGCAGCTGGGGCCAGTTCTAAGATTCAGGGAAATGTTCGGGGGTCTGATGTGTTAAAGAAGAAAACAGATTCAGCTGGAGGCTGTGGTAGAATGTGGTCTGTTCCCGATGAGGATAAGAAGTCAAAGGTATATGAACCTTGGAGGGGATGGGAAGTGAGGGCAAAGACCGAAGGTAATAGGGAAAATTTGCCTCCACATAGGATAAAGAACCACAGACACCATTTTCACAAAGATTTTTGAGCATTGGTCTCTACAGCAGAATGTCTCTCCAGGAGGTGGGTGGAAGGAGGGTACACAGAGTGATCAACTGGGGTGAGGGTAGAAAAATGTGGCAATTTGTATTCTTAGAATTTTTTTTTTTTAATTTAAAAGGAACAAATCAAATCTTAGGCCAAAGCAATATGAAAGGCCAAATTTTTTGTTAGCATTAATATTGGGTGACATTTTACTCTGTTGATGCCCCTCCTTCCCATTAAGAGCCATGTTTCCAAATGCTTCTGTTACTGGAGAGAGGGGAAGGCTAATGGAATATGTCTCCTAAATCTGTCTGCATTACAATTCCTTTCTATAAGGAAGGCTGTCTGTCAATATACAACATTTCTGATTAGTCTAGGCTCTGTGCTAACTTGGATCCCTGAATTGTAGTATAGGTCACAAAAAGATTTGACTTAAAATAGTTTCAGTTTTTCCACATATAACTGACAGGTGACATCCTGGCATCTCTGACTTGTGTTACTAGAGGTGTTGTAAGAGTTGGTCTGTTTTTAACTCCCAAGGTTTTCTGGAAGAAGTCAGAGAACAGACTTTACATCACTATAGCTGAAAAGAGGGGCCATTCAAGAGGAGGTCCAAGCTCCTAGGGAAGCCCCATTTCTCAGGTCTGTGGGCCCCTAGTAGAATGTGTTTCATGGCCAAAGTCCAGCTGTGGTGTGGCCCACAGCAGTCCCATTGAAAGCCCAAAGACAAGCAAGACAAAGGCCAGGATACCATCCTGCCTCCTAGCGGGGAGCTCACCTTAAAAATTTCTGCCATTTTTCGTTGCTGAGGCAATGAACAGTGGTTCTCAATGGATATGATGATTGGCAGGTCAGAGTTGATGAAGGCGCTGCGATCAATGGCCTCAACCACATCCTATGAGATCCAAAACAGTTCCTTACAGTCAGCTATTTGTCCAGGGTGGTCAGAAAGCAATGTATTACATCATAGCCAGAAAGCATCTAAATTGTTGCATTCAGCAGACTATGGCCAAAGGTGATTTTCATCCTTTTATATGTACAGTTATCCCTCAGTATAACTGTAGGGGGTTGATTCCAGGACCCTGCAGATACTGAAATCTGTGAGATACTCTAGTCTCTTATATAAAATGGGACAGTATTTTCATATAATGTACACATATTCTCCCAGACACTTTTTAGTTTTAGCATCACTTATGAGATACTTTAAGAAGTTAATTTATTGGGGGCAAAAATACACATATTACATCTATTCATGTGGGTCTACAAACTTAGTTATCAACTCATTTTCCCATCTATACAGTACAAGAGTTTTAATAGTGATAAATAGGAAAATGAGTTAAAGAGAAAATGCATTTCAGTCACTATCTGTACATATAAGATGAAAATAATAATATTCCTTCCCAGTCTGACCACCGTTCAGAGAAAAATGATATTACACAGCCAAAAACACTCTAAATGAGTAATTACACAAGTGAACTAATATGCTACCCAGAATTTGAAATAATAATCCCATGAGATCAGTCTTCTTGGGTGACCAATCTTCTCGGGGGAAATTAATCTCCTTATTTTATAATGTTAATTATTTAATTGTATCCTTCTGACAATATTGGCTTTTGTCAGAAGGATAAAAGGGCAAATTGTCCTTTATTTCTCATAGCAAGAGAATATATCCTGCCTTTATATATCATCACATCATGAAGAATTGCAATGATATCATTACATCCTAACTAATGTAAAGTAATAGTTACTAAATTTTGGTTAAATAAGAATCAATAAGAGTTCTAGATCAAATTCCAGGAAGATGAACATGTGCACACTCTACACAATATTGCAAACATTTTTGAGAAATATTTATTCAGATCCAGCATGAGAATCCTTGATCTAAAATGTAATTTGGTAAGATGACTAATTTGAAAGACAGATGAAGATAATATCTCGTCATGATTTTACTTGAAGGAAGTGCTGAAGCATTACCTTGAAAGGAATCTTGGTTGTCAGTGTATGTCCATGATAAATAATGGGCATCCCATCATCTCCATCCCAGCAGTCCAGCTCTATGCTCCTACAGCCTTGCAAGAGGACCTGTGTGAGTAATGAATGAATCCACCCCAGATGAGCACCTGGAGATAAAGCTTCAAATTGAACCTAGCATACAGTTTACACATCAATCAGTGTTTGCACTCAGGGATAAAACAGAAGGGTATAAAATCTAAAATAATTATTGCACCTTGGACAAAGTCCACAATTAATCTGGGTTAGGGAATGGAGAGAACAGATTAAGGTAGGAGCATTTACCAGAGCTGAATATTATTCAAAGATCAATTTGAGAGCAAAAACATATAAACTTTTTTTTTCTTTCTTTCTTTGCCTTTTGCACCTTTGATTCCTTGAAACAGCACATCTTGAAATTAGAGAGCCCAGCAAGAGCTCTATATGGTTAGATTTAAATGGAGGTAAAGGTGCTAATGTCACAGCCTAGAAGAATTAAAACCACCAATTCCTTACTGAGCGGACTAAACATTTACATGAAGCCAATCTGTATGAAATATTCTCCATTAAGACCCAAATTTAGCAATGTGGAAACTTCTTTGCTATGAAAATGTAGTAAGAAGAACAGAAGAAAGGAATTATCAAGATTTTGCCTATCTAAACCCAAAACCACATCTGGAGAAGAAATAAATTCCTCTCTTCCATATGCATAGCAGATACCAATTATCGATTTTGGCACACTTATATATGAGTATTTAACAACAAACTTCACAATTATACATGGCAATAATGCACCAATAAAAAATATGAAAAAGTATTCAGCCCACTTGCCCCTAGGCTCACAAGCGCTTCAGCAAAGTACTGCAGAAAACACCACCAATGAATCAGATCAGGTGATACCCATTGGCTGTCCTGGATCTAAAACTGTAAGCAGGGCTCCCAACACATGTGCTTGATTGGGTTTGAGCTCTGGAATATCTGTTTGAAGCAACTTCCTCATCTTCCTTCAGGACTCTACCTGTAGAATACCTTAAACAATTATCCCATGATGGAAAGGTCATAGAAGCCAAGAGGCTGATATATCTATGAATGGACCTACTTATTTGAGAATTCACATAACTATTTCCATGTGACAAAAATCCATTGTTAGGGTTTAGTGGCCAAAAAGTTTCTGCATCAAAGTTTAGATAGTGGAATGCTTTTTATTTTAATATTTTTTATGTGCGATACTTGCTAGGTTCTTCCCATTAAACATCATAGTGTGTGGCCTAGAATTCTGAGGTCACCAGCTCCTGGCAACAGCTAGAGTGTCTATAAGTACATTGTCTTGGGCTGAAGATTGTAATATGGCAGGTAGGACACAAGGATGCTTCATTCCTGGGAAAGACTGCCAGGTTGGGAAGAATTGTCCAGCAACTAGCAACAGATTAGATGGGTTTTCAGCATGAAAAGACTAAATGTCTTTACCAAAGGTTGCATGACCTTAAGGCCTCCATGTGTAACTAGAAGACCAGGGTTGGGAATTCCAGGTAAGAAGAACAGGGCTTATTCTCATTTTTCATCTGTTCCATAGAGAAATGATAGGAAGTAACTAGGAGGACTGAGGGAGAGTGGAGAGCGATTAGAAACAGAATGAAAGGGATCTGACACCAGTCTAATCACATCTGTGAGTATATTTGGAGGGTTCTTGTGCCTTATTCAAAAGCTGTGATAATTTCAACTTGGGTATAATGTTAAGGAGTTTGAAAACTGAAGTCAAATAATGAAGTAGGAATAAAGCTAAGGCATTGACACTTGATTATTTTCCTGGGAGGAAAACACACACTCACAAATATGTAGACATGCAAAGATATGTATTATGTACTTATATATGTGTATATGTACACATGCATGTATATTACATATGTGTATTAACATATGGATATACAAATGAGACATATGTGTATATAGGTACCCACATACCCCATTTGTGTATATATGCATACACATACATATCATATCCCATCTGTATATGTATATCTATATCTATCTATCTATCTATCTTCATTTAAATTTCCCATAGAACAACGGATTTCAAATTTCTTTTGATTTGGAATTCTCTGTGCAAATGAAAGGCCAACATAGAAAACCCATAGAAGGGAAGCACTTCAAGGAGTCGGGCAGGGTATCCAGGATTCCCACCCTTCCTATCCTGTGGCTCGCTCATCTCATTGTCAGCAGCTGAGGCCCCTTAACAGCCTTCTATTTTGAAAATTACTACCCCAAGGACACTGAATCTTCATTTCACAATAAAGGTCCCTTAGAAAACAGTTAAAAATGCATATTTCATGCTAGATCATCTTTGGGACAAAATGTACCTCTTGCTGTGAGGAATATCTGGACTAATCCAGAGAACAAAAGAATCCCATTGCTGCTGGGGTTGTGTAAATAATACTGATATGATTTTCAAATTTGGGCCTGTAGGTACACAACCACACACTTATATTCCCTGGACCCAGCCTAGCTCTCTTCTGGTTAACTTCTTGTGGGCATTCAAAAAACAGGCAGCTTGAAAGAGGAAGTTGAAGACAATATAACAGACAGGCGACGGACATGCAGACCATTGAGAACTGGATGTGTAGGTCAAAAGGATGTGCTTTTCCCAGTCCAGACAGCCCACTTTTTCATAGAGCATTCCCATGAATTCAGAGGGACAGTGCCTCCCGTCTGTGCAATTTTTTTTTCCCCTCAAGTTGGTTACCATAGGGACAGATTGATTGTCTAACAAATTGCAAAGCAAAACAAACAATATTTTGGGATTAGCTCTGTAAGAAAGTTGCATTTTCTACTACGTTTTCCCACTACAATATATTGATTTATTTAGCATTTAGTGAAACGATTAGATAGTTTTCCCATGGGAAAATCTAATTTTGGGAGTAGGTCAGACTCGGATCTAAAAGCTAGGAGTCTCAAACAAATACTTTTTTTTTTTTGGTGCCTAGAATAAGGGTTAAGTATAGATGGAGAAAACAAACAAAACAAAAAGAAGTAAAGAAAACAACTGCTGTATGTATAGGCAGTTTTCCCACACATCATGGCTCCTTACGTTTCACATGTCCTAGTTTATAAGCTCTTTGAAGGAATCGGGGGTCAGGTTTTTGTGACCTTGGGGGTTATATAAATAATGAGGTTTAATGGAAACCACATTGCAAGTGGCCTTCTCGGTACCTGGCTGTAGAGTTCTACTGAGGATTCTCCTTTGAGCTGATGGCCCGTGAGGTAGGTATTGTGTGAAGACTCAATGTAATAGTAGGAGAGGGGTAGCTGCAATTCTTTTAAGTTCTCCTGTGACTCATCATTTTTCGAGGCAAAATTATCTTTATCCATCAGAAACCTAGATGAAACACACTTTCTTAAGACTGCATGAGAGCAACTGACATTCTTAAATGATGGGCAAAAGATCTTTTAAAAGTTACCTTGCAAATCCTTCAAATGACATTAGGCCCTGATGACACATGTTGATACTAGGCTCAAACTTCTGCATGGGATACAAAAAAAAAAAAAAAAAAAAGAAGAAGTGTTATTTAGGTAAAGGAAACTAAGCGGGGAAAAAAACCACCACATGATTTTTTAAACCTGTTCTTTTTTCATCAGGAAACATCTAAACCAAATATTTGAACTAATTTAGTAATGTACCAGTAAGATGTAGTTTTTAGCCCAAAAGAAAATATTTATTATATGTGAGTTTATTATACTAAGCATATTTATTTAAGAGAAAAAAGGGGAGCAAGAGAAAAGAATAAGGCTGATTTATATGAAAACAAAGCATATCAGTTTATCCAGGTGAAAATGGGGATAATAATAGCAGTTACCATTGAGTAGGTGGGAGGTGAAAAGAGATAATTTGCATAGGGCACTTAGTACCCCATCTGATCTAAAAATACAGTGGGCACAACGACATGATAATATTCCCGCTTTTTTTTTTTTTGGTACTGGGAATTGAATTCAGGGCACTTTACCACTGAGCTACACCCTAGTCCTTTTTGCTTTTTATTTTGAGACAGGGTCTTGCTAAGTTGGTGAGGCCATCCTTCTTTCTCAGCCTCCCAAATCAATGGGATTACAAGTATGTGCCACTGTGCACAGCTACTCACATATTTTTAGTGATCAAGTCCAACTGCTGGATAGCTAATCCACAGATTCCCAATCACACACTACGGCTAATTCTGAGGAAAGTGATGCAGCCACACTGCACAGCATCCCCACAATCTCTCTAGTCTACACCATCACCACCTCTTTCTTGCCTGGGCGACTAGGATAGTCTCCTAACCAGTCTCTGCCTCCATCCCTCAGCACAGTTTATTCCCCGAAGTGGTCAGAGCGACCTCTTGAAAACATAAATTATGTTACTCTCGCACTCAAAACTTTCCAAAGGCTTTCCATTTCACATGAAGTCAAGTCAGCCTCCTTCCCATGGCCTAAAAGGCCTAGATGATTCAGCCCCTGAAACTCACTTAAAATCATGTCTTCCACTCTCTGTCTGGCTCATGTAGCTCCCCTAATACTAGCTTTTTTGTCATTCCTCTTAAACCTGGAGCTCACTCCTGCCTCAGCAAGTTTGGAATGCTCTTTCTTCAGAATCTCACATGACTTACTCATTTAGGCTCTGTCTAAAGGCCACCTCCCCATAGTGGCTTTTGCTTAATTACTCCTCCTTAGCCTTCTCACATCACTCCATCCCTTACTTTGCTGAATTTTCCTCATAACTCATTGTTATCTGAAATTACACTATATCTTATTTATTGTTTGCCTCACCCATTAGAATGCAAGCTACACTGAGGGTCAGAACTCTGATCTCATTCATTAGTTACTATATTCCCAGCTCCTGAAACAGAGCTAGCATAGTAGGTGTTAATACATATTTATTAAATGAGAAAAGAAGTTGAAGACCTAGACTAATTCTGTTGTGCATGCTAGAATAACAAGGAGGAATTATGTACTGACTTTTTTTTTTTTTTTTTTTGATGCTGGGGATTGAACCCAGGGCCTTGTGCATGCTAAGCAAACACTCTATCAACTGAGCTATATCTGCAGCCCCATACTGACTCCTTGTAATGGTCTCTGAGTCATGGACAGCATTGGGTCTATGTTAATTATGTGTTAAATAAAACATTAGTATATTTGATATTTAAAGACAAACAAACAAAAGAACAAAACAAACAAACAAACAAAAACCTCAAATTGTCTCAGATGTGAAGACTTTGGAAAGAAGCATAGAAAGAATAAATGTTCAGCAGCAAATTATCAGAGAAGTCAGAGGCATTACACGCAAGTACACACACACAAAATGAGCACAAACCTGGATGATGCTGAGGATCTCATCGTAAGTGCAGTGTTCCCCTTGGCAATTCACCAGGAAGTCGTTGAGCTGGAGAATGCCAATCCCAAATATGCCCAGGGATGTGCTCTCGATCCCAGTGCCATTTGTCACAATGCTTGCAGCAGCGATGGCATCAGATATCTGCCTCTGGTTGTCTGAAAGCTGCTGTTTGCTCTTAATGAACAACCCCAAGTCTGAGACGTTTCTGGTCAACAAATCTGAAACAAAGTCACCCACACAACATGGACTCTTGTCATGCCAGCATCTTGCACAAGGTACATTTCACAGATAATGGTGCTATGAACTCATTGAACTGGAGAAGCTCTTTATTAATCAAGCTCAGTGTTGACATCTGGCTTCACACAGTTGAGGGAATAAAAAAAAATCAATCAATCAATCAATCGATAAGAGCTAGGTTGATGATATTGAAATCCTATGAGAATAAAATGTAGCTTCAGTAGGGACTGGAGGCCAAATTTAGAGTTCAGTTTTTGAGAATAACTACATCTACATTTTTCTTTATGTAAAGACTGAAGATGTAGTCTTAAAATTATGGTTTTCCTGTGCTTTAAAATTATAACTACCAACAATTGTACGTAAGTTTTTCTGTGAATACAAAATTTAAATCTTTTGGGTAAATTTCCAAGGAGCCACAATTGCTAGATTGTACAAAAAGAGTATGTTTAGTTTAGCAAGAAAATGTCATACTGCCTCTCAAAATAAATGTTTGCACCTTTTTACAACTCTACCAGCAATGTTTTAATGGTCTAACTGGTATACATTCACACCAGTTATTTTAATTTTCACCATTCTGGAAGATAATCTGGCAGTTTCTTATAGAGCTAAACATGGACTTACCATATGATCCAGCAATTGCATTGTTAGGTATTTACCCAAAGAACTTCAAAACTAATGTTCACACACAAACCTACATACCAATATTTATAGCAGCTTTGTTCATAATTGCTAATACTTGGAAGCAACCAAGATATCTTTCAGAAGATTAATGGATAAACAAACTGTGGTACATCCATACAATGGAATATTATCCAGCTTAAAAGAAATGAGCCATCAAGTTGCTACAAAACATGGAGAAAACTTAAATGCACATTGCTGAGTGAAATAAACCAGTCTGAAAAACTATACACTATATGATTCCAATGATACAACATTCTAGAAAGGGCAAAATTATGGAGAGAGTAAAAAGATCAATAGTTTCCAAGAATTTGGAAGACTGAAGGGAGGATGAAAAGATAGAAGAGAGAATATTTTCAGAGTAGTGAAATATGCAGGATACCCTTATGGTGGATACACATTATACATTAGTTGAAACTAAAAGACTATACAACACAAAGTGATCCCTAACATAAACTATGGATGTTAGTAACTAACAATATATCAACATTAACTCGATTATAACAAATGTAATGCAAGGTACTACTAATAGGGGAAACCTGGGTGGGGGTAGGGGTATGGGGTTGGTATATGGGAACTTTGTATTCTGCTCATTTTCCCATAAGCTTAAAAAACAAAATAAAGTCTAATTACTTTTTAAAAAGTGCAGTTACTTGACTAATCCATAGTTATACACATTTTGAACAATAGGTAAATTCTTAGCTTAAGGATAACATAAACATAAATAATTTTGAAGCAACTGCATGAAAAAAGAAAGTTTTTCATTTTGCTTCTTTGCATTTATAGTTCCAGCAAGAACAGAGGAGAAAATGACAGGCTTAACATGTGCAGGTGACTAAAAAATAGCATGAATGGTGATGGTAATGGTGATGATAGCCAGGGGGATAGAACGAGACACTGTGGTGTGCATAGTAGGAAAAATGTCTTGGATGTTCATATAGGAGGACTCTGCTGTGGTCACCAAAGACTGTTCAAGTCAAAGGGCAGGCAACTCCTGCCCTGGGATTGAGCACCCACCTGCCTATAGGTAGGAAAGAACCAGGTGTTTCTCAACTGTGACACACCATGCACCTCGTGGACATTTGGAAATGGTCAGGAAAGGGTTTTTGGTTGTTGGAATGACTGGAGGGCACTACTGGTTAAATATCCTGGAACATATGGGCTGAACAATGATGAATTTCCTTGCCCAAAATTTCAATAGCACCTGCCCCAAATGATCTCTTGAAATAATTCAGTTCCACCAAACTCCAGGTAACAGCACATTATTGCAAAAGGCTGGGAGCTTGTGTGACTGGATCTCTGACCTTGATTTTTAGACAGAAATTTCTCAAAAGGGAAATCCTAAGGTATTAAACAAACCTAGGTCAGGCTGAAGGTCACTGGTGTTCTCCTCAATTGTCAGGTTGGTGTAGAGTGGGGCCGACTCAGAGCCCGATCGGTTGCAGGGCACGCAGTAGACATCAAAGAGATCCTTCAGGTCCTTGCGGCTCCTTACGCTGAGCGAGGAACAGAAAACAACTCCCATGTAGTATTGTTATAAACATGTGGGCCCGGGAAAGAGTAAGAAGGACTTCAAGGCCATACCTGAATGATTTGAACAGCTCAACAAATTCAACAAAACTCATGTTACTGTCTGAAACCATGAAGCTCTGGAACCCCTTCATTCCTCCTTTGATCCGCCCGTGCCAGCTGCTACTGCTCCAGGCACTGCAGAAAGACAGGGCTGTCATGGGCAAACTGGGATGCTCCAGTCACTCTGCCCCAACACATGTTCTCTGGTTAGCAACATGAGCAAAATGATGGATTGCAAGTCATTTAAGTCGATTCTGTTTTCCTCTCCTCTCTTTCTATTTCCCTTGATCTACATTGTGTGAGGAAATAAAATGAAATCTGTTGAAGCCACATCATGTTTCCATCTGATTTAATAAGGGCACAAAGTTAAGGTTAATACTCCTCTACTAATCAAAGCAGTTCTTTGAAAACCACAGCTCAATGGGGGTAAAACTTCTAAGTTCAGTGATTCTGAAGAAAAGTCACTTTTAAATGAGACCAGAATTACTCAATCATAATCCATGGAAATATATGTGTTCTTTTCTATAATCTGAATTAAAGGAACCCATTTAAGAGGAAAGTTTTAGGTACTGCAGTATCTTTTCTTCTTCCTTTCTTAATCAGTTCTTCAATGAAAATAGGGAAGAGCTTTTAATATTAATGGAAAATGTGAGTCAGAAAACACATTAAGAATGGAAAGTAGCCAAATCTGCCAAAGGATTATATCTGTATCTGCGACGGCTGCGACCATTCAATATAAAAATGTCAGTCAAATGAGTCAAAAACTGTCTCCATGTTTCACCTTTTAAATTTTCTATACTGATTTCCTGACAGAATAGCAAGTGAAATGTTTTGATTATAGTTTTTAGTCAAATTAATGAACATAATCTTTGTTTTTATTACCTTGGGCTTTTAAAAAAATATTTCAAATATGTAAGAGAGTACAGAGAATATAATAATAAACAGTCACAGTCTATTCTCAACCTCACTAACAATGTTTGGTGAGGGAAAATTGTTTTGTGTTGACAGCTGAAGGTCACCTCCCTCACTGGGACAGCATCACCAATTGACAGATTTACAGGCTTAGGTTGTTGAAAATCAGCACAGAGCAGGACATAGGAAGCATAGGTTCAGGAAGGGGAGAATTGTGGCTTCAACATTTGCATTTAAACAATAAGTTCACCCTGTTCCTTACTTCTAGCCTCCTGACTGTAGGACTCATCTCCTGACTCTAGGAAGCTCTATGTCCACTCTTTCTCCTGCTAGACTTAGGGCTCAATCTTGCTTTCTCCTTTAACAGCATTCTGGCTGATTTTCTTCTCTTGCTTTGTTTTTTCTTTCTGTTTTAGAATGGTTGAGTGGGTATGGACCCCTGGGGTCTCCTGGGTTGGGGCCTCTGATCTTTGATCTGGCATGTTAGTTTTCTCTTTCAAAAGAGTTTTTTCTGCTCATGAGTGACTGAAGTAAAGAGAAAAGCCATTTAATCAAGGTTGTTTGGCTATTTTGTTTCCCCAGGATCCTGTATAGGCTGAAAGTAAAATGTAAAGGGAACCAACTCTTTGTTAACTTTCAGTTTTGTTGTAAACCTAAATTTGAAGAAGGTTTCAAGGGTGGTAAGAAGAATTCCTATATTCCCTGACCCATTTGAGCCAGTTGTAAATATAAAAAGGTTAACGTACAAGTTCCTTACTCATTGAGAGAAAGAATTCTTCTATGTGTGTGTGGGGGGGTGGGGATTGAAAGCAGAACCTTTCTCAAGAATGCTACCAGTGAACTATCCCTTGGCTCTTTTCATTTTGAAACAGGGTCTTGCTAGATTGTCCAGACTGACCTGGAAATTGGAATCCTACTGCCTCAGCCTCCCAAGTAACTGGGATTCAAGGCAAGCATTGCTTTGGCAAGATTCTTTCCTTTAAAAGATAATTTGCTTTAGTATTCTTATCAATAGGGAGAGAGAGAGAGAATATGAATAAATGAATGTGGTGTGTGCATGTGTGTAGTGTATATATGTATGTGGTGTATGTGTGTGTGTGTGTGTGTGAAATTGACATTTCCAAAATCAATGTGTGCTCAGACTCACTCCTCTGTGGATAGGTGAAGAGTACCTGTTTTATCGTGGTTCTACATGAATTCTCTGAATTTCTTTAACTTTATTTGAAATATTTGAACTATATGAGTGGAGGGAGATGTAGTAGCCATTCTTGTTCTCTCTGGAAGTCTTTCATTTTAACATGTTTCTTTTTCTGAGAAGGTAGATTTTGTTTCAAGTCTGCTATTTATATGAATCTTATATGATAATTTAATATAATACCAGCTTTAGAATTATATGTAAACATATCCAGTAGGCTTACATTTGAATTCATTTCTCCAGGCATGTATAACTTTTCTCATATCTGAGGATTAAGTATATTTCACCAATAGTGAAGTGCCAGGTAGCTTATATTAAAACTTAAGTTATTCTTCACTTAGAGCAGTACTAAGCACTAGCCGACAGAACTTCTTACAGTGATAGAAATGTGCTCTATCTGCAGTGTTCAGCTTAGTGACCATTAGCCACTTGTAACTATGGAGCACTTGAAATGTGGCTACTGTAATGAGAAGCTGGCTTTTAAATTTAATTTAATTTTGATTAATTTAAATTTGAATTCAAATACCCACATGTGGCTAGTGGCTACTATATTGGACAGTGCAGATTTAGAGAATCACAGCTTAGATTTTGTCACAGCTACTTTGAAGGGTTGTTTTATTCTCTCAAATAAGTAAGCACAATCAGAAGGTAGTATAAAATCAAGAAAATTGGGATCATTTAAAATTTGGAACCAGTCTTTCCACAGACAATTGGAAGCATGTGCCCTTCCATACAACTGGAATGATGGGAAGGGCCCTTCAGTTTTATCATGTTAAGGCCCCACCTGGACGGACTCTTGTTTGAAGAAGACAGCACAGGGGAGGAGACTGGCCTGATGGGAGATGACGTCCCGGCAGCCAAGTTGGGGGACCCAGCTGTAGTCAAAGAGTGGGCTCTTCTGGAAGGGAGAGGATTGGGAGGGCTAGCGATGGCATTCGCCTCTGTAAGGATGAAAGATGAAAAAAAAGAACTGCTCATATTTTATTTTCCTCAGAAATCAAATACAAACCAAAGATGTCTGAGCAAACCAACCTATGCATCAAAATATTTTGATGAATGGACTAATGTGGTGGATTCTCAACTGGTTACACATTACAATCATTTGGGGAACTTAAAAGTATATAGATGCCCAGGTTCTAGCCCCAAAATGTCTAAATCAGTCAGTCTTGGGTGTGGCCAGGACTTGGAGATATATTCTTAAAAGCTCTACTCTCTAGCCAGGGTTGAGAATCTTTCATCTAATCCATCAAATTGTATCTTGTTCATCAACTATTACCTGCCAATAATGGCAAGTTAATTATAATAATGTGAGAATTTTGTTCCAAGTAGATTATGTTTGTAGAAGTGCCTTTTAGGTACTTTTAAGTATCTTTTTGGTTTCATCATCTGGTTTTTAAAAAAAAGTATATTTAAGTTTTGTTAAGAATGTCTACAATGCTTAAATCACAACTTAAACCAAATGTGTTTTTCCTATAACATTAAAACTCACAAATCTCCTGTACCTGATTCTTCTTGTTCATTTGTATCTTGAGGATCAGAACCACTCCGGCCTCGACACTCTTTGTACATTTTGACCTTTCGAGTCGCCATCTCATCGTCAGTTGCCTCTCCACTCTCACCCTGGGAACGCAAAGATCAGATGGCTCCTGGCCCGTTTTTTTCACTCTCCCCACAGCTGCTGTTTGGGCAGGGCTCTATTCTAACCCACTCTCCTTCGAAACTCTCTCCCCCAGCTGAGGCCAGGAAAGACCCGTTAAGGCTGACCACGTGTCCTCCTGACATGCTGCCCAGTTTGTTCTTCATTGCAAGGCAGCTAACAGAGGGAGGCCGAAAAGAGGACGCATATGAGCCCTGGAATCTCTGTGTACAGACACAATTGTGAAGCAGATAAAGGTCTGCTGTTTATCAACAGCCTCATGTATGTAAAAAAGGGCATTTTTTTTAGATAGTCACGAAGCAAATATGCTATCATGTTACAGTGGTTAAATATGTTATAGTATATTGTGAAAATATATCTTAGGTAGTGTTCCACATACAGCATTATGGCCCTCTAGGACCTTCATAATGTGACTCCTGTTCTCTTTTAGCCCCTTCTTGCCCAACTCAGTACTGATGCTTCAGCTACCCAGAGTGGCCTGTGCTTCCCTGAACAAGCTATGACTCCATGCCTCTCTGCTGTCTCGTCTGCCAGGGCTGCTGTCCTTTGTATTATTTGCTTGGTGAACTCCTACACATCTTTCTAGACCCATCAGTGAACTGCTCTGTGCCGTCTTCTCTGCCTGCCTCTTAGCTCTGTATTTTTCTTCTTGCTGGTACCATAGCAAAGGATTGGACAGCAACTTAGATTGCACTGTTTTGTTTATGTCTCTGAGTTCTTCTATGGACTTCACCTTTTCCTGGTGTTGGCTTGGTTCCTGGTCCTGGCCTTGGTAGCAAGAGGTATGTGACATTTGTTTTATACCCCATGTAGTCCCCAACTCAAATAACCTAAGGTGATATAGGCCACACAATAATCCTGGAAGATTGAGTATAGAGCTTAAGAAGCAAATAACACAGTACCCTCATGAGGGTTTTCTTCTTTTTCTTGGTGGTGCTTAGGCCCAGGGTGTTATTTCGCTGCACATTGGGTTTCTCAGCATTCTTTGCTGATGTCCCAGGGCTGGGGTTTCGAGTACTCCATCGTCTGCCACCAAACAACTCCACAGCATGAGCCAAGGTTGGGCCTTCATACCGGCCATCCTCCTAAAAAGAACCACATGCTGAACAAATAAGGAAGGGGCAAGCAATGTGGAAGTAAATGTATTAATGGTTCCCAGCAAATCCCCAGAGGTGGAGAGGCACAGGCAGCCACATAAGAATAATTGACCTGGCCACCCATGTGGTTCTGGCTGTGTTTTCTGAATCTTAGAACTCCCTGCTGAACATTTCATAGGGTTCCCTGCTATCCTGGTCACATCCTGATCGGATCTGGTGATGTGCTTTAAACCATCAACTGGGATAAAAAATATTTTGCATCCTGGCTTCAAAACTAACACTGTAGGAGAATTCATTAAGACTTACTTTGCAAATTGATCCTTTGGAGGACTTGGTGGTCTCGAGAGTTGAAAACAGAGTGGGGATCTATTTAAGTAAAATTAACTTTTATTTGTCCACTATTATATCACATCAAGTAGATTCTCATCTAATTTGATGCTCAGGAAAGTCTGACTTGAAGTAGAGGGGATGTGGCCTATGTGAAATTCACTTTGGAGGGCCCTGGGGAGGTCCTCAAACAGTTGAGTTGTCATCCTCTTGAGTGATTGAAATCTGAAGATGGATGGAGAGCTCATGGGACTTAGAATACCAAGGAGATTATGATACTGTGAGCAGCAACACACACTCAAGGGGGAGATAGTGGTTTACAATAGCTACTGCTTGCAAGGCAACTCTGAGCAACATCTTTTAAATGAGTAATGGCAGGGATTTACTTAACTAAACAATGGTCAATGACTCGTTCCACAAGTCAGCAAAATCAGTTAATAAAACCACAAAAAGCCACATCTAAATTAAACACAATATTGCTATTTCACACACTGCATAAAAGAGTTTCTTTAAAATTAATTTCCATGTACTGTCTCTACTTTCTGAAAATTTTAAGAGTAGTCCTCCTTTACAGTTCCAAGGAAGTGCTTGCTAACAGTGCTTTGCTTTGTTGCAGATCATATGCAAATAATAAAGAGAATTTGTGTGTGCATGCTTACTCTTTCATCCTAATGTTCAGTGACTATCTGATTTTATGACTTGCTGTGAATACTACCTTCTGAATCCCAGGATGCTGAGTAACTTGGGCAATTGACATAGAAACCTTTGGGTGACCTCTTGTAGTGGGACATCTGTAACTTATGCCTGTCCATTATCCACTTCCTTCTTCTCCAGCCATTTCCCAATTTTACTTTATCTCTTTTCCATTGAATATAATCTCAATGAATCTGTTGATCAAAGTGGAATAGCATCCCTTGACCAATGATTGGTGCATGGTCCAAATAAACCAATCAGAATCTTTCTCCTTGGAATGGGATTCCTGAATGCAGCAATACAGGGGATGAACATGGCTGGAGATCATTCCACTTGATTCAGGCCTGCTGAAGAGAGCCTCTGCTGAAAGTCACTAAGAGTGACTCCAAACTGGGATGAACATTTCATGACACACTTTGGCAAATAGTTTTTAACTGCTTAATGAATAATATACTCTATACAGTTGAAAGAAGTTTTGTTAAGCCTTTACCTATGCATTTTTAGCCTACACATCTTTAAAATTTCAATAGATCTGTTACAGTTTACTCATAAAAGAATCAGCCCTATTAGCTTTTGCTGTTTGGGGTTTTCTAATTTCAGAACATCCCAACATGGACCAAAACTTACCCTTCAAAATATTAGGCCAGAAATAGGCAGGGTGCCTTTTTTTTTTTTTCAAATATTTTAAGGAAGCTTTCTGGGAACTAAAATGCAGTTTGAATCTTTTGTTTTTTTAAGACAATAATCTCTTGTTTGGGTAAAGGATATATCTTCTTCCTTATTGTGTGAGGAGGACCGTTGAGTGTGAAGGCACTTTCTCAGATTTAGAAAAGAGTTCATGTGAAGAAGACTAGAAAATTGATTCCTTTTAATATACCCACACACTTTTACCTCTTGGCATATCTTTCATATGACATTTTGAACACTGTTAAACTAATCTATACCCCTGCAGATTGTGAGAATCTGTTTCTGTTGATTACAACCAAAGATGTTTACCTGATAATCCTGTATTTACCCCTTGCAGCTTTCAGAAGCCCCTTCCAAATACCCCCAGAATTATCAGCTCTCAGCAATGCCCAGGATAACCTGAAGCCAGAGCTCATATGTTAGTTTATCTTTCTTAATTAACATCAATGTTTCTGGACAGTTTACTGTCCTTTATTTTCATGTTTTCTCCTCCAATGCTGGAAAGATTATTTTTATTGCCTATATAAACATTTCCCAAACTGGGGATAAAGAAATGCTCTTCTAGTACTATTAACAGAAGTTTGGAAAAATCCAAGAGATTTCTCAAAAATGTTTTTAACTTATAGATAGATATTTAAATAGTTTATTTTATTTTTTTTTTGTACTAGGACATATCAGAGCACTTTATGGGCTAACGTGTATTATAAATAATTTTAATATTATGGTAATGCTACATAGCACAGTCAGTTTTAGTTAATCAGCTAAAATGGAAACTAAAATATCTGCTTCCTGTGTATTCCCCAGGGAGCTTTCAGTGTGGTTGGCTACTTGGAAAAAAGGTCTTCAGGGGCTCTTATGAGAATTGATTTTTAATTAGGATTATTCTTCTGCCTTGTAGAGTCAGGAAAAATACATCATCCATGGACATTTAACATTTAACAAAAGATCCATTTGGCCTTTTGCTCTTTAAGTAGCAAATCCATTTGACTGTCCCTGAGACAATTTAGGAAACTGGTGTACATTAGTCTATATTGGTCTGTTGGCCTTTTCCACGTTTTTCTTCTGGAAGAAATTTTGAATGTCTATTTTCAAGGCATGGTGCCTGTCTTCTTAAGTGACTCCTGTAGCATGATCTCTGAGGAAGAATTTCCACATTTCTTAAGTGACAGAGATACATGGAACTATCTGGCTTCTACCCTGCAGTGTCTTAGTTCCTGTGGAGGATGGGGGCAGAGCTCTGTTTGCAGTGTTAGACTGGGGCTTCTCTTGGTCCCTTCTGTTTCTGCTCCAATGGCACTTTTTACCTCTGCTGTCCTTGGTTTTAGCTTGTGCCTCCTTCAGCAAAAGCTGAAGGCTGCAGGGGTAAATGAGAAAGCAGTACATTTTATGCATGAATCCAGTTACTTATGCTATCATCTTGAGAAGAAAACAGATGGAGAAACTAAAGCACATAGGCTTTGTGACCGGGGTTGTAATTAAGCTCAAAGACTGACTTATGTCTATGTTTGATGGTTTTTTTCCCTTGACTCTGCAAGGTTGAGGAATAATCCCAATTAAAAATCAGTACTCATAATAATCCCTAAAGACCTTTTTCCAAATAGTTCACAGGCACTGAAAGCTTCCCGTACAACACACAGGAAGCAGGTATTTTGGTTTCCATTTTAGATGAGTTAACTAACACTGGTTTTGTGTGATGTAGCATCAGCATATATGAATATATAGGTCTCTCTGTTTACTAATTAATTACTCAAATTAGTTATTCAGGATATGATCTCTGCTTATAATCACTCATGGGTGTGGAGAAAGTAGAAAGAAGGGGCATTATATGTGTCTCTGCTAATTTCCTAGGAGGAAAAATGTTTTGAGAATCATGTTATAGATGAAGTCATCCATGTGAGTAATTTTGGTCATAATTCTAATTGTCCTATGATACTAATAAGAAAAGACATTTTCCCCATCAAAACAGAAAAGCATAATAAATTAAAACTGAATACTTTGATATGATCAAATTGACAATGCCATTTCAACAGCGTCACCTTATGGGAGGATTTATAACTCATTTTCTCAGCAATCTACCCTCTCCTTCCTTGACAAGCATGATACTCTAGTTAACGCTGGTGTCTCTCCTCATCATCTCATTTAGCCCAGGCCTGTCACCACTCTAAGCTGGAGTGTTGAAGGACCTGACAACTTAGGGTTAATGAAAAACTCAATTTAAGCAGCTGGTTTTTGAAAATTGCCTGCTAAGGGCTATTGTCACTGTAAACCTAGTGAACATGAACTTCAGGTAAGAATGATCACACATTTGAGAGGCTTTCTTTTAAACTCAAAAGTTCTTCAATTAGGCAGCAATCCAATAAGGAAAGTAGCTCTCCAAGAGCCACACAACACACTAGGCAATGAATCAGGATTTCAGTTTCCAAAGGGAAGGTTTCCAATGTATCAGCTATTCTCTAATTAATAATAAAATCATTCAGATTACAACATTTTTGACTGAAACCCTGAGTCAGTGAAATTGTTTGTGCTAACTGGCTTTTTTCTAGATTAAAAAACTATACTAAGCATAATCACTATTACATACAAAACAATAACAGGGCCTACCATGAGCAGACATTGTTCCTTATACATTTTAATTTACATTGTAGCTTTATACATATTAACTCAGTTCTCATAGGTAGATAACAGGTATTATCATTTCCATTTTATAGATAAGAGAACTGTGGTATCAAGAGGTTAAGTAAAAAATGCACAAGGTCACAGAGGTGGTAAGTGGCAGAACTGGGAACCTGGTGGTCTAATTGCCAAGTGCCTGCTCTTGAGGATGACGGGCTCTGGAGTGAGGAATGGCTGCACCCCTTACCTGATAGAGGCTCACATACTGTTTCCGCAGCCACTGCTGTCTTTGGTCAGGGAACCTCCTCATCTTTCTCACGGCTCTAGTGAGTTCCAATAGTCCACTGAAGAGCATTTTAGCTGTGTGCTTTGGTGCCACAAAGTGCAATAGTCTATTGTCCGTGGTTTGAAGCCCATAGAGAAGTGTCACACCAGTCTCTGACAGAAGCATGCTACCCAGTTTGTTCTGAACACACACAGTGTGTATATCAATGTTAGGGTGTCCCATGTACACCGCCTTTGCTGAAAACAGATCTAAGACCCCCTCCACCAGGCCGCTCAATACAGCATTGCCCAGTAGCGGGAATTTGCCGGGCTCGACGGTGTTACTGAGCGCACTGAGTTTTGCCTTAGTGCTGGCTGGGGAGGCGGTGGTGGGCTTTGTCCAGGTCAAAGTGCTATTGTCAGGCTGAAGCTGGAGGAAGCAGCGGGCAGAGAGGTGTGTGTCCTGGTCATAGTGGATGACCGTGGCCCCCTGAAGCAGGAACTGATGCACATCAGCTTGGATGGACAGCACATACCAGGGGATGAGCTCTGTCCCATGGGCAAAGGCCTTCTGTGACTCCTCTGATCCATGATGATCACATTCTTTGGCTTGCTCAAAGATGTCATTTTCTGAGTCCAGCAAATCTCCAATTATAAACCTGATGGAAAAGAGACACAAATTTGGTGTGTTTTATAATCAGAAGGGGACCAATCTCAAGCCTTTTACTCATACTGGACTTCATGTTTCATCCTACTATAAATTAAAATAGAAAATAGAAAATGCTAAATGTCACTGGGTAATTTTTTAGAATGGCATTCTAAAATCTTACATTTAGCAGGGTGTCTGATCATAGGCCTAAGAAAGGAACTAGTAGAGGCATTATTATATTTTTATTATCAACAACCGTAATCTTGATTATATACTAGTTTTTCCTCTGGTGTCAGGAACAATGTTAAAAACTTTATGAATATTTTTGCACTAAATCTGTTCTACTTATGAAGTAAGTTTTATTTATTTATTTTGTTTTATCTGTGGGAAAAAAAACAAGGTTCAGAAAGAGAAAGCTGAGGTTACCCAGCTTGGAAAAGGCCTAACCAAGGTGAGATTCTGGTCTGTCTACACTCTATAACCTGGGATTGAGTAGGTTTATTTGCCTTGCAGTTAAATCACAAACAAAAATCATGACCTGAATACATTTGTGCTAAAATAGGGGCAAATATAAAATAAAATGAGTTTCATGGGGAAATATGGTCACAGTGATCAGTTATGCAAGAATAGTTCTCCTTCACTCAAACTTAGATGTTCATTCTGTGTATATATGTGCATGTGCAAGCACGCACATGCACACACACATAAAAGCCTTGTCTAGCCAGGTGAGATGGTGCATGCCTGTAGTCTCAGTGACTCAGGAGGCTGAGGCAGGAGGATTGCAAGTTCAAAGCCAGCCTTAGCAATTTAGTGAGGGCATAAGCAACTTAGTGAGATTCTGTCTCAAAAATAAACGGGCTGATGATGTGGTTAATTGCCCCTGAGTTCAATCCCTGGTACCAAAAACAAAACCAAACCCTTGGTCTACTTGGGAAGTTTAGCAAGTTCCCTTCCCTGGATCAGGAGCATGGATTATAAAGTGGATCTGGGGAAAGGCAAGAGAGACCTTATTGCCTATATTCTATCTGGCCACCTTAGCAGGAACTTGCCAATACTGTAAGAAGTTATAAGTAAGATTAAGGTTTCTTCTACTCTTTGGTTCACAGACATTACCAGCAGAGTGTTGGACAAAACTGTGAAGGAGCTGATCCACAGGTGTCTGGGAAGGAAGGTTCTCATTGTCTTGAGGCACTTGGTAGCCTACTGCCTCTGGCAAGAAATGAGCAACATCACTAGGTTTTCTGAAGTTCTTTTTCTTGAAGAATGGCAATAGAATCCAAGATCTGGGTGCTGGTGCAAATACATTATATTTTGTGCATTTTTCTTACTTTACATTTCATGAGAAAAGAATGAAAATCCTGCTTGTACAATATAGCTCCACTCCTCTGAAACAGCTCTTGGTAACATAACACCGCTTATGTTCACCTCCACGACTGTTTCATACTTCATGTACTGGTTAGGAATATGCCCTCTGTAGTCAGCTGGGCTTCATGTTCAACTCTACCAACTGTTTGCTGTGTGACTTGGTCAAAACATTTGAATTCTCTGGGCCTTATTTAACTTATCTGTTAAATGGCAAAAATACAATGCTCATCTCACGGAGTAAGAGTAGAGATGGAATAAGATGACCCTTGGAAAACAGCACAGAGCTGGCTCGGTAAAGTGCACCACTATAATTAAATGTCAGAAGACCAGTGTTCATTCCTTCCACTTCTCCCCCACTTCTCATGACTAAATCAGCCCAGCTGTTCCCCTAAAGGGGCTTTCTTCAGAGGTTACTGCCAAGTTTTTCATTTGGGACCATTTCCACATTCTCCAGGTCACACTTTTTTTGTTGTTGTTTTTGTTTTTTTAAGAGCAAAAAAGATTCAGTTGGTGAGTATCAACAATGACTTAAACACAACCTATGTTAATTTCAACAGAGAACTTCTGATTTTAATTTAGCAAGTGAAATAATGTTTCTCATATTTCATTTGAGTTCTGAGAGAAATCAGGGATTTTTTTTTTTCTGTGAAAAACTAGACATTATGAAAAATAGTGTCTGGATGACAAATTATATGGCTTTTCTGGAGCCTGCTTCTGCCTTCAGAGATGAGGTAAACCGGGAGAGAGGGGACACTGTCTTTCTTGGGGTCAGTTTTTATTTCAGAATGCAAAAAAGAACTAATGCCAGATGGTAATAATTCCATTAAAGAGCATTCTTCCAGGGACTAATTTCCAAAATAAAACTGACAATTGTTTGTAATGAAATAAGTTCATTTCAAGCAGGAAACTAGTAGTATTTTTTTTATTGGTCTCTTAGATGATGGAGTGAATTTTGTGCAGTTTTATGTCTGATTCTCTCTGAAAACAATTTTCTGTGGGTCTACAAGGAATAATGTAGAACCTTATGAGTTGTTTAGAAACCAAATAATATTGGTCAAAGATAAAAGACGTGGTTGGTCAGCAAAGAAACAACCTTGTGACTCTTAGGTCATATGCATTAGGGAAAAGACCAAGGAGTGAAAATAGAGTGGTTTTTATCTTACTTCTCAGGACTTCCATAGCGTTCTCTAGTTAGGAACCATAAATTAACAGCCAAACACTTTTCTAATGTTCTTCAATGAAAATCTCATACTAGGTGCCAAAGGGCTATTTGCCAACCTGGTTCCATATTTTCTTTGTAAGTGTTCATTACTTTCTACAAATTCAAAATCATTACTTGAACATGAATCATAAGCCTAAATTTAATGTTTTAAGATAGAAAAAAAATCACCTTTTTCAAATGACCTGAAAATAAGTAATAAAAATCTAGTGTTTCTAAAGCTATTTTTTTTTTCTGGAAAATTCTAGCATTTAATTAACCCAGCCCCTTTCTGAACTACAGGAAGTCTCTAAAATTATATCTGGGTAGTATGTGGACTTCACAGTCAGCTAGCCTGAATTTGAATCCTGATCTGCCAGTTGTGAGATCCTGAGTAAAATAAAAATGTTATGAAGATAAAATAAGTTAATATATGTAAAGTGTTTAGGCCAGAGTTTGCTGAAAACTAGGATCTCAATAAATATTAGCACAATGAAGATTGCTAATATTATTATTGCCTGGATTGTAGCTACAAAGTCAATATTATAGAACAAAAGCACTTGCACACAAACAACTTCTCTTGAAAATGATGTTCAGGTTTAAAATTGTGATTCAAAAGATAAATTAACCTATACTGTTACTCAGCAGGAAAATGACTCTTTTTATCATAAGTCACAGAAACAGATTGTGCTCAGGTATTGGCCAAAGAGACAGGAAGAGAGAGAAACAGAGGGTCCCATGTGTCCCCAGCAAAGCTCAGGAGGGAGATCATATTAAGGTCCAGCCTGGGCTGAAGCAGTCAGCTGTAAACAAAGGATGTTGTGTGGTGGGTGGTTGCAAAGTTGGGATCTGGTTGCTTGCAAAGTTCTACTCCATCTCTTTTGGAGAATAAATGATTAGCTTGCTATCATTGTCTTAGTTTTGGGCATCGATGTGTATGCCTGTGTGTGTATGGTTAATCCTGGTAACTATTTTCTCAGATACCCAACTTTCCTATGCTTAGCTTTCTTATTTTCCATCACTATGAGGTCAGATTATCTTTCAAGCAAGTCTCTAAGAGGTTTTGGAGTAAGAGGATGCAGAACACAGCTATCTCCAGGAAGGGAGAGGAGTGTCACTAAGGAGTGCTCCTGCAATATGGCCACATGTTTGCACCCCCAAAGCTTCAGCTTGGCATTTGGAGGACGAGATGACAGACTAATCACAACAGCCACTGTTTATATGGCACTTATGATGCCGTTCACTTTGCTGGATTTACATGCACTGTCTCACATAATCCTCATGTCAACCCTCTCAAGTAGTATTATAATCTCCATTTTAGGGATGACAAAAGAGAGGCTGAGTAAGGTTAAGTTGACCCAACCACGTGACACAAACAGTAAGACTCAGTCGAGACAGTCCCAGGCAATGTGACTGCAAGCTTTGAACCCTTGACCAGTTCCAGCGGCCTTCATTCAAAGGGTTTGTCTGAATTTATTCTCCTCTTACATCCCATTTCTCCAAACGTATGAGTCCTTCTTGAGGGTCAGCAGTGCTGAAAATTGTGAGAATGAGAACTTGCAGCACCTATCTGACCCAACACCCTCTCTCCACACTTTTATATTTTTAATTTCCATGTTTCCCAATGGGCTTACCTACTACCCATCTGTCTCCATGACTTACACATACAGAGACATAGCTAATTTACTCTTTGTGCTGGTAGATTAAAAAAAAATGTTACTAGAAGTGAGCTTTGCAGCCACAGAAATATAACTGGGATGCCTTTAGAATTCAGGAGTTCCTGACCCACATATGAAACTAGGTATGAAAAGAAGTTGAAGGGTAGCACCTCTTCTGTTCAAAGAAATGCCTTAATTACTGTGGGACAAAGGGTCCTGCCCTGTGATTGAGCACATGGTCAGACTTGTGGACCACGTCTGCTATTTGTTACGTAGGCAAGGGACTTCAGCTTTCTGAGCACAACTTCTTCATCTGTAGAGTTTAGCCAAGCTTACCTTAAAATTCCATTGACACAATGAGACTCTCTGAACTCTATTACTGTTGAGATCTTGAACTTTCTATGATCACTTTTCTGGGTTTTCTGGGAGGACTTGCAGCAGGTTTTCTGGCAGGACTCTGGTAGCTCAGAGTCTGGGAGGAATCATACCCCACCCCTTCCTGCAGCCTGCATGAGCTACAGGGCCATGCTATGCTTATCCTTTCTTTCTTCAAAATAATTTTCACAGAGCTGGTGGCTGCCACATGAACAGGGGCTGGAGATTATCTCTGTCTTCATTTCAGTCAAATCAATGAAGCAGAGTTCTTCTGGCTTTTTGAGATCTGCTTGCCACATACTGTCCTGCACTGGACATTCTAATGTAGGGCTATGAATCAAGAATGGATTCCCAGGCAGAGGCAGGTGGTCATAGAAATAGTGCTTGCTGATCTGACTTCAGGGAATTCCATTGAACACCCCCTCCTCCTCTTGTGTGTGACCAGAAGTTCCTTTCAGAGAGGTAGTCTTTTGGGATAAGGAAACAATTATCGGTACTTAGGTATAAAGGTCTCAAAATGAGGATTTGAACGTGACTTTATAGGTTTCGTAAAATAAATATTTGCATTTTTTTTCACCCTTCTAAGAGTGCTTACAACAGGGTCTGGAAAATGGGCAGTGGAAGAGAATGTTCTTGGGATGTAGATGAGAAAAGGATTAGGACAAGGGAATAAGCAGAAAATTGAAAATAAAAAGATTAATGAGAGTGATAGAATCATAGAAGAAATTTATCACTTGAAGGAAGCCCAGGGTACAGAAAAGGAGGGTAAAAAGAAAGCTGAGTCTAGGTCTCTGGGACTCAATCAAAGGGGCATTCCTGAAAATATTTTAGGAAGCTGATATCTTTACATAACACCCCATCCTATATGAAGGCTTCTATAAAAGGATATCATATGAAATTCATTATTTAATCTAGCCAGAGATGATGTATTCTTTTTTTTTTTTTTTTGGAGGTGGGTATTGGGGATCAAACTCAGGGGCGCTCAGCCACTGAGCGACATCCCCACCTCTATTTTGTATTTTATTTAGAGATAGGGTCTCATTGAGTTGCTTAGTCCCTTGCTGTTGCTGAGGCTGGCTTTGAACTCATGATCCTCCTGTCTCAGCCTTCTGAGCTGCTGGGATTACAGGCGTGTAACACCGTGCCTGGCAGGGATGATGTATTCTTAAGAGTAGGACCTGAGGATGGAATTTAGTCAGATCTTACCATGAGAAGAAGGCATGCTTCTTCCAAGCAACTGTTTGATTTTTCTTACAAATACTTGTGAACTTTGTAATGAATCAGGATTCCCTTTTTCCTTTGGCCACTAAGAATCTTGAAACAAAATTCAGTCACTGTACAGACAATATAATGTACATTTTTGTATATTTTATTTTTCTTATCATTATTTTACTTCCCTTTAAAATCAAATATTCATATTTATTCTTACAAATGCCTAAAAATCTTTTGTGGAAGCAGCTGGATGGTCACATAGATACCTATATAGAGAGATGGGCAGATATTATAGGCATAGACTAAGGACTTAAATGGTGATGAGATGCTTCCTGTGCAGATGTGCTGCTCTGCAGATGGTCTTCTTTCTATGCATAGATTGCCACTAATGTCAGCAACTTGTCACTGAGAGGACATTCAAATGTTTTCTGAGCTGAGATAAATTCAAACAATAACAAAAATGGTATATGAGATCTGCAAGCTATTTAAACACTAGGGCAGTAACAGTTAATCTTGGAGCACTAGTCCCTCTGAGGGAACAAGCTAAGGAGGGAGGTCTGGAAGAAAGCCTAAAGGCCTTAGAAATCTGGAAATTAGATTTATCTCCTTAAAACATAATAGCATCAGAACTTCAGACACAAGATGTTCATTTTTGTATTGACAATCAATTTTAAGAATCTAGCACAACTCCAAAGAAATTACTTTCTAAAAACACGATCTGTCATTCCCAGTGAAAGTACATGCAAACCACACACACGCACACACACACACACACACAGAGCAATGGCTTACAAACCCACATACACATGTATGTAGACTCCAGGATGATGGCAGGGTCATGAGTATTGATCACAAACAAAGCCTTTGATGGCAAAGATATCAAAGTTAGTAGACCTAATGATTTTGTGTAGCTTGACAGGGTTCTTCCCCAAGCCAGCCTTTGCCATTGAGGTTAGGCTTAACCATGAGTAAAAGACTTTGAAGAAAGGCAAGGGATGCCCAACCCACTGATTTCTGTGTTTCTTTTGGCTGTGGGTAAGCAGGTCTGGCTGGGCTGTAGTGTCCACTGATAAACAGTAAGAACAATTACGAAGCATCAAATCCCTTGAATGAGTAGGGCTAACTTTAAAACACCTCGTGGAGCAGTGTTTCTCAACTTCAGGGAATCTTGAACTCCTGACTTGGAATCATCCAGAGGTTGGGCAGAGCTGCTAAAAGTACTGGTTTTGGGGTATCACCCCAGCCTACCAAAGTATTTTTTAAATTAAAGATATCCATCCCAGCACCCTGTCCAAGGATTAAAAACCACTGCTACGGAAACTGTGAAATGAATAAAAGATCATGTTTTTACTTCTGAAATTTAATTTGCTGAATTTAAAAAAATGGCAGGATAGCCCTAGTTTTTTTTTTTTTTTGAAAGGAGTAACAGGTACCCTATTAATACTTATGTTTTTATGTATCAGTTAAAAATAAACTGAAGAAATGCTCAGTCCCCCCTTTGTCATATGAAAAACTTACTGCCATCGGGTTTTCTCCTTCAGGGAGTTTTTCCTAGAGCTGTCCCCTTCACTGGCACTGTCCTCCTCCTCTGTCTCCAGACTTCGACTGCAGCTTCTGATGATCTGAAAGATACTGTTCACGGTGGACTCCTTCTCCGAATTCTTTAAGCCATTTTGTCCCACTCGTTGCAAGAAATTATCTTGTCCAATGTAATCTGCTACGAACTACGGAAAAAATATATGGAGAGTTTTCTATTGCAACTTAATATAATACGTCCGAATAACCTACTTGGCTAGGGAAAGGAAATCATAATAGCAATAAATAACAGCATTTGTGCCTATTTTATTGGAAAGAAAACAAGAACCTCCAGGAAAAACATTTTTTTATTTCACCACGTGAAATATCAAAACTCAAATTTGTTTCCACTGAGACAACTTTAGTCCCTGCAGGAGTCAACACTCCATTCGGATTTAAAACACAAAAAGCAATATTATTTCAGAGCTCCCTAGGGAGAAGGTTAGCCACTTTACAGAGGAAGGGCAGAGTTAGGGATAAAATACCCTTGTACGCAGCATCGAGGAACACCATGATGAAAGCATACCATGCTACAAAACCAGATGAAATGAAGGGGGTCCAAGGAAAACATTAAGAAATGGTGCCTTTTAACTTTATTATTCATACATCCACTGGTGGGACAGTGACCCCTGGGTGCTTTTTTTTCCCCCTTTCTTTGGTACTGGGGATTGAACTCAGGACTCAGTGGCACTGATCACAGAGCCACATCCTCAGTCCTATTTTCTATTTTATTTAGAGACAGGATCTCACTGAGTTGCTTAGTGCCTCGTTTTTGCTGAGGCAGGCTTTGAACTCACGATCCTCCTGTCTCAGCCTCCCGAGCCGATAGGATTTCAGGTGTGCACAGCATCTGGTTCCCTGGGTGGTTTTAAAGCTCTTTTTTTAATAATATATATATATATATATTATAAAAAAGATATATATATTATATAAAAATATATATATTTTATATAAAAAAGAGATATATATATTTTATATAAAAAAGATATATATATATTTTAGAGAGAGAATTTTTAATATTTATGTTTTTGGTTTTCGGCGGACACAACATCTTTGTTTGTACGTGGTGCTGAGGATTGAACCCAGGCCGCACGCATGCCAGGCGAGCGCGCTACTGCTTGAGCCACATCCTCAGCCCCAGTTTTAAAGCTCTTAATATCGGGCTGGGGATGTGGCTCAAGCGGTAGCACGCTCGTCTGGCATGCGTGCGGTCCGGGTTCAATCCTCAGCACCACATACCAACAAAGATGTTGTGTCTGCCAATAACTAACTAAATAAATAAATATGTTAAAAAAAAAAAAAGCTCTTAATATCTGTTTTCTGATGAGAAAGCTTCACTCATCAGAGGTGAGAGCTGCAGCTAGGCCCAGAGATGTGAGTTTCCCTCTTCCTAGGACAGGAGGGGCTGGTGTGGGTGTTGCTTGGCTCACTTGCAGCCTTCTTTATTTCTTGCACTTGTATCACAGGTGATAAACCTGAGAGCTATCAGTCAGTGGCATTGCCTGTACCTGCTGGGATAGCTGGGGATGGTGGAGGGGTCTCAAGTCTTTCTGGTACCAGATGATGCCAGTATGAGGTTTTTAGCTGTCTTTCCACTCTTACTAGGCTGGGTGTGGATTATAGGTGGTGAATACTGGTACAATGGTGAGAATCACCCTGGATTTGGATTTGGGACTTCCAGATATGAGATTCTCAAAATCTCTGTAAAGTTCTTTAAAAAAAAATCTTTTTAGTCCCTTCTTTCATTTTAAACACCCCAGAGGGAGATTTTCTTATCTTATTTTTCCAGTTGTTCAATGCCCTCTTTTCCAATGCCCAACACCCTGGGTCCAGGCTCACACTATCCTCTCCACTACAGGAACAGGAAACAGTGGGCCTGGGAGAAGCGTGGGCAGCAGGGACTGAACCCTGGAGCGCATCTTTGGATGAGACACCAGCTTTCTGAGCATCTTCCCACGAAGCATGGAGAGAAGACAGTGTTGACTTGCCCCATTTTTTTCTCCCACTGGTTTGGAGAAGGTAACACTTTCCCTTGATCTTCTTTATCCCCTGACTCTAGGCATTCCCACCCAATAAGAAAAACCTGCTGCCTTTAAAATAAAAGCCAGAAATAACACCCTCTTCCACTGGTACTAAAACAGTGTCACATGAAACCTAGCCAACAATAAGGAGCCCCAAACAGTGCCGGTTGGCATTCTTTTCTCCAGCACTTCCTAGAACCTACCTGCTACCCAGAAACAACATAACAAGGACTACTGTGCACTCAATGTGATGTCTCCATGTGATAGTGGGTACCAACAGGGCTGATGGGACAAGCAGCGATAATGGCTCCAAAGAGCACACTGGCTCTGAAAGGCCTCACCTCTAAAGTCTCCTCTTGGGAATTGTACCGCGGGCAAAGCTTCATGAGGCCAGAGGCTCCATCAAGTACTTCACAGAGCTCCTTCAGAAACACCCCACAGAATGGAACCACCTTGCAGCCAGGGATGTGCAGCGCGCGGGTTACCACCTTTCTGTACTCGGAGGAGGACTCGTGCTGAGCCATGGCATCCTTCAGGCTCCTCATGGTCTCGATGTCAGACTGGTCCATGAATTGCCACATCTTTAAAACTTTTCTTGACCTATTACAAATAAATGACATTATTTAGACTGAAGGAGAAATAATGGGGCTTATGGCAGATATCCTAAATTCCATACAAATCCATTCTTGTCACCTTCTTCGTGTTCTTTACTTGTTAACATTTATTGAGGATTCCTATCTCCACCTACTTCCTGAAATGGTATGACTATTACTTTTGTAAATTGAAACTCAAAATGAAATAGGACAGATGCAAACAAGGACAGGTTTACGGTGTGAGTTAATTATGGAAGCTGGGCCCTGGATATAAGTTTGAGCTTTTCTGATGGCTACTGCCAAAAGGGAAACATAGTGGGTTATACATAGTTTGTACAGATATTTGTGGAGAATGCCCACAGAAAACCTGCCCCACCTGTTCCTCTTGATCTGAGTCCCTTGATGGTATATATGAAACCTAATGTTTTGGGTCTCTTTGGAGAATTGCTTTTTACTGAATTGAGTTTGACATTAAGCCACCTGCCATTTGGCAGGGGAGGGGGAGATGGGGTGGGACTCCCGTCTTACAGCATTTTTTTGCCTTAAAAAGATTTTAATGAATTTTTTTCTATATTTGAAATTGCGGATGAGATCCGCAGGTGACCTTGCAGCCCGCTTTCTAAACAGAAGTGTCAGGTGGTCACAAGGGAGTGCCCACACTGCTGTGTCCTCAATGGTCTCATCCTCCTTCGGCCCACACAAAGAAACTGGATCTGAGCAGACAGGGAATACTTATTTGGAGAGGGTTATGGGATGGCTCACGTGAGAAGGAGGAAAATGACCCCAAGAGTCGGGGACTTCAAGTGAACACCATGGACATGTAGACCTGTGTCCCGGGAAGTCTGTTCATCACATGGACCTGTGTGTGACTTTTGCCTCAAGATGAGAGGCTGGCTGGAGCTGCTGACAGCAAAGGGAGAGAGGAGGGTCCAGTGATGTCCTACATTCGCAGACTTGGGAGGGCAAAATAATGGGTGTCTCCTGTGAGTCCAGAGTGGACATTGTACGGAAAGGTTGGCCCTGAGCTGTCTTGAAAGACTTTCCTGCCATGTGAGATGACCCCAGCAGAAGGAGTCCAGCAGGTGGGACCTCCAGAGATAGACCCTGGAGAGTGGGGACTAGCCGAGTGGTTGCCCAGAAGGTGTACAGAATTTTTCCAGGTGAAGGAATAGTGGGGGGGTCCCTACAGGACAAGGTCGGGGGTTAGAGGACTAAATAGGAGGAAACTCTAAACTCACCCATTTGGGTCTCTGTGAGGGCAGCAAGGACAAACCCAAACTGCTCCATTCCAGTAGGACCTTTTACCCCTCCTCTCCCTTTCTCTCTCCCTCTTCTGTTCTCTCCCCTCCTTTGATTCTGTAGGGACTCTGAGATGAAGGAAGAGGAAGGAAAAATATGAACCATATCTTGTCACCTACTTACTGCAAGTTTCTGAGAGTGGATGGGCTGTGAAATGTGGGGAAGGAAAGAAACTTTAAATGTATGAGAAGTTGCAACTTTAATTTCTATCAAACTGGATTTTAAAAAATCATCATGTGATATATGAGACATCCAAAAGACAGAGAAGTATGTGACAAATACTCATACAACCTCCTCTGGGTTTAAAACCAACATCAACCATAAGGCTGAGGCCCCAGCAGACTCTTCCATGATCACACATCTCTCTCTTCCTCCAGGAGGGATCAGCACTGGGACTGGGACTCTGGTCTCTGGTGTTTTCATTCATTAGGATCTTTTTTTTGTTGTTGTTCTGGGATTGAACCCAGGGATACTTTACCACTGAGTTACATTCCTAGTTCTTCTACTTTTTATTTCAGGACAGGGTCTTGCTAAGTTGCTGAGGCTGGCCTTGAACTTGCAACCCTCCTGCCTCAGCTTCCTAAATTGCTGGGATTACAAGTCTGTGCCACCTTAACAACCTTACAGCTCTTTATACTTTTCTAATACACATATATATTGCTAAGCAAGTTACAAAATTGTGTATTTTTAACGTAACATACATAAATAGTATCACACTATAGGTAATCTTAGGCAACCTATTGTGAGTGTGTGTGTGTTTCTTTTTTAAATATTTATTTAGTTGTAGAAGAACACACAGTATCTTTATTTATTTTTATGTGGTGCTGAGGATTGAACCCAATGCCTTATACATGCGAGGCAAGCACTCTGCCACTGAGCCACAATCCCAGCCCCCATGTGTGTGTGTTTTAACACAACCTTATATTTCTAAGAATCATACCTGTTCATGAGTGTGGAGAAAGAGACTGCTTATTAACCACAAGAGTGACTAGAAAAGCCACAGAATCTCCCAGGGTATAACCAGGGTCAGGGTAGGGACAGCCAGTTGGGCAGGTTTGAAAGTCAGAAAAATTGGAAAAATAAAATTGTTTTCTGATTTCACCCCACTAAGTCTAGCCGGTCCTACAACTGTTCTTATAAAACAGTGAGTTGGTTTTTGTTTTTGTTTTTTTAAAGAAATGAAGTAGAAGCATAAATAAATGGAGAAAATGAATGAATGAGAGGTGATTCTTCTATTTAATGATTACACACTGTGTTAATAATGGATTTGTCAGGGTACACTTGGAGTAAAGGACAAACTTCAGCAAAAATCAATTAGACGGAGAATTGGCACTATTTTAAAAATGTTTGTCTTTTTTTTTAATTATAAAAGTACTAGATGCTCATTGCAAAAACTAAACAAAATGAAACAAAAGATCACCAAAAATATAGAAAAATCACCTATTATTTTATCAAATACAGACACTACAACGTATATTTCCTTTCAGTATTTATTCTATCTGTCTCATTGTAGAAATAGTGTGAATATTATTAAATAGACAGCTTTGGTCTCAGAGAGTCTTAGTCATATGTTACCTGTTTCCCAGTGATATAAAGCTTTTTATAAGCATCATTTTTTTAATCAGTCGTAAACATCACATTTGACAATTTATCTGGATCATCATATTATTTTCTTTGAGTATTTTCCTATTGTTGTTCATCTGGATTATTTTAAATTGACAGCACAACTGAGTGAATGTCTTTGATTATAAATCTCTGAATTTCTAATTGTTTCCTTAAAAGAGCTGAGAATTTAGAGGAAGCAAAATGTACAATGTTTATATAGACAATAACAGTCATTTAAAAACAAGGGTGTGCCTTCTTCCCATACAGTTCTTAAAAAATAAAAAATGAAAAACCTCTAGTTATGCTGATGCAGTTAAATTATTTGGAATCCAAACACTCTCAAGCCTTTTGTACACATGAACCCTGCCTCCACCATCATTCCATCAAGAGAACATTCTGCAACTCATCTCCTACATCTATTGTTCCACGAAAGAGCCAATTATACCCAGCACATTTCCCATCTGTCCATAAAGATCAGTTTAGTGTTAACCCAAGTGTAGGAGAATGGGAGTAGGTGGCAGTGGGTTTGGGGTGTAAGACAAAATGCACAAGGATCAGTGAGGGGTAGCCTGGTTTGAGGTTATTCTTTGTCTACTGAGAATCTCCTGGCTGTAAGGCCTTCCTGGATTCCAAATGCAAACTAAGTTGGGTTGAAAAGTCAAATTCACTCTAAGTCTCCAAGGGTCATTCTGAAGCTATTCTTGTATTTAGAGAAACCCAGCCTGTGGTCTCCAACAATCCACGCCTTCTGGTAGTATGCTTTGGGTGGTCCCCACCCACAGTGACTTAGTGCTGATCCTGGGTGGCAAGTACAGTGTGGCGGAAGTGACAGTGTGTCTTCTAAGGCGAGGACATAAAAGGCATAGCAGTTTGTGCCTTGACTCTGCAGTGCTCACTCTGGAGGGAGATCGCACTATGCTGGTGAGCACAGTCACGTCCAAGGGGAGAGGAAAGAGGAGGCGTGGTCTTCAGCCAATAGCCAGCTCCAGCTTGTCAGTGAACTATTTTTATCATAATACGATTATTTTTCTTAGTATAAGTGTAATACAGGTTCCTTTTTTTTTGGTACTGGGGACTAAACCCAGGGATACTTAATCACCAAGCCACATCCCCAGCACCCCCTTTTTAAAATTTTATTTAGAGACAGGGTCTTGCTAAGCTGCTTAGGGCCTCACTAAATTGCTGTCGCTGGCTTTGAACTTGCAATCCTACTGCCTAGCCTCCTGAGTCACTGGGATATATGCGTGCATAATACAGGTTCTTCAAAGAAAACTTTTCACAAAAAGAACCAGAATCATCTGGAAATAGCCATCTCTTATTCAAATATGTGTTCTGTTTTTTCCTTCTTTTGAGCCATGCCAGGTCCAACTGTATGGCTATTGTAAATTTCATTTCAAATGAGATGATCATTTGAGTTTACTCTTAGGTAAGAAAGTTCAAAAGACAAGAAAAGATTTCCCACTTGGAATTTTCATCTCCTTGCCCAACCTGGAATCTCTGTGTAGGGATCTGGAGAATCAAAGAAAGATCTTGATGTTGTAATGCTATAAGGCAAAATTTACTTATAGTGAGAATCTTCACAGGGATGGCAAATCTTGGGAGACTATTACAACATCACCACTGTCTCTTTATGAAGTTTTACTACATAGCAGGCACATCTACCTTTTGATGTATCCCCATGTTTAGACAGAGAAACTGAGGCTCAGTGGGGTCAAGTGACTTGCCCAGATCACACAGCTATTCCTTGGGAAGTTGGGGGGCAGGCAGGAGTTAATTCCCTGTTACTAACTGGACAACTCATGTTCTCCTTCCTCAAACTCATGCTGCTTCCCACAGGAGGGCAAGCAGTTATTTTATGCAACATAGCCAAGACTGAAAGGGAAGAAGGTGGGAGACTTTACAATGAGATGGTGGTTTTATTACTAGTTTGATAGAGAAGGCACAGGAGCAGAATAGTTCAGTGGTCATGATCATGGGCTCTAAAATCCAGGATGCCTGCATGATGCCCCAGCCATGAATGACTTACCTTCTCTTTAGTTTCCTCTTTCGGTATAATAGGGAACAATAATACTATCAATCTCAAAGAACAGTTTTGAGAATTACAAGATATAAAGAGTGGAATGTGCTTAGCTAGTCCAGTGTTTGACATCCCGTGAGTGCTCAATGATTATGAAAGAACCAACATTACTGGAAGCTTATTGTCAATATTAGCCATTGTTATTATTAAGGGTCAGTAGTAGTCAGGAGTTTACAATGCTGGGGCAATTCAAGAAGAGCTGAAGGGAGAGGTGACAGTGAGGTTTATGGGCAGGAAGGGGAAGAGAGGGACCAGTGATAGAGTTAATGGGTAATGCAACCAGGTAATTTTACTTAGCCTGGCCAAAGCACATGGGATCAGACCACACACAGTGAAGTGGGATCACGTCTGGCCTACAGCGGCCAAATTCTGCAGCAACTTTGAAGGACAGGACTTGTGGTACTGGAAGGGAATAGTTAGTACACTCCCTAAAATGATCACTACCAACTGGTTTCATTGGGTAAGTGTGGCTGCCTGGGGAATTAATTCAGTGCTTTTGGCTAGTCAGAGGAAATAGTGCAGATTACCATATTCCTGCTGACTTACCTGAGGCCAGCCAAGAACTCCATGACAGCATTGTAGTTGCCCATGTTCCAGCAGCACTTGGCCACATGCACCAAATATGAGAAGACTTCCCGCTTTTCCTCCATGGAGCCTGCTGTGAGGATCAGCCATGTTACCCAGGAGCTCACCTGGAAGATGCAGGAGGGGCATTCACTGAAACTGTGTCCTGAAGCCAGATACATATTTTTTCCACAAGAAAACTTTCTGTTTTTTTTCTAATCAAGTTAGTATTAATAAAGGAAGGACTTGACCTAGAGATCTGAAGTGAAAACCAAGCTCCATCACTGCTTTGAAACAGAAACTTGGTGAGTCATTAATGTCTCTGTGTTCATCTTCATCTTTAAGATAAAGAGACTGAAAAGGGCAATTGATAAGATCCCCTTTCAAAGTGCACTAGTGGTACAGTGCTGAGCATAGTTGCCTCCTATAAGATCCCTCTATACACTTCCATGACACTAAAAGAAAATAAGGCTTAAGGATAATTTTGATGGAAATATATTAGATGGACATCAAGACTAGATGTAATCAATGTGCTTAGCACTGATTAAAGATATTTATCAAGTAGTAAAATACATACTATCAAATGAAAAGAAGTTTAGAAAGCTATTTTTGGATAATTTATATATATGTACCATCTATTAAGTACTTCAAATGTCAAAATAAAGAGAATAAATATTCACAGAGCACTTTTTATGTTAATTATCTTTCACAACAATCCTAGGAGTCAAGGACTATTCAGATCCTCAGACCTACTTAAAGGCCTCATCCAGCAGGTGGGAAGGGTTCGATGTGGACTCAGGGTGCCTGATTCAGAGTTATATTATTAACCCCAATAAATGCCCAATGTGTACACATGCACACTAACGTTCTCCAACTCTGGGATTAAACGTATTCTAATAGAATTTGTTTTTCCTACTACTACAGTATGGACTAAAAAATTTAGTAATAATTCTCATCTACTTACCTCTTTATGATATACACTCTTGAAATCATTTGCATTAGCTCTAAGATTATTTTATTTATAGTATTCTCCCTATACTTTGGTGTTTGGACACTAGTGTCCATCTAAGTTAATTTCTCCACCTTGGCTAACATTGGGGTTAATGAATTCAGTTGTTAATAGACTAAAACCTTGGTCTTGACCTCACATGGCCTCATTAGGTACACTTGAATCAGCAATAATCTGAAACCTAGGGAGCAATTCTTTTCCCCAGCCTGCATGATGGTGAGACCTGAACAGAGACTTCATGGTGACCCAGACGACTACAGATTGTTCAAGGTCAAGGGCATAATGTCCAAAAGTAGAGGAAAAAAACAGATAAGAATTAATGGCATTTAGCACTGGCAGCAACCATAGAGGGCAGTCGAACCCTATTTTTCCAGATCAAGTATATGGCTCACAGGAGAAGTGACTTTCTGAGGTCACCATTCTTGTTGATGTCAAAACTAGGACCCCCTAGTGCTCCTAACATGCCCCTCTGTTCCCCACCTGCTCTGGGTCACACTGGCCCTCAGGCAACAGCAGATCAGATCTGGACTCAGACCTCTAGGAGAAGCCCCATCCAGGTCTCCCCAGGAGCCCTCTAGGATTCCCAGGGCTGACCCTTCTACAGCTATGAGCTATCCCTTACTCACGGTCTCCATGCCTCGTCTTCTCACCTGGTTAAAAGTCACTTTTGTGAAACTCTGACTCCATTAGGTTAAAAAGAAGTTATTTTGCTGATAGACACTGACTGTCATTGGTGCTACTGTTCAATTTTTCCTTTAGGCTGAATTGCTTTTGACAGGCCCTGCCCTACAGTGCAAAGTCACTTGGGATCATAACATTGTTAACTCTTTTGAGTTGAAAATTCAATCCCTTCTCCCTACAGATATATGTGAGATTCTAAAAAGTTACAATCATTCCTCAAAGTCATCCAAATGTTTACTACTTGAGGCCTCTGGCTATATTCTTTCCATGGCCTTAGAGCCTTTTCTGTTGAAATTCATGGCAAATCAGGATCTCTGCAAAGCCACTGGTGTTTCAGGTCATTCTTGTACCATGCAGTGACCGGAAAGGGTTAACTCCCCTCCCCTGGAGAGGCCTGCTTGTAGTAGCGCAGGTGCAGAACACCACTTGGTTTTGGGTCTCCATCCTGATTATGTGTCCAGGTTTATTTCCTATCAGTCAAATCATTTTCCATACACTTTCCCACAATGCTAGGAAAAAAATAGCGATACTATATTTCACATGGAAACCTAATTTAAGCCAACTGTTCCATCGCTGAGTGTGAGTCCCAAGGGCCCCTGGCTGTTGAGATTATGTAAGCACTGTTATCATAAACACACACATACACATACACACACACACACACACACACACGCACGTACACCATCTGCTTACAAACTTCAGGGAAGATTCTTTCTATAGCCTAACATATTCATAATTTTAGAGGAACTAAGTGGTGAGAGTGTCATCAATGAGACAAAATATGAAAAAAATAAATAAGACAAACAAAAGAGAGAAGATTCAGTGACAAATGTCAATAGGATGCGTTGCCAATTCAGAAAAAATTTCAGGAATACTGGAGTCAAAAAGAAAAACACAAAAAAAATGTATCAAGTTAAAGGACCAAGTCTGTAGTATAGAGAGTGCCCCTAGCTGCTAACTGTGGCAGATTAATTACCTGGTTTCATTGGTCAGCTCAGAACAAGGAGAGAAATCAGGCCCCAGCCTCATTCTTCAAGAGCTCCTCCTAGAAGGCTCTGGCTTACCAGGATGATCCTAAACCCCTGGACCTGCTCCTAGCACCACAATTGCTCTTCTCCCAAAATAATTTTTTTCTTTTGCTTTTTTCAGTACTTTTAGGCTTAGCCAAACTGAGCACCTTGCTCTCTCTTATCACATCAAATACCTTATTAGCATCACTGTAGCTCAATTTGGAAGGAATGTTCTTGCACCACTCACACAGACCTTTCCTTTGAACTTGAGACCTTATGGGTCCATCGACTGGCACACAAGCCAGGATGGGAAGATAAGGTAGGTGTACAGGCTGGAGCCTCCTGTATACCTGTGCCCTGGCCCCGCTATAAGTAAGGGGCAAGGCAGCCTTCTGGAGTCTGACAAAAGCTTCACTTACTCAAGGAGAACTTCCTTGACTTTCCTTCTGGAATATGTCCTCAAGTTTGCATGCTGTGGTACCCCATGGCATTCTGAGCTCTGTGCCCAACTGGTGTTGTGCTCCCACGAAGACAGATGTCATCATAGACAGTGTGCTATGCTCACAGGTAGGTAGCAGTGTCTGCGACCCACCAAGATCTGTCCTCTATAAGTCTAATGAGGCCTGTGAATGAGGGAATGAATGATTAAATGCTGAATGCTTACCTCCTCAAGGAAGGCTTTTCTGATGGTTCACCTAGTACCTTACATTCAAATTTCTTCCTCTTCTCTTGGACTTAATGTCATAGCTTGAGTCCAAAGTTACATCGATGCTTGGATTCTCTCCACTGCATGAGTGTGCATCTGGCTTATTTTTGTTATATTTGTGTGCGTGACTCTTTCACATGGGCTTGTTCTGTCTCCCTCAGCAGACCCTAAGTTCTCAAGGACAGAGGCCACCTTTCCCACATTTCTAGTATGGGGATGCTCAGTGCCTCAGGCTGACAGGCAGGCCATCGGAATCCCAGGAGGCCGTGGGCAGGGAGGATTCTCAGCCTCCAAGTACTCAGGAATTATATTTGGGACAAAGCCTGAACATTTCCTATTGCTGTTCCCAGGTCCAGAAAAAGGAGACAAATAACTTTATGCCAAAAAACGTGTTTTGAATACACTGAGCCTAAGTTTTCATGGAAAGATGATATTTTATAATGGTTATTGTCAGCCTAATTGCAAAGGTTAGGCTCAAATGGTAAATTCTATAAAAGATAATGAAGTCTAGACAAAGCTACATGCAAGTACTTTACATGAAGTGTACATCCACACCCTCCCTCTGTGGACCAAGTTAACCCTTGAACTAGAGCATGCAGGCACAGTCATGAATGTAACACAGTCATGAATGCAAGTATGTAACACGCACACACACACACACATACACACACACACACACCTGTCTAGGCAATGCTCAAGTGTGAGCACTCACAATGGAATCACTGGGGATGGTCGTAAGGTGTTTGTTTAAATGCAGATCCCAAAGCCTCACCTAGGCCTGGGAGTCAGAGTGAGGACAGGGCCTAGGAATCTCCGTGTTCAGATAAACTCCCTGGTGATTCTTTTTTTTTTTTTTTAGTTATACATAGATACGATATCATTATTGTGTTCATTTATTTTTTTATGTGGTGCTGAGGATTGAACACATGTGCGAGGCAAGCGCTCTGCCACTGAGCCACAATCCCAGCCCCCTGGTGATTCTTAAATGCACTGAAATATGAGATCTAGCCCAGAGACTCTGTATCCCTTTTCTGTATCGTGGGTCCTTGAATCAGGGCCCACACACCATTTCTGGAGTCCATACAGTCCAATATTATAAATTGGCCACCCTGGTTTCATCTCACCAACTGGACCTGAGTCCAGAACCCTTTTGGAACTAGGAAGGGAAGCCAAGGGAGGCAGAAGAGTGTAGTCGGGAGGGAACAGGAGCAATGGAGTTGGGTGAACTGTGCTCAAGTCCCCGTTCCACTGTTCCCTTGGGCATGTTCCTGAGGCAAGTCACCTAACTGCTCTGAGCCTCAAGTCCTTTTCAGTAAAATGGGAATGATACTTACCTCAAAAAATTACAGTGAGAGTGAAATGGAAGATTATATCTGAAGATCTCAACACAGAGCTTAGTAGATGGTTAAAGGCTCCATGAACATTTACTACGGAGACTATGGCCACTGCCATCACCACTACTATGACTCTTGTTACCAGAACACAGAAATCCAGAAGAAAGCAGTCTCTGAATTCCACTTGCTTATGAGACAAGGCTGGACCAGCAGAATCTGTGACTGCCCTGAGCACTGTCCTTTCCTAATAGAAGGATAACTCACAGGTTACCTCTCCTGCAGGCTTCCCTGACTCCTCAGTAGGAATAAAATGTCATTTTAAAAGTTATAATGACCCAAACACATATATGAATATATTTATGTCTCGATCTAGATCTTTATTATCCAT